CCGCTTCTACTGTAGTACTCGTATTATGTGTTGTGAGAAAACAAATTGAATCCTTTGATATTAGTTGGTATATAGTAGAATACAACGAGGTGTTGTGCAAATTAGTATTTTTTTTTATTTTGTTAAAAAAAAAACGTTACCCCCACACTAGGATTTTTCTTGTATCGTGGAGGCAGTTAATAAACATAAATTGCATAAGGATAAACATCTAGACCCAGAACAATTATTTGTAGGCCATACAAATACTTGTTCCGGGCGGGATTCGCACCGACGGCCCCTGCGTTGCAACTCATTGCTAAGCCACTGCGTCACGGAGCCATCAATTTGCTGATAATAAAAACTTTATTGTTCAATGTGAGGAAGGTTAATATGCAACATCGAGGAAAATTAAGATTATAACAATGTGAACGTCTTTGAAACTGAGATAATTTATCTACTTACCATTTTTAACCGACTTTAAAAAAAGGAGGAGGTACTCAATTCGACTGTTTTTTTTATGTGTGTTACCTCGGAACTTTTATCTTGGTGAATCGATTTTGATGATTCTATTTTTATTTGAAAGCTGGTGCTTATAATTTAAATATACCATATAAATTTGATCAAGATCTGAACAGTAGTTTTTGGAATTATCCTTAATAATGCGTATTAGTATTGAAGTCGGTTGTACAAAATTTTTAATTTCATTAGTTGTCTCTCTTCCTCTCTTTTTAAAAAAAAAAAACGTTACCACTCTAGGATTTTCTCCTGTACCGCAGGGACAGTTTATATATGTAGAAAGGGTAATTGCGTATAGTACAGAGACTAATTTTGTAGTTAGGAATAATAATTAATTCGTTTACTCGAATTAACTATCCAACAAGTTAAGGATAAACTAGTAACGGAATACGACAAGCGTACCGTTCCACGTCAGAGCCAAGACTGTCTTAACGGCGGCCGCTCCGTCCGTTTTATACAAGCAGGACGGGTGGCAACGCAGGTGCAATGCCGCAGGTGTGCGGTACACGTGTCGTTTACAAGAATTCTGTCTAGCTAGACCGACGCCACCGCACCTACAACGGTGCAGGTGCCGTCACGGCCATACTGACATGCGTGCGTCCTCGCACGCGCTCCATCACAATTTTAGTTATCTGTAGACAAAAAAACATCGTTCGACTATCCTGACATAACAGCGTCTGGTCCGGTCTATATTGATCCTTCAGATTTGGGTGACAGTCAGTTTTGTTCCGGCAGTAAGCCCTACAAAACTTTAATCATCTTTATGTTAGATCGGAATGATTAGTCTGTAGCTTTTTCTATTTTCTCTTTTTTTTTTTCAAGTACTGTTTTCGCTAGTCCGGAATAACTATTCCCTTTAGCTATATCATTGGACCGGCAAACGCCCTGCAATGATAGTAAGAACCACATTTTTTTTTCTTACTCTCTTTTTTTTTTCAATTCAGTATAGAACAGTTACAGACCAACCATACCGCAAACATGTCCCCGTCACAATCGCACAAAAGTGTATCGTGAGGGACGTAGTGACACACGATAACACCTAAGTATGTAAACCAACAGCAACTCTACACATATCCCAGTGCAGCACAGACCAGCCTCCCTGCAACTTCATGTTCCTTTCCTGCACTGGAATAATTACTTCGCTAGAGTGTTGCAACGTCTGTAGTATTTTCTAGATGCACAGACACGGCTACCTCTGACTGTCGCACGTCCTCGTGCGGTTGACAGTGAACAGCATACGGTCTATCAGTTATCACCACTTGCTAACAGATATACTCTTGTTAAATATTACAACATCCCAGACTTCATTTAAGTCTGGAACGCGCGGATATGGCTACCTCCAGGCAAACGCACTACAGCTTTTCGTTCTGCTGCGATCGTGCTACATTCGCGGCAGCAAGCCGTCGCGCCGTACTAGCGCTAGCGAATCGTCGCACTCCTTTGCAAAATTAAAAGAAATCGAGATAAATGTATTGCGAACCATGGAATTCCGAGCTTCCGAAATTCATCACATATTCTCTTAAGAAACGGCAACTGCACGACATTTGAAAACATTGCAAAAAAATGGAAACTATGTGTAGAGACAGATACCACAACATATTTCGAAGCGAAGGAGGAAACTGCGCAAAATCTACGAAAGCCGTCCATTTACAGCGCCAAAGCACCATTTGTTCGGCGGCCGCTTGAATTGCCCTGCCGTAAGATCAGCCGATAAGTAACCGACTGTAGCGGTGTAGGCTCAATCTAACCAGCGCTCGGCCGTACCTGACCATGTTCGATTAGCCATCACAACGTCTTCCTCATTGATCATTGTTGTAGAGACTTCTACGAATCCCTCGAAATCAAACCCCAATCTTGTCAACGACACAATATTCGGAGCAAACTGCAACAGTGATCAACACATTAGAACACAAAAATGTCACTTATTATTTTTAATTCATAGCGTGTTAAAGTTAATCCTTTATTGTAGTACAACCCTTAAAAGTTTTGAATTTCAAAATATAGCAAATGATAATCATGTTTCGCGTGAACTATCAAATTACAACAAAACGAGAGCAGCAGGAGCACCTGAGGGTTTAAAAGCATCGTCGGGGTTGTAGTCATCATGATCTGCGTGAAAAACAAATTGTTAACTATAAGGACAACATACACAGTTGCCTGTTCTCTTATCTATCACACATACGAGGCCCTAAAACAGAAATACGTTCTCATACCTTGGACTATAATAAAGCACTTCGCTTTCACAAGTAAACATAGGTCTTCATACGAAGTATCTGACACATACTCTTACTTGAACTTGCGAGATCCACATTAAAAACGTGAACCAGGACAGCGCCTGCCAGGACAAAGCCTAATACATGTTCAGAAAACATTACCGTGCACACAGCATACGACTTCCGCGCACACAGTGTGACTCCCACGCATACAGAGTACACGACTTCCGAGGCATCGCCATGTACAGCATACGCGCGCTCCGGGATGGCGCCTGCGTATACGCGCATACGCATCTGCCGAAACCAGGCCATGTTACAGCTGGACCTGGCAGTCCGTTACGACCAGCAAGGCACACACTCACGCACTTGTAATCACATCACACGTGCTACTGTAACACATAAAAGAAAACATTAAAAATACTCAGTCGGAACTTGATTTCAAGAAATGCAGCACTACTCATGGTACACGATTCGCCTTTCTAGGGCACCAAATACTGAGCTGCGGCTACACGACAACCTCTGGTATGGTCCGATCCTCATGTAAACTTAAATACTCTCTTCAATGTCAGAACTAATTGGCTCTACTTCACTTTCATCAGTTATACTTCGGTTTTCCGGCACTTTTCGCAACCAATTAAAAATTGTAAACACTCATTCTTACAAAATAGTTTCTGAGCCAATGTTTAGGATAAATTTACTTTCCTCATGTATCTAATGGTGATCAGTAGCAGCGACAAATAATAAGTCCGCGGCGTCATAAGCCGACAGCATACTCAAAAGCGAGCGCTACAGCTCCACGCTTTCCACTAAACCATTCCAAGTTTGTCGACTACGTAATGCTCGGAGTAAACTGTAACACTTATCATCACATTAGATCACAAAAATACTACTTAGTGTTTTTAAGTCATAGCACGTTAAAGTAATCATGTTCTTTTTTTCGGTACATAGTTTAAACATTTTGAACTTTAAAACTAGGCCATGTAAATAACACCTCGTGTATCAAATTATAACATTACTTGAGCAAGTTAAACTTCCACTGAATGCAAACTATAACTCATTCAGAATATCTCCAACATTTCTTTCGACATTTGTTATCATATTTGGGTACGTTAAGAAATAATGAAATTACTTGCGGGTACTTTCTATTATAAATTGAATAAAAAGATTTAACTTTTGACTTAAAACATTTCACTTTAAACTTTTACTCTACACTTTAATGATTCGTCAATGTCGTAAATACGACAACAAACTTGATTTAAGAAATTGAACACAAAAACAAAACGCGAGGCGCATTATAATATTTCACCAACGTAATAACCCTTACACTATTCAAAGGTTATAGCAGGTGGGCAGTAACAGGGACTTTATCCCACTTCTGATGTAGAAAGGGTAATTGCGTATAGTACAGAGACTAATTTTGTAGTTAGGAATAATAATTAATTCGTTTACTCGAATTAACTATCCAACGAGTTAAGGATAAACTAGTAACGGAATACGACAAGCGTACCGTTCCACGTCAGAGCCAAGACTGTCTTAACGGCGGCCGCTCCGTCCGTTTTATACAAGCAGGACGGGTGGCAACGCAGGTGCAATGCCGCAGGTGTGCGGTACACGTGTCGTTTACAAGAATTCTGTCTAGCTAGACCGACGCCACCGCACCTACAACGGTGCAGGTGCCGTCATATACATAGAACAAACCCAGAACAATTATTTGTAGGCCATACAAATACTTGTTTCACGGGTTTCGAACCTTAGCGCTGCTTATTAAGCCGCTTCGCCGCGGAGCCGTCACTTGTCTGTTTCACATTTTTGCTATTTACAAATATGCGACACGCGACTTCATTATTAATGAAAGAGTGGCAATGAGAAGTGCTGCTACTTTCAATCTTTCTTTTATCGACAAAGTATTAAACTAATAAGAAGTATTATGCTGATCTTACATTAGTAGACAGTCACTAGTACTGGGAGGTTTACTTACACTGAACGACATACACAAAAAACTCGAAAACTGCGAAGCTGTGGTCGGGTCACTAATCAAATAATAAATATGTAATTATGGCGTCACTAACTAAGTACCTAATTATTTAGATCTACCTACGGTATCCTTAGGAACAGTAGAGAATGAAAAGTCAACATTCCTATTGTTATTTAAGCACCTGTATGCTATGTAGTACCTTTTGCCTTTTTGAGAGGCCGAACCCTATTGTAGCGCCGCAACAAAACGCTTAATCATTGTGCTGACGTCTAGATAACATATGAAAATGGATAGTGATAATAGGGTGTCGATGGCAGGTGCGCCGCGAGGCAGGCAGCGCGCTGTACCGGCTGTGCGCGGGCGGCGAGGTGGCGGTGCTGGCGCCACTGCTGCAGCTGCTGCTGGAGCACCTGCCGCGCGCCGCCGACATGCGGCCGCACCACGCGCACCCGCACCACCACCACCACGAGGTATGAGGGAGTCGATGGCAGGTGGCGGTGCTGGCGCCGCTGCTGCAGCTGCTGCTGGAGCACCTGCCGCGCGCCGCCGACATGCGCCCGCACCACGCGCACCCGCACCACCGCCACCACGAGGTGCAACACCACCACACTACAACTAATAACAGCAAATTATAAAGAATGTTCTTCTTTGTTACCGGCCCGTAAAAGTCCACTGCTATTCGTGGACCTCCTACGCTGTAAGTAGAATTTGCCTTAATCGTCACGCTTGGTAAGCGGATCAGCAATTGCAGTACTAGACGTGAGCACTTTTGACGCTGCTGCCTGTTGCCGGTTTACATTTTACACCTAGTGTAAACGAGTTGGTTATTTCGTCATCTATCCGAAGCCATAAGATTTTTCTGACATATTTCATGGTTGTCTTATTTATAGACTATGGGTGACCAACGAGCGCACAGTCCACCTGACGGTAAGCGAATATTGTGGCGCATCTATCCTAGATTAAGATTAAAAATGACACCCTTGAGAACTTAAATGGAATGTCTCGGCCCCAGTAAAAAAGACCTCCCGTTTTATACACTCACCATACGAACACAGAAGCATTAAACTGCTATTTTACGCTTGTATCCTGTGACTTCTATGTCTGTGTGCCTCTTACGACACCCACAAAACGTAATGATGTGATGAATTCTCTTTCTTTTGCACCGTCTTCATATGGCACCTACCAACTCACGGCACTATTATGGATGTAAGGGGAAGGAAAGACTATTAATATGAAATGCTAACTTCTTTTTTACACTCTGTTAACTAACAAACTAGTTTCTAATGACATTAGATGTCGGTACCCATCCATCCATTTCAACATATAAAAGTCCACTACTTATCATTGGCCTCCCACATAGATAGCCTCATAAGTGAATTTTGCATTATGGGGAGTCGAGCAAGCTGGTTAATAAATGTTAGTACTAAAGGTACTGAAATAAAGATAGACCGCGCTACTCGTACGATACCACGAGCGCGTGATCAATACCGTGTAGTTTAATAATTTTATAAACAGTGCCCAAAAATGTCATAATAATTTTAAAATCGCATATCACAATAAGGAATTTCATAAAATGAAAAAAATGGCTAACACCTTCATATTTATCTGTGCAATAAAATTGATAATAAATAAATTATTTACTATAATATGAATTATATTATACTTAAAATACTGAAATGTTACAGGCTGTTCATCATCATGCTGAAGAAGGCAAAGAGCCTTATGGACCTGCGTGCCGAGATTACTTTTGGCTTGTTTGTAGGCTCATAGATGGTTTGCCGGAAGATTTTTTCAAAGGTAATCTATTAACTGGACGATTCTTTCACTTTTTAATAAAAATGCCACTACTAAAACTATTTATAAAATATATCTCACTTTAATATCGTTTACACGTAGATGGCGCTACTTCTGAAGACAGCGGTGCCCCGGATCTGAATGAACTTTGTGAACAGATTCGGTTATCTCTCGAGAAAAGGGAAATTATAGAGAAGCGTTCGGAACCTTGCACGCCTGATGATGGATTATACGGGCAATTAAGCTTGATGACGCATCTGTTGAAGCATCCACTAAGGTTTAAGACTTCAGAGCAGGGAACTAGAACGTTAGAAATGGTAAGGAAAAGTCTGTTAGTATGTTTGAATTGCTATGTAATTCCTATATATTTCTTAATAAAGACAATACTATTTTTATCAGTTCCTTTAAAATTGTGTATCTTATGATGTGTAGGTCTTTGGATTTCTCTTTGACGTTCCGAATCCCGAGCAACGTAACTTACCCAAATGCAAGTCCCAGAAATCTCGCGCGGCTGCGTACGACTTGCTCGTTGAACTTGTGCGCGGTGCGCCCGACAATTACATGGTGCTGCACAATAAACTTATGGAGCACCATAAACCAGGTAATTGGCTTATACTTTACATTCTAAATTATATTATTTTAAGAGATGATTAAAAGGAAAAGTAAATGTACAGCCTACAAGTCCCACTTTTGGACATAGCCCTCCTCTCAATTCTTGAAAGTTGTAGGTGGTAAATCAGTAACATTAAATGATTTATTAGCGTCTTTTTTTAATTTTAAATATTCGACAAACGGATTTATTAGTTCACCTGATGTGTGAAGTGGCTATCGCAGTCTATGTGCAAAATATGTAACAAATAACTGACCTCTATTATTCGAGTACGGTGGACTCGAAATACACTGTGACGTAATGAGGCGATTTGATTTTCGCCATTTTGGCGCTGATAGCAGAAGTGAGCGTCCACGGAACTAATAATAGAGATAGGACAGTATGACAAAATATATAAAAATTCTATACCCAGGCTATTCTATTATTCTATTCTATTATATCTATTCTATTTATTTATCATTTTAATTTTAATATAATGCTAAACAATAAAATGCTAAATAAATGTATCAATTAATACTTATTACACAGGCTTTTTACCTCATATAAAACAAAAATCGACGCTGCGTTATAGTATATCTACGTTTTTTTCTTAAGGACGCGATTACAAAATTGATAGGTATAGAATCGAACTATTACATTGACATGGGTCACACACACAAGTGTACGCACGGTTAGCTGCGGGAATCGTAATCAAGTATAAACATTTTGATGATTTGAAAGATTGTTTTTTTTTTTCATATTTCTTATACCTACAAAAATATACTTAGATACGAAATATAAATGGCTGCTCCAGAGACAGCTAGGTACTAGAAGCCCTCTACAGGGAGTGAGATGTTGGTTGTGGACTTTGGGCTGATTTTGTTAGTTATGATAACTTCAGCTCCGAACTTGGTGAAGTGACTTGAAGGTATACTTGGGTGACTGCTACTGGAAGTCCGGGACGAGTAGTACCATGTGTGCCGAGTTTGGGCTCATTATGTTAGGTATGATGAGACCTTACCTCCGGACTGGATGAAGACCTGAATGTGTGCTTCGGTGACTGCTACTGGAACTCATCGACGAGTAGAACTAGGTGTGCCGAGTTAGGGCTCGTTTTGTTAGTTATGACGAGACCTTACCTCCGGACTTGATGGAGAGACCTGATGGTGTACTTCAGTGACTACTACTGGAACTCCTGGACGAGTAGAACTAGGTGTGCCGAGTTTGGGCTCGTTTTGTTAGTTATGACGAAACCTTACCTCCGGACTTGATGGAGAGACCTGATGGTGTAATTTAGTGACTACTACTGGAACTCCTGGACGAGTAGAACTAGGTGTGCCGAGTTAGGGCTCGTTTTGTTAGTTACGACGAGACCTTACCTCCGGACTTGATGGAGAGACCTGATGGTGTACTTCAGTGACTACTACTGGAACTCCTGGACGAGTAGAACTAGGTGTGCCGAGCTTGGGCTCGTTTTGTTAGTTGTGACGAGACCTTACCTCCGTACTTGATGGAGAGACCTAATGGTGTACTTCAGTGACTACTACTATAACTCCTGGACGAGTAGAACTAGGTGTGCCGAGTTTGGGCTCGTTTTGTTAGTTATGACGAGACCTTAACTCCGGACTTGATGGAGAGACCTGATGGTGTAATTCAGTGACTACTACTGGAATACCTGGACGAGTAGAACTAGGTGTGCCGAGTTTGTTAGTTATGATGCGCAGTTGCCCTTGAATTTGATAATACCATATATATTTTCTCCGACGTGCCTAAACTCGGCACACCCAGTTCTACTCTTCCAGGAGTTACGAAGTACACCATCAGGTCTCTCATCAAGTTCGGAGGTAAGGTATCGTCATAACTAACAAAATGAGCCCAAACTCGGTACACCTAGTTCTACTCGTCCAGGAGTTCCAGTAATAGTCAGTGAAGTACACTATCAGGTCTCTCCATCAATTCCGGAGGTAAGGTCCCATCATAACTAACTTAACGAGCCCAAACTCGGCACACCTATTTCTACTCGTCCATGAGTTCCAGAAGTCACTGAAGTACACCATCAGGGCGCTCCATCAAGTACGGAGGTAAGATCTCGTCAAAACTAACAAAACGAGCCCAAACTCGGCACACCTAGTTCTACTCGTCCTGGAGTCCCAGTAGTAGTCACTGAAGTACACCATCAGGTCTCTCATCAATTCCGGAGGTAAGATCTCGTCATAACTAACAAAACGAGCCCAAACTCGGCACACCTAGTTCTACTCGCCCAGGAGTTGCAGTAGTAGTCACCAACATACACCATCAGGTCATTCTGTCAAGTCCGGAGGTAAGGTCTCGTCGTCACTAACAAAACGAGCCCAAACTTGGCATACCTAGTTCTACTCGTCCAGGAGTTCCACTAGCAGTTACCAAAGTACACCTTCAGGTCATTCCATCAAGTCCGCAGGTAAGGTCTCGTCATAACTAACATAAGGAGCCCAAACTCGGCACACCTAGTTCACCTCGTTGAGGAGTTCTAGTAACATTCACCGTATACTTTCAGATCACTCCATAAAGTCCAAGACGAATAGGATTTATATATATATATATATATATATATATATATATATATATATTATAAATCCCACTTGCTTTTAGCGAAACAAAACATTATAATAAGAATTTGTGATTATAAAAATAATTATATTATCTATTATTTTACTTTGTCAGGTCATGTACCTATGTAAATTCGAATATTTTGTGTTTGTACAGCGATCTTTTTCAGCTGCTGCAGGCGATACAGCGTACACCCGCGATAGCGGCCGAGCGCCGACTGTGGTTTCATCGAAATTTTTGTACAACAAATCAAAACAGGCACTAAAAACCCTTATTGCAATCCATTAGGATTCATCTGTATCAGCAAAATATGTCAAAAAAAATAAGCATCAGTTTTTTTTTACGACCATTTGTGACATTTTGATAAAAAGTAATCTCCAGCATTTTTTATTGAATATGTCTGCCTACTTACAGTATTTTTAGAAATGTTAATATATGTTGATAATAGAACAAAAAATGTACCGAAACATGTGCCGGTATCGTTAATTTTGTAGAAAATGGCTAGGGAATATCCTTTTTACAATGTAAAAAACTATTATTTTCAACAAAAAAGTTACCACCATTTGAAGATAAAGAACCATTCTATACGTTGTAGTTATTAGTTATATTTGATTTGGTTTAGTTTTGTCACAAAATGTACCGAAAACCAGCATAATTTGGCCCGATTTGCGTTTGCAAATCGGGCCAAATTATGCTGGTATGCACCCTTAACTATAGAACAGATTTTGTTCCGGGTATCACCACTGGGTTTGTATGGTTCATTCGAGAGGGTTAAAAAGGTCCAATGAGGAGGAATAACTGAATTTATTGTTAACCGTTCCTTTAGTCCTCGAAATAGAGAAAATCAATTAGTTGCCAAAATATTATGCCTGTTTCAACAATATCTATAGGTAATTAGAATTTTACGAACTTTAAATTAATTAATACCACAAATCATTAACGTCATAATCAATTTGTTTTGGATGCCAATTCACAAGTTTTATGCTTTTTAGTCACATTTTTATTAGAGAGTCAGTTGATAAAAATTTGACTATTATCTGTGGTCAATGACATTCATTGCTGTAAATAGATATAGGTAGAAATAAACTCGTCAACCTTATTGAATTTTATTGTTTATCAAAATTAGGTAATTCAATTAGTAATTACATTTATTAAAATAAGTGATAGGTTTTTAAGTGTTTATATTATCATATACTTTAAATTATTAATAGAAACTGTAAATCTCCTTACTTGTAGAATGTTACCCCACGTCCCTTCTGGTAACGAGCTTTACAAATCACGCATACTTATTGTTACTAAAAATACTTTTTACTGTATTACCATCAACTAATATAAAATGTAATTAAACTTCATAACATACGCTCTTTTTCTTGTTTAAAATTTTAAAATACTCTGACGTTTTGAGCAAAACTACGGCCAATTATAAATTATATAAAATTTAGTTCCCAGTACACTCAACGGCTGCGCTTCGAATCGGCACAAACGTTTTGTAGGGTATATAGCCAGTCCAGTACTAGTATATATGGAGTTCAGTGGTAAGAAATGGTATGTCATCCCTAAGGACTGAGATGAAATGCCTCACTGTCTCTTGCTATTGAAACTGAACAGACAACAATGCTGACAGAAATAAATAGGAGTGTAGTCGTAACCCAGATCAGCCCCTGACAACATTTCTGCATCGTTATTGACTAAAATTGTATGAAAATATAAATAGCGCCTCTGATGGACTTAAATAGAGCTATGTTTGGTGTTTAAAATTCACTCGATAGCGATGCGATTTGGATAGATAAAAAACTCATGCTTTGGGATCTAAAAGAAGTAGATCTCCTCCTGTTTTCGATCAGGTTAATTTACGTTATATTACATTCCACTGTACGTGATGGGAACATGTACAGGGCCCCAGTCAGGCTACCCGTGGGACTACTGGCCGGCGGAGGAGTCGCGCTCGGAGTGCGGCTACGTGGGGCTTACGAACCTGGGCGCCACGTGCTACATGGCGTCGTGCATGCAGCACCTGTACATGATGCCGCAAGCTCGCGCTGCCGTGCTGAGCGCCGACCCGTCGCGCAGCCGCCACGCCACCACGCTGCACGAGATGCAGCGCATGTTCGCATACCTCATGGTGAGTTGCGTATCTCGTGCTGCATGCTGCACCTGTACATGATGCCGCACGCTCGCGCTGCCGTGCTGAGCGCCGACCCGTCGCGCAGCCGCCACGCCACCACGCTGCACGAGATGCAGCGCATGTTCGCATACCTCATGGTGAGTTGCGTATCTCGTGCTGCATGCTGCACCTGTACATGATGCCGCACGCTCGCGCTGCCGTGCTGAGCGCCGACCCGTCGCGCAGCCGCCACGCCACCACGCTGCACGAGATGCAGCGCATGTTCGCATACCTCATGGTGAGTTGCGTATCTCGTGCTGCATGCTGCACCTGTACATGATGCCGCACGCTCGCGCTGCCGTGCTGAGCGCCGACCCGTCGCGCAGCCGCCACGCCACCACGCTGCACGAGATGCAGCGCATGTTCGCATACCTCATGGTGAGTTGCGTATCTCGTGCTGCATGCTGCACCTGTACATGATGCCGCACGCTCGCGCTGCCGTGCTGAGCGCCGACCCGTCGCGCAGCCGCCACGCCACCACGCTGCACGAGATGCAGCGCATGTTCGCATACCTCATGGTGAGTTGCGTATCTCGTGCTGCATGCTGCACCTGTACATGATGCCGCACGCTCGCGCTGCCGTGCTGAGCGCCGACCCGTCGCGCAGCCGCCACGCCACCACGCTGCACGAGATGCAGCGCATGTTCGCATACCTCATGGTGAGTTGCGTATCTCGTGCTGCATGCTGCACCTGTACATGATGCCGCACGCTCGCGCTGCCGTGCTGAGCGCCGACCCGTCGCGCAGCCGCCACGCCACCACGCTGCACGAGATGCAGCGCATGTTCGCATACCTCATGGTGAGTTGCGTATCTCGTGCTGCATGCTGCACCTGTACATGATGCCGCACGCTCGCGCTGCCGTGCTGAGCGCCGACCCGTCGCGCAGCCGCCACGCCACCACGCTGCACGAGATGCAGCGCATGTTCGCATACCTCATGGTGAGTTGCGTATCTCGTGCTGCATGCTGCACCTGTACATGATGCCGCACGCTCGCGCTGCCGTGCTGAGCGCCGACCCGTCGCGCAGCCGCCACGCCACCACGCTGCACGAGATGCAGCGCATGTTCGCATACCTCATGGTGAGTTGCGTATCTCGTGCTGCATGCTGCACCTGTACATGATGCCGCACGCTCGCGCTGCCGTGCTGAGCGCCGACCCGTCGCGCAGCCGCCACGCCACCACGCTGCACGAGATGCAGCGCATGTTCGCATACCTCATGGTGAGTTGCGTATCTCGTGCTGCATGCTGCACCTGTACATGATGCCGCACGCTCGCGCTGCCGTGCTGAGCGCCGACCCGTCGCGCAGCCGCCACGCCACCACGCTGCACGAGATGCAGCGCATGTTCGCATACCTCATGGTGAGTTGCGTATCTCGTGCTGCATGCTGCACCTGTACATGATGCCGCACGCTCGCGCTGCCGTGCTGAGCGCCGACCCGTCGCGCAGCCGCCACGCCACCACGCTGCACGAGATGCAGCGCATGTTCGCATACCTCATGGTGAGTTGCGTATCTCGTGCTGCATGCTGCACCTGTACATGATGCCGCACGCTCGCGCTGCCGTGCTGAGCGCCGACCCGTCGCGCAGCCGCCACGCCACCACGCTGCACGAGATGCAGCGCATGTTCGCATACCTCATGGTGAGTTGCGTATCTCGTGCTGCATGCTGCACCTGTACATGATGCCGCACGCTCGCGCTGCCGTGCTGAGCGCCGACCCGTCGCGCAGCCGCCACGCCACCACGCTGCACGAGATGCAGCGCATGTTCGCATACCTCATGGTGAGTTGCGTATCTCGTGCTGCATGCTGCACCTGTACATGATGCCGCACGCTCGCGCTGCCGTGCTGAGCGCCGACCCGTCGCGCAGCCGCCACGCCACCACGCTGCACGAGATGCAGCGCATGTTCGCATACCTCATGGTGAGTTGCGTATCTCGTGCTGCATGCTGCACCTGTACATGATGCCGCACGCTCGCGCTGCCGTGCTGAGCGCCGACCCGTCGCGCAGCCGCCACGCCACCACGCTGCACGAGATGCAGCGCATGTTCGCATACCTCATGGTGAGTTGCGTATCTCGTGCTGCATGCTGCACCTGTACATGATGCCGCACGCTCGCGCTGCCGTGCTGAGCGCCGACCCGTCGCGCAGCCGCCACGCCACCACGCTGCACGAGATGCAGCGCATGTTCGCATACCTCATGGTGAGTTGCGTATCACGTGCTGCATGCTGCACCTGTACATGATGCCGCACGCTCGCGCTGCCGTGCTGAGCGCCGACCCGTCGCGCAGCCGCCACGCCACCACGCTGCACGAGATGCAGCGCATGTTCGCATACCTCATGGTGAGTTGCGTATCACGTGCTGCATGCTGCATGGCGTCGTGCATGCTGCAGCGTAGCTCTACTAAGTATAAAACTGTCATTATTTCACTTCAGAATACTAATCCATTAAGCTGTTATGAGATTTTACATCAGGAAGCAGTCTATGACGCTGCTCCAGTGTTAATTTTATTTGTGCATTGTTTTAAGAAATGTAACATTTTTCTTTATTGATAATTAAAAACAATTTATGAATTGTTATAGGAAAGCGAACGGAAGGCTTACAACCCCCGAAGCTTCTGCAAAGTATATCAAATGGACCACCAACCACTGAACACATGCGAACAGAAGGACATGGCTGAATTTTTTATCGATCTCGTTTCCAAGCTAGAAGAAATGACACCCGAGCTTAAGAAGCTAGTCAAGACACTATTTTGCGGAGTGCTCAGCAACAATGTTGTTTCTTTGGTATGTGTAATTTAATATTGTGGTTGTAATAATGATTTTATATTTAAAACCACTTACCTAAAATTTATAACGCGTTAATATTCTCTGCTGTCATTACCATACATTTACAAATAACAATAAACGCGAAGATTTTTTTATATAACTTTATTCGCTAATTATTTTCTAAATGTAAAAGGCAATGAAAACATATGGTCAATAAGGTTGGTTATAAAAATTCTCTTGAATTTCTAATTCTTAAACATTATATTGTGTCGAACTGCGCAGACGTGTGCATTATATTTAACAAACATACTAAAAATATTTTACAAATTACGTTAATGTTATGCAATTCACAGTGATACTTAGGATTACTTAGTGATATTATATCCCCGAGACTCTTTACCGCTCTGCATTGGAAGACGTTTTCAAGCTACTGGACTGAAAAGGATACGGTATTAAAATCAATGGCACTTGGAGGAAAAGGCGTGCTCAAAGCCTCATCCTAATTTGGAGTCACTCAAGACATCCTTGATTAAGGCAGCCGCCGATATTGACATGCTCCTCGTTCGTGCTGCGATAGACGACTGGCCGCGCAGATTGAAGGCCTGTATTCAAAATCACGGAGGTCATTTTGAATAAACTTTAGTGTCATAAGAATCTATGTTTTGTTAAGTTCATTTTGGTATATAAATGGTTACATAATAAATAACCTTGTTCCAATTATTTTATATTAAACATGTGACAGAATTTATGACCTGACTAGGTATAATGCATACTGTTAATATTATTTTGTATGTAAAATCTCTGTAAAAGTAAAGTGTGTTCTTTAAGAGAAATAAATATCTTTAACCCGATATTGAATGTAAACCAGTTTCCGAAAATATCATCAGATTGTTAATGACAGTTTTTAAATGGCGGATTCGTACCAACGATCGGCGAGAGTTAGGCAGTTTCATTAACTTTCTTTATCATTTTATTATTGGTTCATTTATAATATTATATTATCATTATTAGGATGGTTTGTCGGAATCGTCACGCTTTAAGGTGTAAATCATGGGCACTTGATTATGTTTTAGCTTCCTTATTGACTTACATGTTTTGTAGGATTGTCCGCACGTGTCCCGCACACTAGAGGAGTTCTACACGGTGAGGTGCCAAGTCGCCGACATGCGCAATTTGCACCAAAGCCTCGATGAAGTCACCGTAAAAGATACCCTGGAGGGCGACAATTGCTACACCTGCTCGCAGTGTGCGGCAAAAGTACGGGCTGAGAAGAGGTATGTTACAAATTGTTAAAAAATGGAATCAATTTTTAGTGGCACAACCATTACGTATTTTAAGGCCAGTTCGATATAACATTAAAAAAACTTTCTGGTTTTCATAACATTTATTTTTTTACTCATAAACGTAATTAAAATATCTGCAAAGATAAAGCTACCATCATTAATTGTCGTTATTTTTTTTAAATTAAATTAACACGAAATTGTTTTTACTTTATTGTCATGTAGGGCGGTCATGTTAATATGAAAATTGAGTGGAAAGTTAAGGTAAAAAAAAATTGCCTACAGCAGACTAGGGCGAATAAACTAATTACTCCCTTACTATACACGCGGGATAGGAATAAGATTGAATTTAATGGGAACTTCACGCGTAACGACATGAAATTATTAATAAATTAAAGAAAATTCATTTATAATATGTATTTTTGTTTAATTTTTTGCACGCATAAAGTTAGTGCGCATTGCGAAAAGAAATGTCAGTTTGACCGTCCTGTTTTATCCTGCGGGTGTAGTACATACATTTTGCTTAGTTGGCTTTTCAAAGGGTTTTCTGACTATTCCACAGGGCGTGCTTCAAAAAGCTGCCAAGAATCCTTTGTTTCAACACAATGCGATATACATTCAATATGCTGACGATGTTGAAGGAAAAGGTCAACACGCATTTCTCGTTCCCCATGCGACTAGATATGTCAGGATATGTAGAAAAACATCTGATGCCTGCCCAATATCAAGGTAATATTTTCAAGACTTACTTTAAACTGGAAGTTTATTTTAACCCTAAGAGTTTTCTTTACGGGGACTACAGGACCGAAACGCAAGTTTTATTATGCCTTAAGTATATGATTCACTGCAGTAAACAAAATTAGAAAAATATATGACATTTTTTAGAACAAGATAGTGTGTTGAAAACACAATACTCCTAATTTGATACGATAGAAAAAAAATTCACAAAGAAACCTCTAAAAATTTCTTTTAACGATTAAAAACCATACTAATGTACATGCAATCATTCTGATTTTTTGTCAGATTATTCTATAAGCTAGATTATTAACGTAATTGTATTTTTATTTTTTAGTCCAATCAATAGATTTTTTATTTCAAATCGTTTACTCTCATTTCAGAACATAATACGTACGCATGTGTACGTTAACGTCTGTGTACCAACAGTGCCGACCGAGGCCTGATGCCATACAGAAATTATATAAGTGTGTGCGTGCGTCATTCGAGGTCACTTAGCTCATGTAGTTCTCTTAAAAAATCGTTTAACTACTTTATTTGTGGTGGTAACTCAATTACTATAACTAGAGCTGAAAAGTGCCATTCGAGTTTCCCTTTAGATTAGAAATTGAACCTTAAAGTGATCACTAATCGCTTCCTGGACGGTGAAGCTAAACATCGTTTGGAAACCTGCACACTAAGCAAAAAAAAAATGTGGCATCTACGTTGAAGCCGCGCGCGGACTTTTTTGTATCATAACTCTCAAAATAAGTTAATTTTTTTTATTTTAAACCCTTGATATACACTTTATACCTTTATAAGAGTGATTTATTTTACACGATATAATTTCGTTATGTGTGTATATTATAGAAGTGCCTCTGTATTTTTTTTTAATATTATTAAAACTACTAATGAATTTACGGTTTATCTGATGGTAAGTGGCTACTGTAGCCCATGGACAGCTGCAGCCAACAAACAAAGAAGGCTACAGAGATGTTGTCATTTTTGTGGACTATGATGGTATACCTGAAGGCCCGTAATTGAACTGGTTCTCTATACCCCGTAGACCGGAACACAACGGTGCACGCAATGCTGCTTGCCCAGATGAATTAGACAGGACAGGAGTCCTACCTCCGAGTAATTTATGTTCTTACTACAATTTCTTGCTTTCTAATATTATAAATATACTTTCAGAAGAGAAAAGAAAGTCGGAAGAACTCAAAAAGGATTGCGAGGGAAGTCCAAGTGCCGAGAGTGAGGATAATTCCGAGTTTGAAGAACACTACGAGTAAGTTAGTGACGTTATATTTAATCATTATTACTCCATTTTTACAGTGTTTTATATCTGTGACTCTTATAAAACAACATTGACCTTTTGTAACCTGTGACTGAGTACAATCTCACATGCTACATAAAAGATATTTTATTGCTTGGTTCTGGTTGTTATTTAGTTAAAACGATTGTAGGAATACCTGATTACAACCCTCGCTCCCTCTATCTTGGGTTTTAGCAATTATAGTACACACGATTCACGATTCATAGATTAAAGCTGATTTTATTACTTACGAAAAGATATAGATGTTTTCTTTTGCATATTCCGTATACATGGAATCATTCGAATTGCGCGTTGCAACTGAAGTCGATAAAACAACCCTAAGATATGTTCAAAGTGGACATTGCCGTATATGTCTTATCTCAAATATATTATAATTCGCGCGCGATCTGATTGAGATTAAACCTTGTCGAATGTAACTTAATATGACGGTTTCAAATTATTTTTGCGATTTGTGTTTCTGACACGAGCGAAAATCTATGACAAATTAATATTGTAACACGTGTATTGACTCGCGGCCTATGTCGCGCTACATTCCAACGCGTGCTTCAGTTTCAAAAGTTTGCATCCCATTCTGAATGCGCGCGGATTATACCATGTGACAGACAAATCCAGACATTGTGACACCGACGACGTTAATAATGCAATTGCAGATACGAGCTGATCGGTGTGACGGTACACACGGGCACGGCGGACGGCGGGCACTACTACTCGTTCATTCGCGAGCGCGAACGTGAGCGCGAGCACGCCGACCGCTGGCTGCTGTTCAACGACGCCGAGGTCAAGCCTTTCGACCCCGCGCACATTGCAGCAGAGTGCTTCGGGGGCGAAATGACAGTATGCACCAATTTGTCAATAGCTCTTACAACGAATTGAGTTTTTGAGAATAATAATGTTTAGAATTAAATTTTGATGCTCGCTAACGTTCAGCCGTCATCAGTTTGACAACAGTTTTTTTTTAGCAAGGGATCTAAAACGCCGCCTCAGTGCCAATTGTTGGACAACTTCACACGTCCTTGAAATTGTTAAACTTCTCATGTTACGTTTTTTATTATTTTTTGTTGCGAGCGTAATTTATGGTAAACCATTACTTAAAATTGCAACTAACTATTTAATTGATATTGACAGGAATCAAACTCCCTTTTCTGCGTAGGGTACTCTTAGACTTGAGGTTATCGTTACCACAGTTATATTTTCTATATGATAACAAACATTTTTCACGTCCTAGAAACAATTTCTTTCAATCATATTTTTTCAAATTATTTAAATTAAATTTACCTAAATTTGAAATAATTAAAAAAATGTATTCTATATCAACGTTTTTGTTCCAGAGCAAAACATACGATTCAGTGACGGACAAGTTCATGGACTTCTCGTTCGAGAAGACGAACAGCGCGTACATGCTATTCTACGAGCTGAGTCCGCCGCGAGCCCAGCGCGGTTCCGACTGCGGTCAGCAGGACGAGGCACAGGTAAAATTCCGTCCCTTATTCATTTAGTCAAGTATATACAGGGTTATTTTTCAAAGAGTAGCCAAATTTTAAACTTAAGTTCAAATATATAAATAATGATATAGATCTTTATTTCAAATTATCCCAAATTGAATGAGATTTATGGGCAACAACTACGCGTACGTGCTCTTCTCTGTGTGCGATTTTTTACGTTTTAACGTTTTTGCCGTCCGATCGTGTGCGTGCGTAGTAAAATAGTAGGCGTTTGATATTTATGAATGACAATCAAAAATAATGCATTACCACGCATTCTGAATTTAAAAGATAAAAAGAACGGAATATTTGAATTTTTTTTTCAATTAATTTTTCTTCACCATTTGCCTATATTACTTATTCTGAACCTTCTCTGCAAATTGGGCCGGTTAAAGCAAAATAACCCTGTATATTTTAAATGGAAACCTTACAAACCTGTAGTTGGTTGGTAGTCATATTATTTACATTTACACTTGTACAAGTAAATTTGTATTTGCCGATAATGTACAAATATTGATGATTATCACAAATATCGGAGTGTGTGTTTTCCCACGTACTGTGTAGCTTTATAACATTAAGGTTACGTGGTTATTCCAGTCGTCAACAGCTGAAGAGTCGAGTGCGACTTGTTCGCTGGAGCGGCGGTGCAGCGACAGCGCGCCAGCCGTGGCATTGCCGCCCGATTTGCTCAAGTGGATCTGGGACGATAACATGCAGTTCCTTCACGATAAAAACATATTCCAGCACGCGTATTTCACGTAAGTTTTATATAGTTGTTTGTATAATATAAAAGGTAATTAATATTCCATTCTCTTCGTTATTAATTCATAATTAAATGCTTACTAAATACCTTATCCACTATTAAATTAATATTATGCATAATAGTGGACAGTTTTATGTATTATAAAATAAAGTGACTTCTTTGTGTATATTTCCACAATTGTTTTCTCAGTTATTTCCGTACTTCTGTGCATTCCACTTTCTCATTCAAATATCCTTTACTGTTTTTTTTTTTTTTTTTTTTTCAATATAGATTATAAATAATACTTATTGAAAGTCATTCTTTTGTTTGATTACCACTGGTTCGGAAAAAACCTCTGTCCTGGGAAGAACCAGCAAGAAACCCAGCGGGACTTTTTTTTTTAAATAACAGCTTACAATCATGATGTTACACAAATTAACAACACAACAAATTAGAAATAGCTTGGTAGCGATCACCTCATTTCCAGGGGTTATTATCATCCATAAATTCCTTAATATTATAATAACCCTTTTTATACAAACTTAGTTTAATAAAGTTTTTGAACTTTGAACAGGCCAAACTTTGTATATTTTCTGGAATTTTGTTGTAAAAGCGTATACATCGCCCCAAGAATGAATTACTGACTCGATGGAGTCGAGTAACTGGTACTACTAGCTTGTGTCTGTTCCTAGTATTTACAGAATGAATATCACTTATTTTTATAAAACTACTTTTATTTTTGTGTACGTACATTAAATTTTCATAAATGTATTGAGAGGCCAAAGTTAATATATTAATTTCCTTAAATTTTTGTCGCAGCGACACTTTAGGCTTTAAATCATAAATTGCTCTTATGGCCCTCTTCTGCAAAACAAATATAATTTCAGTGTCAGCTGCGTGTCCCCATAGCAAAATACCATACGACATTATGCTATGGAAGTAGCTGAAGTAAACTAGTCTAGCTGTTTCAACACTGGTTAGACTTCTAATCTTTTTTACAGCATATGCTGCAGAACTAAGTCTGCTTGCTAGTTTTGATATATGGGGGCTCCATTGAAGCTTCGCGTCTAGTGTGATTCCAAGAAAAATGGTGGTATCTACAAGACTCAGTTTCTCCCCATTTAAAATTACATTAGTATTTAATTGTTTGACATTTGGAGTCACGAATTTCATACATTTTGTTTTAGTGCCATTTAAATGCAAATTATTAACATCGTGTTACATTTGAACTCCTTATAACCGGCGGTCTGTTTCTATTTTCTATATATAAGTTTATTGAAAATGTATTTATTCTCGACTGTCATATAATCTTGTGCTTACTTACATAGTTTATTATTGAAGAATATTAATAAAATGAAATATAACTGAATATCACTATAGAAAACACTGAACTATCTTCTATAAATATTCAATTTTATATGTATAGATTTAACAAATAAGATTTAATTTGGCAGGTTTATGGGACAGATGTGTAGCTCGGTGCCACAGTCGCTACTGACGCTCAGGCCTGAGATTACCGAGGTCGCGGCGCGGCTTTCAACTTCATTCTTCATCGAAACATTCATACATGCTAAAGAAAAGGTGAATATTATTTTGTTACCTTTCTTTATACAATAACGATTACAATAATATCCTGGTGTTCTTGATAATTATCGACATATAAAAGAATTATTGTCAAAAATATCTGACAAAAAACCTAAAATTATTGGCATATGATTAAAAGAGAAGTAATAATCAAGAAAATATGATATTTATACTTTCATGTGTAAAAAGAGGACAACTTTGTTGCGTAAAATTCCTCGAAGTCAGTATTTTAACTCTCTTTTATATTTAATATATAAGCTTAAACTGAGTTGTAAAAACGACGAGAACGTTCTCTATTCGACGAGTATGTTTTTTAAATGAATATTTACTGAATTCTCAGAAACGGCTAATGATTCTTTCGTATCGAATTTTTTTAAGAAATCTAAATCATTCCCAAAAAGTGAATAAATATGTATATGGATTAAGTTTTTAATGTAACCATGAAAATATATTTTAAATAGTTACATATTACAGTAGAATCCCGATTATCCGAACATCGATTATCCGAACATCCGATTATCCGAACTCATTCGTCAAGGCTTTAATTGCCGATTGAAAAATGTTTGACGGCGCAATGAGACATGTTACGACGAGTTTATTCCCGCCTCCGACCGTGTCTCCTGCTCCAATTTGTTTGTGTGATAGTGTTTGTTATTGTTTTATTTTCTTTGATAGCGTTCAATTGATAGGTTGTCTTTTAATTTTGTTTACGTTTTGCGTTGGAACTCTAAAATGTCCAAGGGAAAAGAGTAATGTTGTCTCTTAAAGACAAAGTAAATATAATTGAGAGTACAAAAAACGGTGAATCTGGCAGTAAGTTGGCGCAAATGTATAGTGTAGGAACTTCTACGATATCAGACATTAAAAAGAATCCTGATTCCATAATGAAATTCACCTGCGCGCTTGAGAAAGAAGATGAAAGCTCGCTACATAAAGTAATGAAAAAAATTTCAAAATGAAATTGTCTCCAGTTTTTACTTGGTTCTTACAAAAGAGACCATGCGGTCAGCCCATATCTGGACCTCTTTTATGTGGAAAAGCATTGGATTTTAATCAAAAGCTTGGTGATACTTCTTTCAAGGCGAGCTGTGGATGGTTAGCAAGATTTAAATTTAGACATGGTATTCGAGAACTGGAGATCCAAGGAGAAAAACTGTCTGAAAAACTTTATTAAGGAAATTAATTTAAAAGATTGTTGTTATATGCTGGTAAAAGCGTGGAACTCTGTGGAATCGCAAACATTAAAAAAGGCATGGAATAAATTATTTAAATTAACTCCATCTAATCCTTCAATTATACCGCACGACGATTTCAAAGAAATAACAGAAGCAATGAAAATTCTTAGCATTGGTGAAGGTTGCGAGGAAGAGAATATCAAAGAGTGGCTGAAGCGGTGAAGAGCGATATTGATAACCCTGGATTCCAAATATTAACTGATGAAGATATCATTGACGATTTGAATAGTAACGAGAGAGAAGATGAAGAAGAGACTGAAACTAGGGATGTTTGTTAAGTACCATCTCACGCGGAAGCTTTTGAAGCTCTAGATATTGCTTTTAAGTGGATTGAAAGTTAGGACGAATTGGATCCCATACAGTTGTTACAACTGAAGCGCATCAGGGACTTGGCTGCAATGAAAAGATGTGATTCATTACGTCAAAGATCAATAACAAGATATTTCCAATCAAAATTTTAAATTACATACATAAAATGTAGGTACATATTACGTACTTCATTATCGTTATAGCTCGTAATGTTTATATTGTATTGTATAAACGACGTATGTAAAACTCATTACATAATAATAAAATATTAAAATTTAAATATTGTTTGATTTAAATTTGAAATCGATTATCCGGATTTTCGATTATACGGAATACCCCTGATCCGGATAATCGGGATTCTACTGTAAATGATTGTCAACTTTTTTTAAATTCCCGCTTGAATTTCTTGCTGGTGCTTCCTAGGACAGATATTTTCCGAATCAGTGGTAATTTAAACATAAGAGTGACTTTCAATAAGTATTATTTATAATAGTAGTATTTGAAAGGGACGAAGAGAGAACGAAGTGTGAAATATGGGTAAATCAGGAATGTCTAGAACAGGTAAATGAAATTGTATACTTGGGGAGTGCTTTTAGCCGGGATGGAAGATGTGATTTAGATGTGGACAGGCGTGTCGCTGCCGGGAACAAAGTCAATGGTGCCCTGACTGCGTTAGTCAAAAGGCAAGGCGTAGCGAAGAGTGCACGCCTTGCAATACATAACGCAGTGTTGGTACCGACTTTGTTATATGGCAGCGAAAGCTGGGTATGCCAGAAGAAGCATAAAAGTAAGTTGAATGCAGTGGAGATGCGATCTCTTCGTAAAATGTGCGGCGTTACCATGGCCGACCGAAAGCGAAACGAAAAGATTCGCAATATGGCAGGTTTGAAAGATGACCTTGTCACAAAAATTGATAAGGGCGTGCTTCGGTGGTTTGGGCACGTTGAGCGAATGAGTGAAGACCGAATGGTGAAGAAAATATATAGCGCGAAAGTTAATATTAAAAGGTGTCGAGGTAGACCGAGACTAACTTTCGAAGACCATGTGAGCAAATTGCTCGAAGAGGGTATGGTCAAAAGTACTCGGATACCTAGACGTGCATGCATGAAGAAGATAATGAATCTGAAAGAAGCGAAAGAGGTTTGTAAGGATCGTGACGCTTGGCGATCTGTTCTCTCTGGCTACCCCGTCAGGGATTGTGCGTGAAGATAAGTATTATTTATAATCTATATTGAATAAAAATGTTTCTATTTCTAATGAAATGTTGGTAAAAAACAAGTTAAGAAGCAGTTTGAGTATTATCTCATTGTAAGTTGTAGGCATGAAGCAAATATAAAGAGGAGATGTTTTAATTAAATTTCACTATGTAACAACGCGTGACAATTTGCGGGGTGAGGGGATGCAAAGCCCCGCCCACTTTACACTACATCTACATCTACCGATAAATAGTAAAACTACTCGAATCTTTCCATATCGATGTTACAATGTAGCTTAGCTACCTTGACGGTAGATGGCGGCATGTCCACGAAATATTATAAACTATAAAAATAATATATTGGCGATTAAAATTTCTTTATGTGTGAATGCAAAACAAATTTCAGTACCTTCGTATGATTATTTTATCATTACTGAGCTCTACGTACCTTTATATTTTTAGTTCACAGTAGACAAAGTGTCGCCATCTAGTGTGGAATATATTTAATTATATTTAAAAGCCGACGCAAAGAGATTTTTCTAGAACTATTTTAATAAATTAGGTGTAAAATTATTTACAAATGAAATGTGATGCCATCCATAACATCAGAGCGTCTATCTGAGTAGTTTTTACACAATAAAACACAACACTTCGTCCTTTTCTTCTTAATACTACGAAAATACACCGATTTGCGATTTTTTCAACACATAGCGCACAGGACGAATGCTGACAGTATACTAACTAAAGCCACGCCTACTATGATGACGTCAGGACCTACTTAGAATCACAGTGCACAGTTGCTTATGCCGTCTCCCCTTTGTATTAGCTTCATGGTTGTAGGAGTCAAAAGGTAAAACCCTAAAAGATCTTAATGTGTAGGTACTCTGATATAAGCATTTAGCGTTGGCGATTGGGAACTACTAGCAATGGACTGGTTACGGGCTGGCGCAGTAAGTGGATTTACGGCTCCGCCGCTTATCAATGAGTTGCAGCGCTAAAGGCCGCGGGTTCAAATTCCGCACGGAACAAGTATTTGTATGACCTACAAATAATTTTTTCGGGTCTGGATGTTGGTTTTTGTGAAATTTATGTATATAAACTGCCACGATACAGGAGAAAATCCTAGTGTTAATCCTAGGTTACATTTAAAAAAAATTAAAAAATACGATTACTCCTAAAAGTAGAACAATTAAAAAAAGGTTTAAAAAATATGCAAAATAGTTAAAAACAGACTATTGAGGCATAGTTTTGTGTATTTACATACTCTTGAGACTAATAAACTTTTATTAATAAGCAAGTTCTCAATTATATGACATTGTTTTACAAATAACTTCACTTCAGTCAATGACGACATCTGGTGATGTCGCTATTTGGGGCTGAGAACAAGATCGTTTTTAAGAAGATTAATAAGAATGATCCAACTTTTCTCTACGATTATTTTTGCTAATGGATGTATGTTTGGTAAACGCTTCAATGATTTCTCAGCCGACTATGGTGTCTTGGGTGGAGCTAGTAACAAAACAGTTCAACGCGTCAGCGGCTGCGTCGGAATGGTTCCTTGGTCATATGGCGGACAACACTTGGTGGCCTATGCAGGTGAGTTGGTTCTGTTATTTTTAGCTCCAATAAAGTTTTTGCGTAACACCTTCTTAAAGGTTTTATGTAGGATTTAATGAAAAATGAGCAACTTTCAACGTGAAATAATTTATTATACCTTAAACATTGCTTTCTCAAATATCACACTACAATTCATGTATTATTTATTCATTCACCAAAAGCCAAGTTTCACTTAAAAATCCCCTGTTGAACATAGGCCTCCCCCATAGATTGCCTCATTAGGGCATATTTGCCATAGTTACCACGCTTGGCAGGTATGTTGGCAGCCGCAGTTTTTTTATTATTTTGAGCTGTAGTAGTAGTGTAGTAGTTTGGGAAGATGCTCCTGAACATCTTCTATTTTATTTCCCTCTATCGCCTTCTACGACACCCATAGGATAATACATTATGGTAGTAAATTAAACACGGTGCACTAAAATTTCGAATGACACATGTAAACAATAAAACTAAAATGGCTGAAAAGACTAGATTTTCTAATGCAGATGTCGTCAACAATGAAAGGAGATAGTTTTAAATGTGTAGATTTTTTTATTTCGATTAATTATAAACAACTCTAAGTAAATATTATTACGATGGCTCCGTGGCGCAGTGGATTAGCAATTTTGTATGGCCTACAAATAATTGTTCCGGGTCTAGTTGCTCTCGTGCAATTTATGTTTGTAAACTGCCTTCACGATACAGGAGTAAATCCTAGTGTAGGGGTAACTTTTTCAATTTTCGTTTTCAATGCTCTATCTCGTCTCGCTGATATTACCACATGAGTAAAGAAACCGACCATAGGCAAAGCTTCATACTACCGCACTATAATAGATACACTACACACTACTACAAACTTAAGGTGCGTGAGTGTGTGAGCACTGGCGGCTCGTCACGTACAGAGGGAAGCTGTCTTAAACCGTCTTGGCTCGTGCTCAACCCAGGGTGTACACGTCGCGCATCAGTACTTGTTTTCGTTTCACGTTTGATTTAAAATATACAAAATTGTAAATATGGCTTATTATACTGTGTGTATTGACAGTAATAAAACGTATATTTCATCATCATCATTATTACAGCCTTTCATAAGTCCACTGCTGAACATAGGCCTCCCCCAAGGAATGCCACAAAGCACGGTACTGAGCCACCTGCATCCATCGACTTCCTGCATCTCTTACCAGGTCGTCACTCCATCTCGTGGGGGGTCGCCCTACACTTCGCCTACCGGTACGAGGCTGCCACTCAAGAACCTTTCTTCCCCATCGGTTGTCGGTTCTTCGAGCTATATGGCCGGCCCACTGCCACTTCAGCTTACTAATCCGTTGGGCTATGTCGGTCACTCTGGTTCTACTGCGGATATCCTCATTTCTAAGTTTATCACGCAGAGAAACTCCGAGCATAGCCCTCTCCATAGCTCGCTGAGCGACCTTGAGCTTCCTCATCCGGCCAGCAGTGAAGGACCACGTCTCAGTTCCGTATGTCATCACTGGCAACACGCACTGGGAGTACAGTCTCGTTTTCAAGTTTTGAGGTATACCTGACGAGAAGATGTGCCGTAATTTCCCGAACGCTGCCCAACCGAGTTGAATCCGTCGATTGACCTCTCGGTCGAAGTTGGACTTACCTAGTCGAACTATTTGTCCCAGATAAACATACTCGTCAACAACTTCGAGCTTAGTGCTCCCAACAACTACCGCCATAGGTATGACATGATGACATTCATCTTAAGACCTATCCGTTGGGAGACACTATTGAGGTCATTGAGCATGGTGCTTAGATCCTCCAGCGATTCTGCCATAAGGACTATATCGTTGGCAAATCGAAGGTGAGTGATGTACTCGCCATTGATGTTAATACCGTATCCTTTCCAGTCCAGAAGCTTGAAAACGTCTTCCAATGCAACAGTGAAGAGTTTCGGGGATATAACGTCACCCTGTCTTACACCTCTCTGCAATTGGATAGGTTTCGTACTCTGGTTCTGTACTCGGATAGCCATCGTAGCTCTACTGTACAAGCACTTCAGCACTTCGATATACCGACAGTCAACTTGGCACCGCTGAAGGGACTGCAGCACCGCCCAAATTTCGACAGAATCAAAGGCTTCCTCATAGTCCACATACGCCAGGCATAGTGGCAAATTGTACTCCTCGGACTTCTGTACAACTTGCCGAAGGGTATGTATGTGGTCTATGGTGCTAAAGCCCTTTCGGAAACCAGCTTGTTCGGGAGTATATTTACAATTAATAATTATTTTAAATAGCATATTATGCAATAATATTGTACCTTATATAAAAATTAATTTTTGTTTTTCGTATTGTTACGAGCTTGGGGTTCGAGACAATTAAAATCTGCCGAGTGAATTACCAAAATTGACACTTTAATTACAGAACACTAATTACAACTTAAAACCACACTTATAACAAAACACAATTGTACTACTGATCACTTTAGGTCGTACTTGTATCGCTTCGAAGTATTCGCTTGTATCGCCAACTCAACACTGACTCCGATCGCGGTCTATACCGGCCTTATATAGGGCCTCAGATAGTTCCAGAATCTTCTTTTATAGAAACATCTAGAATGTTCGAGTACATACCGGTCCCGATTGACTAGGTGTCGATAGTTCTAGATAGTTCTTCCATGGAAATTTCTAGAAGGATCTTGACTCTCCTAGTTCTGCTACTCTATACTAGAAGGCGCTAGTGGTAACTGGTGTCGCTATGTACCAGTAATTAATGTTGGCGCGCAATAGTATTTTATGCGCTGCCATACCGTTCATCATATTACGGTAAAACTTTGTCAAGTTATTGCTTGCACTGGCGCAAAGGTTATAGATATAGTAGTATATGTAGTTATCTTACAGTAGGTGACCCGCGTAAAGTACCGAAAAAAAGTTACATAATATCTTGCAACTTCTATAAATATATTATAATTCCTAAGGTCTTTTAAATTTAAAACGATACTTCCACAATTATTTCTTCTGCAGTTGCAACGCAACGGGTACGTGCTAGTAAAGTTAATAAAAGTATATCATTTGTTAAATATCCCAAAGACACCACTTGGTTAGTACTTGATTATTATTTATTATTTTTAATGTGGCAGATAGATATCTCATACATATATTATGTCAATAAATTTATTGAATTACTTGAGCAAAAATTTCGCGAATATTTTGATTTCGAAGTAATCATTGTTAATATTGATAGTCATGTATTAAAACGTGTGCAAGCGTGTATGTATATGCCATGTGAGTGATTGGATATTATTTAAGAAAGAAGCTATATTACATTTAAAATTCAACATTTAACTAAAAGGCACAACAAATTATTCAAAAACAAATAATATGAAAATAAAATATTTAAACTAAGTAGTTTGTAAAAAAGTATTTGATCACTAACTGTGATAAAATATTTTTTTACAAAATATAAATAATTAAAAGCTGATAACCATTTTGTCTATTTAATACTATCTTCCTCCGTCAACCCTATCAAAATGGGTAAAAATTTTGAACGCTTCTTAGAAGCTTTACATCTGGTAGGTTTCTTTACTTGTGTGGTATTATATAGAGTAGGCAATGTTTAAAACTGTTTAAATTTCACCTTTGAGATACTTAGCGTATGTTCCGATATAAACTGCGAGCAATACTCAGTGCTCTCACTGATGAAAAATTCGTTCCGTTATGGACTGCCAGCATATTGCCGCAGTACCCTGGGAAAATATACGACGCCATAAATTGTCGCCATTTTTGTACTGTGAGCACTGGCGCTTTCGAGGTAAGGTGCTCTCAGTACTTTGATCACGTGATGAAAAAACATAACAGCGCCTAGAGATTTAACAGCTTCCCCGAATGATTGTTATTACTATTAATTAATATTGTTATTCAAATATAATCGAACATTAAGTTTTAAAAGCAACAACATTAAAATGATCATTTTTTTTGTAAATGAAAACGTGTCCATGATAAATATTTTCATTTGAAAACAGTGTCGAAAAATGGGGATGATAGTATACTGGAGTGCGTTCCGTTTTAAACAGTAACCAGTATAGCAAACTAAAAAGAAACGGCTTCGCAGTATACTGAATAATGGCCACAGTGTATATCGGAACATACCCTAATATTTTCTTGTGTCGCTCACAGTTTTTGTCTTTCATTTTAGGTGTTAATAAAATGTCCGAATCAAATGGTGCGTCAAATGTTCCAGAGGCTATGTATGCATGTAATTCAAAGGCTGAGGTATGTTTTGGGCCAATTACGCAACAGTGTATCTTATCTATTTTCTTTTTATTAATTCTTATAATATATAATTTCTTATTAATTTGAAAATCCTATTTCAGATCTAGTCATTGTGCCTTATACCTGCAGGGTATGGAGGAAGGCGAAGATAATAGTAAATTGGGAGAAGCAAGTTGTGTTACTAGGTTTATAAGAATGTTATTATCGTTGGTGAGTACATATGGGAATTGTTAATATTAAATAAAATACTATATCTGTCCATTAATAATCTAATAAATAAACATAAAATTAAAAATATGTCACTAGCTAATTAGTAACTATTTTTTTTTTATATATGAAAAGGGTGACATGCTAGCACAACGTCCACCTAATGGTAAGTGGTTGCTGTTGCCCATAGACATCTACATATATCAGCGTTTACGAATGAAAATGCAGATGTGTTGTCAGCCGTGGGGACTAAGATGGAATGCCTCTTTTTTAGTAAAAAGGGTCTTTGGTTCTCTACACTCACCATACGAAACACAGCAGCATTGCGCTGCTATTTTTTTATTAACTAGTCATTATGATTATCATATATATATTTTGTAATTCATGTTTTAGTTAGAAAGGCAAAACCTTGATAAATAAAGTATTTAGGTAGTATATCGCTGAAATAAAAAAAATGGCTTATTAATGATGCATTATTGTATTACTTATTGATGATAAATCAAACGAAAGTTGAAGAAATATAGTTTAGAATTAAGAAAGTTCCTTATGTTGAATGTTTTGATATATTTTTATGTTATGTTTTAGTATCATTTTAAGATTAAATGAGTAATGCTTTTAATAGATGGAAAATGGTGCGAGGTCACATCTGCGACACTTGACGGAGTACTTTAGTCTCTTGTATGAGTTCAGTAAAATGGGCGAGGAAGAAGGCAAATTTATGTTGAGAATCAATGCCATTTCAAGCATGGTCAGCTTCTATCTCGGGCAGAATTCGGCTACGGTAAGTGCTTAGTTGTAAACGATTAGAGGAATTATGCTTTTTTATACAACTACCACGTTATACTTTGTAGTAACATATTTGGTATCATCTATCCCTAAATTCATCTATCACCATCTGGCAACTTTGCCATTTTTGGAAAGCCTTAAAAGTTTAGGACCAATTTTTCAATAAAAAATGTACTGTTGCGCGCCACTATTAATGTCTTGTACATGGCAACACTAGTTACACTAGCACCCTCTAGTGTTGAGTAAATGAAATAATCTAAATCATCACGTGAAATATTGTAGTAGGGGTGAAATGTTTTTGTTTATAGCGGTAACAGGTCGCTAAATTCACTGCTTTACATACACGCGGGTTTTTTTTACCAATGAGCTTTATAAGGGTCAATTTTAATTTACACCCCTTACAGAAAAATTTAATTATTCCTTTATACGTGTTAAAAATATAATGTAAAGGTGGAAGTTTGTATCATATTGCTGAATCGGTAAAGATAAAGAGGGCAATTTTGAGTTGAAATGTTGTCTGCGATGAGAAGTGGATCCTATACGACAATCGCAGGCGTTTATCACAGCGATTAGATCATGGTGTCCATGCCAAACAGTGTCCCAAACGAGAAGTTTTTTTTTATAGGATAATGGTGACAAACGAGCACACAGTCCACCTGATGGTAAGTGGTTGCTGCGGCCCATAGACATCTACATCTATCCTCTATTACAAATCAAAATATAGATGCGTTGTCACCCGTGAGGACTAAGATGGAATGCCTCATTTCCAGTAAAAAGGGCCTCCGGCCACCTGCACTTACCAAGCGAAACGCAGAGGTAAACCTCTACTTCACGCTGGTTTTCTGTGAGGTCGTGGTACCACCACCCCGGTTCGAGCCGGCCCATCCGTGCGACAGCAAAAGCTGCCGCGTGGCTCTACCACCGTTAAAAGTGTGCTTTCGATAGGATGGTTACAGAGGATGAAACGCTGGTTCACCACTATGACCCCGGAGAGTAAACAGGGGTGTAATGCAATGGCATAAGAAGAGATCAGACGAGGAGAAAAGTGCAAAGTCACTTCATCGGCCGGTAAAATCATGGCCACAGTGTTTTGGGATTCCAAAGAAATACTATTGATTGAGTACACAAAAAAAGGAGAAACCATCAACGCAGCCACCTACTCAGGTGTGTAATGCATGCCATACTACGCACTTGCAAGTGATGCCGGTGAGAACGATGAGCCGGAGCAAGTGCCAGTGATTGCCTTGTAATCTGCGGTGAGTCAAGAAGAAGGCAAGTAATCTGCGAGAGTGCCGTGAAGCAGAGTCGAGCAGTAAGGCTCAGAGCTGTGCCGAACACTGTAGCGCAGAGAGTAGCTTGAAGGAACAGGAAGCATTATTATTCCAGTGCTGCGATGAACCTTTGTAAAGCTAGATGGCTTGCAGAATGTGAAGACTGCAGACAATATCTGCTCGGGAGCGAATGAATGGGGTACTTGAGGACGATGACGAAGGTTTTTGAAGTTGTAGTTTCCGAAGGTTGTTGATTGCGTGTTCATATCATGTCGGGGTCACCACTGTGGCGGGTAAAGGAAAGGAAAAGGGGAGATCTCCCGCCGGGCAAGATGTTCTGCCCGGGGAGCGGCCAACGTTCCAAGTGGTAGTTCGGAGCTATTCTATATATTATACTGCTTTAACTTTGGAACTTTGTTAGTGCGATTTAGGCTTCGATGTGTTTCGCTTGTGGCGCGACGACAGCCCCGCCACAAACTGATGATAATGGTGAATGACTTCTTTAAAGGCGGAGTCACCATCCGAAGAGGTCGGCGGCAGCGGAGCCAGTGGAGGTGGGGGTACAGAGAGTGGAGACAAGCTGCGGCCCGGCGCGCTCGACAAGATGGTGGCGCTGGTGGCCGGGCTCGTGGAGCGCTCGCGCGACGCCAGCGGACACCTCGCGCTGCCCGAGCCTGACGCGCGCGCGCTGTTGCACGCCAAGGTGAGTGTCAGAACTAATTAAATTAAAAGATATATATATATATATATATATATATATATATATATATATATATATATATATATATATATATATACAGGCTGTCCCAGTAATGGTGGATAATCTGGTACCTACCGTTTGTCTCGTTAACACAGCTTAGAATTCGTCCAAACAAGGCGAGCAGGTAGTAAAGTAAAATTTTCAAGGGCGACAAATGTACTTACCTAATAAAGACCTGTTAAAAAAAAACTATCTGCCAATAACTTTGAAATTTTGTAATGAAATGCCTACTTTTACACATTAACGGTTATAGCCCAGTAAGTAATGATATTAAGTACATGGTATGCTAATGTTTTGGAATCCTTATGATGTAGGCAAACTTTTTAAATGGTTGGCCACACAGATCCTATACGTTTTTTTTTTCACCACAGGTGCTCAAACTTAGCAGTTAAATAAAGTAAAAAATTTAAACTTTTGTTTAGTGCCGTCTTGTAAAATACTACCCATAGCATTTGAAAACTATTAAGGGTAATTTAGAATCATCATTATTAGGGAACACATTAAAAGAAAAAAATCCGATCTAGGCATTAAACTGCGGACGTGATGACCACAAATGTGAGCCATCATCATCATCATTACAGCCCTTCACAAGTCCACTGCTGAACATAGGCCTCCCCCAAAGAATGCCACAAAACACGGTCCTGAGCCACCTGCATCCATCGACTTCCTGCATGTCTTACCAGGTCGTCACTCCATCTCGTGGGGGGACGCCCTACACTTCGCCTACCGGTACGAGGCTGCCACTCGAGAACCTTTCTTCCCCATCGGTTGTCGGTTCTTCGAGCTATATGGCCGGCCCACTGCCACTTCAGCTTACTAATCCGTTGGGCTATGTCGGTCACTCTGGTTCTACTGCGGATATCCTCATTCCTAAGTTTATCACGCAGAGAAACTCCGAGCATAGCCCTCTCCATAGCTCGCTGAGCGACCTCGAGCTTCCTCATACGGCCAGCAGTGAAGGACCACGTCTCAGTTCCGTAAGTCATCACTGGCAACACGCACTGGTTGTACAATTTCGTTTTAAGGTTTTGAGGTATGTCTGACGAGAAGATGTGTCGTAGCTTCCCGAACGCTGCCCAGCCGAGTTGAATCCGTCGATTGACCTCTCGGTCGAAGTTGGACTTACCCAGTCGGACTATTTGTCCCAGGTAAACATACTCGTCAACAACTTCGAGCTTAGTGTTCCCAACAACTATCGGCATAGGTGTGACATGGACATTAAACATGATCTTAGTTTTGTCCATGTTCATCTTAAGACCTATCCGTTGGGAAACACTATTGAGGTCATTGAGCATAGTGCTTAGGTCCTCCAGCGATTCTGCCATAAGGACTATATCGTCGGCAAATCGAAGGTGAGTGATGTACTCGCCATTGATGTTGATACCGTATCCTTTCCAGTCCAGAAGCTTGAAAACGTCTTCCAATGCAGCGGTGAAGAGTTTCGGGGATATGACGTCACCCTGTCTTACACCTCTCTGCAATTGGATAGGTTTCGTACTCTGGTTCTGTACTCGGATAGCCATCGTAGCCCTACTGTACAAGCACTTCAACACTTCGATATACCGACAGTCAACTTGGCACCGCTGAAGGGACTGCAGCACCGCCCAAATTTCGACGGAATCAAAGGCTTTCTCATAGTCCACATACGCCAAACATAGTGGCAAATTGTACTCTTCGGACTTCTGTACAACTTGCCGAAGGGTATGTATGTGGTCTATGGTGCTAAAGCCCTTTCGGAAACCGGCTTGTTCGGGAGGCTGGAAGTCGTCAAGTCTGCGCGCGAGACGATTCGTAATGACTCTCGAAAACAGCACGTAGACGCGGCTCAGAAGGGAAATCGGTCTGTAGTTCTTCAAGAGAGCGTTGTCACCTTTCTTGAAGAACAAGACCACCGCACTTCTGCTCCACGCCTCCGGTGTAATGCCACCATGGAGGACGGAATTAAAGAGCTTCTGAAGGACTTCAAGTACCGGTCTTCCACCCGCTTTCAGAAGCTCCGCTGTAATTCCATCCTCGCCTGGGGCCTTACCGTTTTTAAGGTGCTGGAGAGCCATCCTAATCTCGCTCAGACTGACATCCGGGATATCTTCGGAATAGTGTCGGATGAGACTCGCTCTTGGATCGTTACTCACACTTGCGTGTGGCTCCAACGATGATGTGTACAGCTGCCCATAGAACCTCTCAATCTCACTCAAAATCTCAGGTGTCCCGGAAACGATGCTGTCACATTCTGTCTTCAGCTTTGACAGTTGGCTCTTTCTGGCAGACAGATCTCTGGCAAAGACTTTGGAGCCTTGGTTCCGCTCGATCGCTTCTTCAATACGAGCTGTATTGAAGTTGCGTAAGTCCCGCCGCATGCATTTGGAGATCTGTCTGTTCAGATGCCTGTATGCTGTCAAGTCTGTTGAAGAATGTAGCTTCATCTCCCGTCTAACAGCCATGAGATTAAGAGTGTGATCGGAGAGTTTTTGTGTTCTTCTGCGGCGGGTCTTGCAGAACTTAGCTCCAACCGCATGGACAGTTTCCACGAGCTTGTCATTCATATCGTCCACTTCATTGCAGTCTTCTAGGCACTGAAAACGGTTTTGTAACTCGAGCTGAAAGGTTTCGGGACTTTGAAACAGAGCACGAGGGGGACGGAGCGTTGACTTCATTAGACGAGACCTCTCCAACTTAACGTTTAGGTTCAGTGTGCCTCTAACCATTCGGTGATCGCTACCAGTTTTCACCCTCGCGATCACGGAGACATCACTGAACAGTTGTCGTCTGGTCGTCATAATGAAGTCAATCTCATTTTTTGTGGAACCGTCGGGGCTCGACCAGGTCCACTTCCTGTGGGGCCGCTTCTGGAAGAAAGAGTTCATCATAAAGAGTCCCTCTTTCTCCATGAAGTCGGCCAGCTGCTGGCCCCTTGGGTTCCGTTGCCCTATTCCAAATTTCCCTACTTTCAGCTCACCGTTCTCTCTTGTGCCTAGTTTTGCATTGAAGTCTCCCATTAACACCGTATATTGGGTTTTGGAGGAATGCATGGCTCTAGAGATATCCTCATACATTTCCTCCACCTCCTCATCGGGGTGTGCCGAGGTTGGTGCGTAAACCTGTATGACCTTCAGCGAATACCGTTTGGTGATTCTGAGTATAAGGTACGCAACCCTCGTCGACACACTCCCGATTTTTGCAACGTTGTTAACGAGAGACTTGTGGACGATAAATCCGACACCTCCTTGGGACAGATGGTCGCCCTCCCGGTGATAGAGCAAGTTGCCGGATTCGAGGATTACCGTGTCCTCCCCCTCTCTTCGGACTTCAGATAATCCTATAATATGCCAGCGCAACTTGTCTATCTCTTCTTCCAGCTCCACGATCTTCTCGTCAGTCCTCAGGGTGCGTGCGTTGTACGTTGCCAGGTCGAGTCGTCTAAGGTGGCAACCGAACCTCCACCGGAGATTCTTAGCACCCCCTGCCCCGCCGTTACCATGGTCGCCACCGTAGCCAGGAATAGCGGGGCCGCCGGGGACTGGGGGCCGTTTTTTTGTTGCTCTCATCATTGGGGGGTATTTGCCATAGTTGCCACGCTTGGCGAGCGGGTTGGCAACCGCAGTTTTTTTATTGTCATTTGGCTATTATCAGGAAGATGCTGCTGCCCATCTTCTGGCTGTTTCCCTTTGTCGCCTTTTACGACACCCACGGGAGGATATGGGGTAGTGGATATTCTTGACCGCCACTACACGGCATAAATGTGAGCAAAAGTACGAATTTTCGGAATTTTATAAAACATGGCTTAGACCGCTTTTTTTAGGGAACCGAGGCCACCTCCCCCCCTCCCCCCCCGCCCGAACACGTACGTACCAGATTATCCACCATTACTAGGACAACCTGTATATTATTTATACCTATCTTGAAAATGTCATATTTATAAAAGATAAATAAAACTGAAGTGACAAACTAACTTACACTCTATCCGATGGCACGTATTCCTGCATTCCAGATACGTTGTCACCTCTGTAAACTAAGATATAATGCCTCTCAGCCTTACTGATTGTTATACTGGCTCTCTTAACCCTTCAGATATAATATTGTATACTGCACAAAGATTCATTGCAACAATATCGGTAGTAGGCTGGAATGCAGTTACAGGAAATGAGGCAATCATGAATACCGGCATCCTAAACCCAACAATGTGTGGTCTATCACAAATGTTAGTGTTTCGGTTTGATTGATTATAAAAATTGCATTTTGTTCCACTATGTTACTAATTGTAAGTTCTTGTCGTTAACTTCGATTAATGTAGTGTTGTCTTTCGCAGGGGTTTCCATTTATATACCAACAGACTCGAGACTGTTTAAACTTGCAACAGACACGGTCGCTTATCTTCGCACTTTGCCGGTGGAACGAAGCATTAGCGCAAAAGATCGTCAACATGATTTTTCAAGCAATCGCTAAACATTCTGAGGTAAGAGTTACTAATATGTAATATGAGAGAGAGAATGGACTTAATAATATGATGAAGGCAAAACTGGCGGGTTTACATATTAAGCTATTGTTAAGGATGGTATTAATCAACATTATAGTTAAACAAAACAAAAAGTAATAAAAAATGAACATTAATTTACCTTTGAATAAAATATTGTGTAATTAACTTTAAGTTTTGTGGTATGACAGAGCTGCGGCGCGCTGTTCAAGCTGCTGACTCTGTTGGTGGAGGGCAGCGGCGGTGGAGGCGGAGGGGGCGGAGGGGGCGGAGGGGGCGGAGGGGGAGGTGGTGCGGCGTCGAGCGGGCTGCCGTGCTTCACGCAGCTGGTGCTGGCGCGCCTGTGGGACGCCGCCGACGTCTGCCCGCACGCCGCGCTCGAGTGGCTCGCTCTGCAGGTCACTGCCCAATGTTTATTGCTCGGAACGCAACACTTTGTACTCCTGGGATCATGATAAATACAGCAAATTGCTGGATAAAATATAACCATATTTTCAACAGTACTTGCTATGTTAATTAATGATATTATGATGATTTAATAACGATTGCCGAGTACGTATGCAGCGGACGATGATAATACGTAAATTGGCTTAAGTGCTGACCGTGCTATGTACTGCTGCATCGTACCGTAACATTGTAGATTCGTAGCTTGTTAGAGAAATAATATGCATTAGAGGGAACTGTATTAATACAGGTTGTCTGCCAGCAGATTTTACACGTTAATTAATAATAAAAACTCAAATTCAAATGCAATCAAATTTATTTAATAATTTTCATATAATAAAATTCATGGATTTCAAGTTTGAAAACAACACCACTTAAATGACGCCCATCTAACTCTAAGCATTCTTGCAATCTTAATCTCCTCATGTTGTGGGAGACTCGCTGGCAGAGATCTGGTCTGATGTCGGTCGGATGTTGGACGGATATTTTTCTGTAGAGCTTTTATTGTCGATGGCGAGGTACTATATACGCGAGATTTAAGGTATGCCCACAGGAAAAAATCACATGGGATTAGGTCCGGCGATCTAGGGAGCCAGTCGATGTCACCAAAGCAGCTTATTAGTTTTCTCGGGAAAGTGCTCCTTATTTTCTCTCTTTTTTCTAACTTTAGCGGAATGATATGAGCCGTGGTCACATCCTGTTGGAATCATGTTCTGTTATTGAAGCCAGCATAGTTATAGTTACGTAGCTCCGGGATAAAAAAAGTTGTCCAGCATGTCGCATTAGCTTTGTGCAGTGACGATTTCACACATTCGAACATTCTGTATATAGGAAATTTGTACAACGATTTTTGTTTAATTATGGAACAAAATAAATGAAGCATATTAGCAGCGTAAACGATGCGAGATCCCCAATACTGTAGTCGTCAATACTCCTACCAAGTGTGAAGATTAGTCAACGAAAAAAGGCCCGTGTCTAGTCACGGCTAAAAAGAAAGTAAAAATTTGCCGATGAAGGAGATGGTCATCAGTCTCTCAATAACATATAATACAAAAAATTAAACATTCATACAATTATTAACTATCGAAGACAATCCAGCTAATCTTAGTGCCCTTTTTTGTGTTTTAGCTGTTTACTTCTTGTTATTTTTACCTAGCAATAGTTACCTATAATTAAAATAAAGCTAGTTTGCGTGTTTCGTTCTAAAATAAAGTATTTATTTACAATTTGTCGTGATAAGTCATGTTGATGTTTGAATAAAGAAATAAAAACCAACTATAATAAATAAAACTAGTAAGTAGTTATATAGTTTAGAGACCTTACAGTTGTGAAACGTCTTTGATGTCAGGCGAAGCCGCCGTTCGTGGCGGTATATACGCGGCCAGCGTGTATGCCAGGGGTTATCACGAAAATGGAAGTAAAATCATTTTGGATATTACAATACTCAGTATCATTTATTAATATTATCTATATATTTATAAGTTATAAACATTTATTAAACAAGATCATTTTTATTACAGCAAGAAAAAACACATTTACAAGGTTGCACTGCCAAATATTTTCGTGACACTTTCTTTTTATAGATTATTTAGTTTTTGATTGTTAAATTTAATTATGTAGTGTGTTCGCATTCAGATAAATAATATAAACAAAATATGAGGGAAACATAAGCATGGTCGTCATTTGAATTTAATTTTACTTAGTAATCATTATAGATATTATGTTTAAAACGGCATTTAAAATTATTTAAATATTAAGTACTATAAAACACGTTCGCGTCAATCGCATATATGATCTATCAGACTCAGTGAAGTGCGCTAGCACAAGGTCGGCCCGCTCCCTGCCCCCGTAGTGTCTTAATCGTTGCTCTGCACAAGTATATTCGTTTTCCTACTGTAAAGTCTAAACTGTGCTATTAGTTATATATACGGTTGTCAACCTGTCTGCCCAGTGTGGCAAATATTACAAATATTACTCACCGCCCCTATGGAAAGCGGTATAAAAGTATTTTTTATTGTAAATTTGCTTGTGACCGTGTAGTGGCGGTGTTAGAATATCCACTACCCCATATCATCCCGCGGGTGTCGTAAGAGGTGACAAAGGGAAATAAATCAGGAGATGGGCAGCAGGGTCTTACTAATAACGACTAAAAATAAAACCATGATCAGTGGACTTTAGTAGGATGTAATGGTAACGGTGAATTAGTTTTTAATGTAGTAATGAGAGTGAGTGTGTGTGTGCAGGTACCGCGCAACAAGGCAGCGCACGCGTGGGCGCTGCGCACGGCCGACCGGTGGGTGGAGGCGCAGCTGCTGGGCGCGGGCGCGGCGCGCGTGCGCGCGGCCGCCGCGCTGCTGCTGGTGGCGCTCGTGCCCTCGCAGCACTTCCGCGCCGGCTATGCGCGCGCGCGCCCCGCCCCCGCGCCCGCGCCGCCGCACCCGCCCCACCCGCCGCACCCGCACCCCGCCAAGCTGCCCGACACCGCGCACCACGCGCTGCATCAGGTGCTCACTCCACATAACCAAATTCCCACGCATACCCGCCTCGCGAGCCCAACGATAGATTTTGTTGGACTCGCACCGACTTAAACCTAATGCTAACAGAAACGATGTCGCACACGTCCGCGGCCCCACCAACCCCAGCCACCATATGACAGGCCCCGCCTAGGTATAGATCTTTTCCTTCCCCCTTCTCCTCAGATAAGGCGCATCAGAACCGCAAGGCGCGTCTTCTTCCAGGTCCTATAACTAACCAAGTCCACTCTTCCTCTTAGTTCACCATGAGCGACAAAGCCACAACTACTACGCCCCCCCCCCCCCACCATGACACGACGGGAATCCGTTAGGGACGGCGACGCCTCCTTACACAACTGCAACGATACAGTCTGCGGTTACGACCACTAGACTCGTGAGGTCTTAGGTTCGAATCCCAAACAAACCAAAATCATTTAATGAGTTTTTCTGTCAAAATATTTTTAGTAACAACCCGGAGTCAGGAAAGTGGCAAAATTACACCCTCTTACCTCAGAAAACACGTAAATCAATTAAAATCCTGCGCCTGATCTCTCTCCAATTCATAATGGCATATTATTCCTAAACGTTATAGATATACGATTGTATAAGAAAAATTAAGGAAGACGCTATAATATTTTCACAAAAAGGTTTTGAAAATAAGGTTACAAACTAAAAAAAACAATATAGATATTGTCAAATTTTTAGCAAATATTTGCGAGTGAAAAAATATAATTATTTTAATGATTACATACATAATTTTAGTTTCAAATTTCAGTTCATTTTAGGAAGAGCATGTTATACAGATTATAAGGACATAGAAATAAAATAAAACTTACGCTTTTTCATTCATAAAACCAAATTTATTGGCAGTAAATACACTTTTTCAAGATCCCTTAGAAACAAAAAGCTGTACAAAACTAAATAAACATCCAAATGTTATTGTTTCTACTTATCGACAATCTTATCAGCTTTACAGAACTGTAACTCAAACGTCTTATAACATAAATGAACAGTCGTGAATAACATAAATGTTGAAACAAGTGCCGCGCGCCGAGATGTCGTCAGGAGCCCCCCGGTAGAAAGCCGTTTTTTGTTATAGCAGGCGCGGTAACGGAAAGGTTACTAAACGTTACTCAGCTCAAGTACACGCACTTGAGTACAATCTTCAGATTATGATCTTATTAATAAACATATACCAAGATGCGGTTTAGGTTTACGATAGCAGCTGAGTGCCACACTGATTAATAAACGAAACTCGACTCTCAAGTGTGTACTTGAGTGCAAGTCACCGAACAGTATTCCTAAGTACAGCGTTTTGAGATACTGTTTTTATGTGTTTATTAATTAGCAACGATCTTGAGATGCTGTTATCGTAATGAGGGCGTATCAAATGATTACGCACTTGAGTTCGTTGTTGAGTAACGTTTATTAATACTGGCCTAAAATACTGTCTTACGCAGATGACTAATCTACGTTAAGACTGGCCACCTTGAGCAAAATTCGGTTTTGAGGACATTATTACTGCAACGATGGTTCATCTCAACCAGAGACTTATCACGTACTTACAGAATACTAGCTTAATACTGCTATGTATCGTATGATGAGGCATTTCATCTTAATTCTTGGAGTGGCATATGACATAGTTTCCGCCCTCCTGATGAGTGTGAGAAAGACATTGACTTGAACAAATTAAGAAGTGAACCTGAACAAGAATATTTTATAGAACTTTGATGAAATACTAGGTTTAGGGTAAGGACAGTAAACATTCGTTATGCGATTGCTTGGTCATTTAATAGATATATATTTACCGCATTCGAATTTTGCAGCATTTTGGCGAGAAACCGTACATTAATCCCCGCTTAAAAATTTTCCTGTGCTAATGTTCAAATTTGTTTGAAGTGAATTTTGGCGGGACCTTCAAATATTTTTTTTCTTATTTCGATTAATTTTAATAGTTTGACAGTATATGGTAAATTGTAGTTATTATAAATTTACCTTGATTAAAATCATAATTTCAAACATATAATAATTTTGTTGTACAGGTGTACACGATGTTACTTGGAAAATTAAAAGCAGCCAAAAAGTACACGGACATCGCCGTTCACGGCACGATGAAGCTAACGGCGTACTTCGGAGTTATGTCGTACTGCGTCGTCAGCCGAGTGGAAAAGTTAATGGTTAGTTCTGTTATTTGATTTCATTTCTAATAGTTGAGTGTGTTTCTTTTGTTAAATTATGTTTTCTTTATGTTTAATGTGATGTTTGAGTAGAATAAATGATTGGAAAATATATCTCCATTAAATTAAGGTGGATCGGCTATCACGGTCATTAAAAAGTGTGCTGGCTGCTTAATTATATTATTGTAAAAAGGTATTTTTAATACAGTTGCTCAAAAAGTGGCGTATTGCAGGGACGTATAGCGTACGGGATGTGGGCTATTACATACTCGAGCTTTTTTCTTTACCTTTTCCGAACTCGTGCGTTCTCTTTCCCAACTGTCAAAATAATGTCTATTAAAACGAAAAAACCAACCACGAAGTTTTTACTAAAAATTATTCATATAAGTTTTTATGATTCATGCAAATATTTCTAAAAAGAAGCTGCTAATTTGTTTTAATATCAGATTTAATGATTTGATTCAATGAGTTAGGTTAGGTTTCATTTCATTTCATCTCATTAAATTTCATTTTCATTTCATATCAAAAAAAAATTCTACTGAACACTTGGCTGTATGGGCATAGTTCCCTTTGCCTACCCAGAATGGGTGAAGAAAACAAAAAAAATCTCTGCTTATATTCTTTTACGGTTGGCGCCATCTTCCAAAAATGTTCTTTGCGAGTTTAGTTGTTTGTTGCACATAATGAGTACATAATTTCGACGATATTTTATTTGAATTAACACCACCGGAACTCAGTATAATTGCACAAAATGCTTCGGAGAACATTTTACCGGAAAAGTCGAAAAGTCGCTACATATCTACATACGACGAATTTATTGCGTGGAGAGAAGAGAAAAAAGCAAATAGTTTTTCAGAAAATGTTATGTTGGCATACTTCTCCGAACTCTCAGCAAAATTAAAACCTTCTACATTATGGTCGAGGTTTTCGATAGTAAAAAGTATGCTGAAAATAAGGAACAACGTGGATATAAGGTTTCATCAGGTAGATTGTAAGTTCGTTTGTCATTTCGATTAAATAAAATAGCTTTGTCTGGGTTACCCAGCCTTTAAAATTATTTGTAACATAAATATTGACCTTGATGTAGAATCCATTATCCACGAGTCTGTCTGTTGTCTGTTGGTTAGCCAACTTTGTTGTGAATGAATCGAGTGGTGTGTTCGTATAGTTCGGGCAGTACTTCAACGACCTGTGGGATCTGTACCACCCGGCGATCTCGGAGCCGTCGGTGGCCGTGCACCCCAACAAGCAGGCGCTGCTCACGTTCTGGCACGCTGTGTGCGTCGACTGCCCCGAGAACGTGCAGCTGGCCGTCGCCAACCCGCGCCTCACCAAGCACATCGCCTTCAACTACATACTGTGAGTATAAGTTTGCTGTCAAAGACTAATATCAACACTATGCTAATTTGTACTTTATGTTCTGCGATACATAGTTGATTTCAGTATGACTGTTTAAATTGTTATGTCTTTATTTCTTAGAGTGAGTATGATTTCCATTTAGGCCATTTGCTACGTAATAAGAATTTAGTTTAATTAGAATTAGATTGAAATTAAAATTCTTTTAAATAAATTCTCCATTTGATTGATTGAATTAACAAAATCTTAAAAGTAAACGGGGAGTTTAGCTTTTATTTTGTGTTTTTTTTTATGTGTTTCGTGATTGAAGGTTGCAGCGTACTTTTTATTCTGTTTTATAAGCCGGAAGTATAATCTACATTTTCATTATTACATATACAATTGTTTTTATTATAGTAAACGTATCTGCCAATTTAAAAAATGCCCTCCGGTTTATAAATCTTGCCAAGCGGTGTTGCACTTGCATCTCCTGCTGTGGGGAGGGTTGAAGAACAAAAAAGCCTTAGTCCTCAGGGCTAATGAATTTTTAAAATTTTTTTTTAGTTCGTTGAAGTAGGCTTTTGCTTTTTATTACCACCACCAGCAGTGTAACAGAGGTGGTTTGCTTGTTTCAGCGCGGACCACGAGGACGGCGAGGTGGTGGCATACAATCGCGCGATGCTGCCGCCGTACTACGCGCTGCTGCGGCTGTGCTGCCGGCGCTCGGGCGCGTTCGCGCGCAGCCTGGCGCAGCACCAGAACATCCACTGGGCCTTCCGCAACATCGCGCCGCACGCGCACCTCTACCCGGCCGCCGCCGACGAGCTGCTGAGGTACCTCACCACCTCACCTCACCTCACCTCACACGTCCGCGCGCAGCCTGGCGCAGCACCAGAACATCCACTGGGCCTTCCGCAACATCGCGCCGCACGCGCACCTCTACCCGGCCGCCGCCGACGAGCTGCTGAGGTACCTCACCACCTCACCTCACCTCACCTCACACGTCCGCGCGCAGCCTGGCGCAGCACCAGAACATCCACTGGGCCTTCCGCAACATCGCGCCGCACGCGCACCTCTACCCGGCCGCCGCCGACGAGCTGCTGAGGTACCTCACCACCTCACCTCACCTCACCTCACACGTCCGCGCGCAGCCTGGCGCAGCACCAGAACATCCACTGGGCCTTCCGCAACATCGCGCCGCACGCGCACCTCTACCCGGCCGCCGCCGACGAGCTGCTGAGGTACCTCACCACCTCACCTCACCTCACCTCACACGTCCGCGCGCAGCCTGGCGCAGCACCAGAACATCCACTGGGCCTTCCGCAACATCGCGCCGCACGCGCACCTCTACCCGGCCGCCGCCGACGAGCTGCTGAGGTACCTCACCACCTCACCTCACCTCACCTCACACGTCCGCGCGCAGCCTGGCGCAGCACCAGAACATCCACTGGGCCTTCCGCAACATCGCGCCGCACGCGCACCTCTACCCGGCCGCCGCCGACGAGCTGCTGAGGTACCTCACCACCTCACCTCACTTCACCTCACACGTCCGCGCGCAGCCTGGCGCAGCACCAGAACATCCACTGGGCCTTCCGCAACATCGCGCCGCACGCGCACCTCTACCCGGCCGCCGCCGACGAGCTGCTGAGGTACCTCACCACCTCACCTCACCTCACCTCACACGTCCGCGCGCAGCTTGGCGCAGCACCAGAACATCCACTGGGCCTTCCGCAACATCGCGCCGCACGCTTACCTCTACCCGGCCGCCGCCGACGAGCTGCTGAGGTACCTCACCACCTCACCTCACCTCACCTCACACGTCCGCGCGCAGCCTGGCGCAGCACCAGAACTTCCACTGGGATACAAAACATTTCTAGGATTAAATGTCTAGGATTAAAAACATTTATGGGATTATTATTATGTGACGTCGTAATGTACAAATGTTTGTTGTCCAGGCTGGCACGTATCCTGGCGGCGCGCGGAGGGGGCGGCGGCGGGGGCGGGTCGGGCAGCAGCGGCAGCGGCAGCGACGGCGTCGACAGCAGGGAGGCCGCCGCCTTCAGGCGCAGCACGCTCTCCGCATACTTACAGGGTCAATATCTTGTTGCAAACCTTTTTATATTGAAATATCTACGCATACGCGCCTTGTTGGAGCAAGGCTCAGTTTATGTCTGACTTGATTTACTATGAAATCCCTTTTCCTGCCAGCAGGTTCTTTTAGGAATACAAGCCTTCCTAAAAGGCTTCTCTTCCCCTTAATTGGAAACGCTACTGAAACCCCTTTGTCGCATAGCTAAAACAAAGCACCACAGATTCTGCCTTCCTTTTTCAAAAGCATCAATTTGACTTCCTTCTAAGCCGTACGAAATTAATTTGACACTCCGAAGACAGCTTGTGAACAGCTTCTTGAGTGTGTTCCACAGAGCAGATTGACTGCACTTTAGGCCTCAACCCGCTCCTAGTGCGATATTCCGAGCTCTAGCAGCTGACGGCTTGTTTCAGCTACTCCACAGTCACTCCATCTCCCCTTACCACTGCTATGACGGCGGTAAGTGGACTTACCGAATACCGACTCCTCTGGAAAGAGCGTCCCAACAGGTTCGGATTGAGAGTCTTTGTCTTCTGGACGAATAGAGGCCACTAAGGCCAGTAATTTTTCAGAAATTAAAACTTTAATGACATTATTTTCGCAATTAATTGTTACTTATTAAGTATTGGCATAATGTCATGATTACAGTTAAGTGTAATTGTTAATAATTTTTTGTTATTAGGTTTAAATGGCAGAACATGTTGGACGACATTAATCTCGGCGTTCTGCACGTTAGTTGAAAACGAGGACGACAGACTGTATGTAGTTTATAACGGTGGCTTGCAGATGACTTTTGAAGTAAGTCAAATTTATAATTTATATATATTTATTTGTTAAAACGTACTGATTTGACCTGTCTACGGAATTATGTGAAAAATGTTTGTAATATCCAAACGTTGACCTCTATTATAAGTACGCTGGATTGGCTATATACCGTGACATAATGAGGCGATTTTATTTTCGCTATTTTGGCGCTGATAGCAGAAATGAGCGTCCACGAAACTAATAATAGAGATAGAACAGTGTGACAAAATATTATATCGATAAAAATTCTAAACTCCGGCCTACCATTCTATTTATTTATCATTTCAATATAATGCTATTCAATGAATGTTTGATACATTTAATATTTACGTCTTAGTCTTAACCACAAGCTTTATACCTCATATAAAAAAAAACAACGCTGAGTTAGTATATCTACGTTTTTCTTAGTCTCAATGGTTTGTATAGTTCATTCGAGATGGTTAAAAAGGTCCAATGAGTAGGAAAAACTGAATTTATTGTTAACCGTTCATTTAGTCCTCGTAATAGAGAAAATCAATTAGCTGCCAAAATATTATGCCAGTTTCAAGAAATTCTATACGTACAATAAGAAATTTACAAACTTTAAATTACCTGCATTAAAAAATACCATACCACAAATCATTGATGTCATAATCAATTTGCTTAGAACGCCATGTCACAAGTGTTATGCTTTTTAGTCAGTTTTAGTATAGAATCAGTTGGAAACCTGTGTAAATTGATAAATTTGATAATTATCTGTTGTCAGCGACATCATTGTTGTAAATAAATATAGATAGAAAAAAATCGATAAGTATTATCGACAAGAAGCTCGTCAACCCTATTGAATTTTATTGTTTGTCAAAAATAGACAATTTAAAACCAAACATTTTCGTAATTACATTTAATTACATAACCACTCAACCGTCCACGGTGACTACAGTCCCCAAAAACCATTATTGCCTCACCTGTCTAGGCACCAAACGATATCTTTCGATTTAAACTCGTACAACAAACTTTAACAGTGGTAGAGCCACGCGGCAGCTTTTGCTGTCGCACGAATGGGCCGGCTCGAACCGGGGTAGTACCACGACCTCACAGAAAACCAGCGTGAAGTAGAGGTTTACCTCTGCGTTTCGCTTGGTGAGTGCAGGTGGCCGGAGACCCTTTTTACTGGAAATGAGGAATTCCATCTTAGTCCTCACGGGTGACAACGCATCTACATTTTGATTTGTAACAGAGGATACATGTAGATGTCTATGGGCCGCAGCAACCACTTACCATCAGGTGGACTGTGTGCTCGTTTGTCACCCTTATCCTATAAAAAAAAAAAACAGCGCAAAAGATAGCTGTTATTAATACAGTAAAAAATTATAGATGGTGCTATATGAAATTTGTCGTCTGTAAAAGTGAATTTTATCTGTATAATAGTAACAAAATATTTAGGAAATAAGAAGTTAAAATTAAATTTCGCCAATTTTGTTTGTGGAATGTTAACGTGTGAGAAATTCGATCAAAAATGTGATAACTTTTCTGTTTTTATACGTTATTTCTAATGTTATTGTACATCAAACTAATTGTGAAGATATTTTTTTTAGTAAATATGTATCATTACGACAATTCCAAAACGTTTACATATAGTTAATATATAGATTGACGAAACAGAACAAACAAAATTTCTTGGTGTGATTATAGATCGAAATTTAGAACAGAAGATACATATAGGATGAGTTATGTAAAAGGGTTAATAGTTTTGTATATGCGCTACGTACAGTAAAAAATGTTACTAATAAAAAACAGCCCTAATATCCTATCGGGCGTATATTGAATCCATACTCCGATATGGTATAATAGTGTCGGGTAATAGCACAGCTTTGCGTAGGGTATTTATCGCACAAAAAAAGTGCATAAGGGCGATATGTGGTATCTCAACAAGAAGATTCAAAAATCTTTGCTTACTAATTCTGCCATCGTTATACATATTTGAGATAGGTAAATTTGTAAAACAGCATACAGCTTTATTTAAAAAGTCCTCTGATGTTAATCCAAGGCTTAAAAGAAATCCGAATAGGTTAGTTCTAAGCGAAGTTCCGAAATCAACTAAATATAGTAAAAGCTGTTTATCAATGTGTGTACGTATATACAACAAAATACCTGACGAAATTTAAAACACTAAATAATATGAATTTATTTTATGTACTTTACTATATACTATGTATTTTATGTAGTTTTTGTACCTTTGGTTAATTGACAAAATTTTTTATGACATTAACGAATTTCTGACATTGTAAGCTATATTCTGACATTATATTCTGGCCATTAGTGTGTTGTAATTCTGACATTGTATAATATGATTTGAAATAATGTTTAATTTGTTAATTTTTAATATCATATAGGTAATTTTTTTGTTTAAAGTGTCTTATTGTTTAAACTCATAATTTAAATATAATTTGCATGCTATGTCATATTAAAATAGCAAAACATGAGAGCACAATACAACTAAAACATCTGTATCTATATTTACCATGTTTTATGCAAATAAAGATTATTATTATTATAATTTAGCTCTAAATTTTAATCACTATACACGATCATCGTTTATTGATCATTTATTGATGTTGTTTAAAATGTATTCTAATCAGTTTTTTGTGTTAAATAAATGCAAAACATAAAATAATGATTCACTATTAACACGTTGATAGCAATTTATAAACGAAATATCTGTTGAGATGTGTCTAGAAAATATTAAAACCAATTTTTTTCATTTATTTACTTATTGATTCAAATTTATATTGGGTAAACATTATATACTTATGTATATTGAGTATATAAGATGTTATTGATATTGGTGTCATTTTAAAGGGAATATCATGTACTATTATAATATAAAATAATTGTCTCCAGTAACTTTTCTTGTAAAACTCGAAATAAAAAAGAAATACGATTTTTTTATATTCCCATTTTTAAGCTTTATTTTATGGCTTTATTTTTAATTTGACAAATTTTGGTTTAACAAAATAAAATTTAGAATTCTTTGAGTCTTTTGAAAATATTTTTTATTTGAATGTAGCTATAGTAGTTTTTCAGTAGTAATCGTTTTTGTTAAGACTGTCTCGCGCGGTCGTAAAAAATAGTGACATTTAATTCGCGGACAGGTCAGGCGAAAATCACTCGCGCGGTGCGGGCGGTTGAGTGGATAAGTGACAGAGTTTTAAGAGTCTATATTATCAAATAGTTTAAACTTTTTAAATATAAACCGTAAATCCAATTACCTGTGGAATGTTACCACACTTGCATATTGGTAACGAATTTTACTTTATCATTGTTACTAAAAACACAAAAAGTATTTTACTAACATGAAATATAACCGAACTACATAACACACACTCTTATTCTCGTTTAAAACTTTAACATAATCTTAGACGTCTTGAGGAAAACAGCGGCCGTTTGCAAATTATATCAAATTTAGTTCTCGGCACACTCATTGGCGGCGCTTCAAATCGGCACAAACGTTTTAAGGGTATAGCCAATTCAGTGTACTAGTATACAGGGTTATTTTTCAAAGAGTAGCCAAATTTTAAATTTAAGTTCAAATACATAAACAATGATATACCGTTATTGCAGTTTTTGAAAATACGAGTAAATAAGGCCTCTACTATTATTTAAAATTATTCCAGATTGAATGTGATTTGTGGGCAACAACGTTTTTGCCTACCGATCGACCCTTACCAATGTGTGCCTCCGCAGTAAAATCAGTTAAAATATTGCATTACCACGCATTTTGAATTTAAAAGATAAAAAGGACAGAGTTATTGAGATTTTTTAATAACTTTTTCTTCATAATTTGCCTATATTACTTATTCTGAACATTCTCTCCAAATTGAGCCGGTTATTGCAAAATAACCCTATATATGGAGATTAGGGTATGAAAGTAAAAGTAATGAAAATTTATCAGTGGTTTTAGCCAAATCTACTTACTACATTCGTTAATGCTAATAGAAAACTGTGGTTGTGTAGTGGTGGCATAAGAGAATACTTCACCCCTTTTCTTGTGCGAAGAGGTAACTATCTGGAACGACAGGAAAATCTTATAGCTTCCAATAGATGGTGGTGTAACCCTCGCATTTATATGAGACGTACATAAAATAAGCAGACCCGCGAAATACAGCTGCGTGAAATGTGTTGTTAGACGTCTGGTATTGCGATCGTTAGTTCGCTTGTCAAGCGTGACTGTTAAGGCAAAGGGAGTGTACAGTCAGGTAGTTAAGTGTTTAAATATTGTCCCAATTTACCTACAATAGCTCAACCACCTGGCTGCACATGAATATGGTAGGAGTTTTAGACCCTACAGACCCTAACTAAGTTCCCTATACCTAGCAGTGCCTAGCAGTCCCTAATACCCTAGCCTCACCATATAAATATACATAAATAAATTAAATAAATGCGGGATATCTTGCACCATGAGACCAAAGGTAACAAAAGAACAGAGACAGGATATCAGGGTTAGGTGATGGTTTTCTCTCACTGTCAGTCAAGCGGACACACAAGACTGATCTGAGGTTCTGACGGCTAAAGCTGTACCGGTAGTAAGGGAAGTGTTGGACAGTTTACTATTAGATGAAGTAACAACCTAGTAAGGTATGCGGGTGATTCAGGACATAATGTACAGTAAAAATCATGTGTACTTGTGGCGCTAGAAAATTTATTTGACTCCAATTTGATATCTGATGTGTACTTGTGGTAGTTTTTCATATACTTGGCAGGATTAAAAAGCAATTTTTTTTTTAAATTTATATTATCTCTAGATATTACGAGTGAATGTTTTTGTATTTGCGTATGTAATAGTTTTTAATTAATTGCTACTTATTGCTTACATCTAAAATCGATTAGAAGGGATATCACCATCAATTTTATTTTTGGTTCAAATTATAAGAGTAAAGTATTACATTTTTATATCTACATAAAACAGAGACAGAATTTCGTTAGTTAATGATTAGTTGGGAAGGTAGATAAGGAAGAATTGATGTTGCAGGCGCTGCACAGTCTGCACGCGGTGTACGTGGAGGGGGGCGGCGGCGTGGCGGGCGCGGGGTCGGTGCGCGCGGAGCTGACGGCGGCGCTGCGCTGGGCGCGCGCGCTGTGCCGCACGCTGCGCACGCGGCGCGACGCCAAGGAGGCGCGCGCGCTGCTGCTGGCCTGCAAGGACTGGCCCGAGTGCGCGCGCCGCCTGCTCACCATGCTCAACCTGCACCAGCGCCTCACGCACCTGCGCCTGGCGGCCATAGGTCAGCACAGCCACCCTAATCACTTGCAGGGTTCCCTCTCCGTAACATGAAACGGATATCTATTGATATCTTTCTGTTGTCTGTAAGTCAAGAATCTTTACCTCGAGTTATAACAAAGAAACACAATTGAATGAATTTAACAAAACGGCCATGATGAATAAAATCACGATGACATACAACAAGATATCCGGTCAAATGAACATTGACACGCTACTATTTTTTTATAGAAAAAAATTATTTTATTTTTCTATCGAAAGAACGCACAATTCTTGTTTCAAATTAAAGAAGATTATAAAATAAAATATTGAGATAAAATGAAATTATGAAGACTATTCAAATAACCTATGTAAAGTTGAATATTAGTTTGACGGACATATACGCATACTGATATATACATTTATACATAGAGCACTGGGGGATTTTGAGTATGTTTGCGCAACAAAACAGTAGATTTTCACCGCGGAAAACATAGTGTGACTTACTATTGTCGCGTGATCATTTCGTATCACCGAATTAGTTGTATTCTGATAAATTGTCTACTGCTTACACATGTACGCACGCACATTTACGATTACAACATTTTCACATTCTTTAAGACTTTAAGATCTCTGTATGTTAATTAGTTATTTTCAATTATTCTTTTTTTTTAATTCACCCTAATTTATTGTTGTTGTATTATTATTAATCGCTAAAAGAGGAGGACGTTGATTTTTACAAGCTTTTATTTAATTTGCAATGTGACTATGTTTGTTCGGGTGGAATCTTGCAACTCAATTTTGAAGCAGATATCTTCAATCGATTGAGCTGAAATTTTATATACACGTTAAGTTTGGATGACAATGCATGGTTAGCTGTGTGACGTCATTCTAAATCCAACATGGCGGAACACCCAAGATGGCGGCCTAGTTATTTTAATGCACTCCTACAATATGGGTATTAAATGAATGGGTTTCCTTAATGTAACTCGAAAAATAAAGTGACGTCACTCTAAATTCAATACGGCGGACTTCTAAAGATGGCGGACCAAGTTTTTTATACTTTCCTACAATATGGGTGTCAAATGAAAGGGCTTGTATAAGCTAAGTATAGTAATGATATTGAGGTCGAATTGTTCGAGTCTGTAGCATCGGTTGTTTAACTTTGACTTGTGTAATTTGGCGAGATAGGCGTCAACAGCATTGGTTTGCAACCTGTCTAGGAGAAGGGTAACTCCAAAATTAAACCTGCTTCCAGAGAGCACAAATGTATAATACTGACATACCATCCGTCCGTACAGACTTCGGTAAAGATGGTGTTCATCTCATTAAACCCAAGACTGTACAATTTTTAGTAAAATATAGTCGCGGCACTGCACAACGAAGAATGCTGCCAAATATATTATGTTGGGTATGCAGGGTAATACTGTCGGCCATGCTGTTGTGTACTTACGTTCGAAGCTCTTCGCTGCTGGTCAAGCATACGTGGCCTTGAGTAGGGTAAAATCATTAGAAGGTCTCCTTATTGAAGAGTTAGACTGTTCGAAATTGACCGAAAAACGACCTTGCAACAATGATGCGTTGAATGAGATGATCAGACAAAAAAACCTGTCCAGTGATAACTAAAAAGTAATTTTTTTAAAAACAATATTTTTATTTAAATGCGTTAATAAGAATAAAATAAATTTTTGCTTTAAAACTTTTACTATCAACTTATAACGTCATTATACAATTTATATGATATAAAAGCTTGTCGCGAGATTTACCTGTGTAGATAAACAGGATCTGATTGATTTTAATTTTTAAAATTTTCAAACTAAGTAAATACGAGTAAGTAGAAATGGGTGGAAACTTAAATCTCGCGACAAGCTTTTATATCATATAAATTGTGCAATGACGTTATAAGTTGATAGTAAAAGTTCTAAAGGAAAAGTTTATTTTATTCTTTTTAGCGCATTTAAAGTAAAGCTTGTTTGAAAAAAAATTAAATTATTTTAATATAAAGTTTTTGCAGATATTAGAAATCAAAGTGTTTTTATTTATTAGAATATGTGTGGCAAATAAATTGTTTATTTATTAATTTATTTAATAGTAAGTTATAGTTGTGTAAATCGTGCGGAGCGGTGACACATGGTTATGAGTGCGCGGTGTGTGTTGCAGGCGTGCTGCGCGAGCTGGTGCTGATCGGGGGCGGCGCGGCGCTGGGCGCGCTGGTGCCGCTGGCGGCGGGCGCGCACGCGGCGGCGCGCTCCGGGCCGCGGCCGCGCCCGCGCACGCCGCACGCCGCGCACTCGCCGCGCCACCACGCGCCCCTCGCGCCGCTCACGCCCCTCGCGCCCCTCGCGCCACTCGCGCCCGTCTACAGGCCCTACCACAAGTTCATCGGTGAGCGGGAACGTGCTATAGTATTTTTAGCATTCACAGTTACCGTTACACCCCATAAAACTTCACTGCTATGTATACATAGGCTGCACTAAAAGTATCGGGAATGGAATATTTCCACTGTTCCTGTCATATTAAAATCTTTTTAATTGAAAATTCCTTGATTTTAAAAATCGAATACCATTTATTCATTTAAAAAAAGATTCTCGGTCTTGTCACAAGGTTTTGTCAAACTTGTTTAGTCGTTGAGAAAATGGAATTGACTCGAGAAAATTCAAGAGCCATGATTTATTATGACTTTCGAAGTGGTTTAACACAAAAACAGTGTGTTGACCGGATGATTTCTGCATTTGGTGATGAAGCCCCATCCAAAACTACAATTTATCGCTGGTTTGCTGAATTTCAACGTGGACGTGTCAAGCTCAGTGATGATCCCCGTCAAGGTCGTCCAAAAACTGCAGTCACCCAAGAAAACGTTGATGCTGTGCGTAAGTTGATTGAGGAAGATCGACATGTGACATGCCGCGAAATTCAGGCAACTTTAGACATTAGCATGAGTCAAATACAAATAATCTTGCATGAACAATTAGGTGTAAAAAAGTTGTTTTCCCGATGGATACCGCATTCGCTCTGTAAAGAACAAAACGCGGCTCGCGTTACTTGGTGCGTCAGAACTCTCGAAAGATTCCACGCAGGATCCCCAAATGCTGTATACAACATTGTATCAGGTAACGAATCCTAGATATACGCGTACGTACCCGAAACATAAAACCAGTCACGAGTTTGAGTGTTCGAAAATGAGTTAAAGCCAACAAAAATTGTTCGTTCACGGAATATTGCAAAAAAAATGGTGGCCACGTTTGTCTCCAAAACCGGCCATGTTACGACTATTCATCTTGAGGGATAATGAACGGTTAATGCAGAATGGTATGCTAGCATTTGTTTGCCACAGGTCGTTTCTGAACTCCGTAAAGAGAACTGCAACCGCCGCATCATCCTCCATCACGACAATGCGAGTTCTCACACCGCACACAGAACAAAAGAGTTTTTAGAGCAAGAAAACAGAATTATTAGACCATCCGCCGTACAGCCCCGACCTAAGCCCTAATGATTTCTATACTTTCCCTAAAATAAAGAATAAACTGCGTGGACAGAGATTTTCATCACCTGAAGAAGCTGTGGACGCCTACAAAACGGTCATTTTAGAGACCCCAACTTCCGAATGAAATGGTTGCTTCAATGATTGGTTCCATCGTATGGAAAAATGTATCAAATTTCGCGGAGAATACTTCGAAAAGCAATAAAAACATTTTTAAATAGTAATGTTGTGTCACTTCCTTGATTCCCGAAATTTTCAGTGCCGCCCTCGTAGTCCTCTCCCGTAGATTGCCTCATAAGAGAGATATTTGGCAGGCGGATTGGCAACCACAGTTTGTTATTATTTTATTTTATTTATTTTGAGATGTTATCAAAAAGACTCCGCTATCCATCCCCTATTTCATTTACCTCTGTCGCCTCTTACTACATCTGTGGGATAACATGTTATGAGCTTGGGGTTCGAGACAATTAAAAACTGCCGATTGAATTACCAAAATTGACACTTTAATTACAGAACACTAATTACAACTTAAAAACACACTAATAATAAAACACAATTGTACTACTGATCACTTTAGTTCGCAGTTATATCACTTCGAAGTGTTCGCTTATATCGCCAATTCAATATTGACTCGGTCGCGGTCTATACTGACCTTATGTAGGGCCTCAGGTAGTTTCCAGAACCTTCTACTATAGAAGCATCTAGAATGTTCGAGTACATATCGGTCCCGATATTTCTAGAAGGATCTTGACTCTCCTAGTTCTGCTACTCGATACTAGAGGGCGCTAGTGGTAACTAGTGTTGCCATGGACAAGACATTAATAGTGGCGCGCAACTATAAATTGTAGATTCTCTTACGGCGTCACTACTATGTAGTGATATAAAAATTTGATATAAAAATTAGTATTGTATATGTACTATGGTACATATACAATACTGATTTTATATCGAAATTTATTAATTTTGATATAAAAACTTTCATTTTTATATCAAAATTGATAAATATCATAAGACTACAAAATTGTTTCAAATACGAGTATCAATATTTTAGTTTTTTCTACCCGCAACTTTTCTCTTCTTTTTTACCCAAATCTTTTACTTTACTATCAGAAAGTAACCGCCCCATGAGCACGAGTTTTCTATAGAATCGAACTCGTGTCTTCATCTAGTGACTTTATACATTACAAAACATAGTTCAATTTACATCCACTAAAAGCACTTATTTCCTACGATACGAAAACGATAGTGTCAAAAACTTTAACTAAAAGCACAGATCTTTCTGTCATATCCCATAATCAAGCTTTAAAACACTAATAAAATTAGATTAAGTAATAAGTTGTCTATATAACCGTAAACTATTAACATAATACCATTATCCATTAAATCTAAAAGTCAACTACTAGATATGGCTTAGCAAACATTTTTTTATTATTTCGAATTGTTATCAGGAGGGTGATGTTGCCCATCTCCTGTTTTATTTTCCCTACGTCGTCACTTACGACACCCTCGGGATGAAATGAGAACGTTACTACGTTCATCAAGCACAAAATAATTATTTTGATATATTTCTTTATGGAAAAGGGGTGACAAACGAGCACGCAGCCCCTGATGGTAAGTGGATGCTTAATCTTCGATTAAAAATCAAATGCAGACTAAGAATATCTCTTTATATCGTCGTAACATAATAGTATAAAACATTAATAATAATGCAAAAAAGTATATGATTTTAAGATCCTATCAAAATTGTTAAACTTTGTATTATCTGCAGACACATGCTGCCGTGTGGCGAGGAGTCAACGCTGCATGTCTGAGCAGCTGGTACTACTGTCGGCGCTGTGCGCATTAGAAGCCGTGCCGCTCAAGTTCAATTACTTCGCCTCCTTTTGGCGTGACGTTGCCAATACACCGGTAATTATATCTTAAATATTAGGTATTATTATTTGAAGACTATAGTAAGGTCAATTACAAGTGGTAAAGAAATAATTATTATTTCTTTAATTTATTAGCACGCAATAATGTCGGAAGTTGGTATCGCTAAGTACTGAAAAACAGTTCGTGCGTTTTCGGTTTTCTGCAATTTCTTTCCTCCTCGTCCTCATTTATTTTCTTTTGATGATTGATACATGTTCATCATCGGTTATTAAAATTTACAGGCCGATGCGAAGTTAGAAGAAATGCTATTAGAATGCAGCGTGGTAACGGAATACGTAGATGCAGTGCTGCTGGACGAAAGAGACTCGCTGGAGGATCCAGCGATATATGAATTCATGCAGCATTACTATCCTAAGGTATGTTAAATTTATAGTATACTAGCTGACCAGGCAGACGTTGTTCTGCCCATTCCGACGACCATGTGCCCTAAAAAAAATCCTTAAATTCACAATAAAAAAATTGAGGGTTATCGGGATAAAAATTATCCTGTCTCTCAAGTTGGACCAAATTGCACACGTTGTGAAACATGTCATTCAAATCAGTCCAGTAGTTTAGGAGTTCATCGCTGACAAACAATGTGACACGTAATTTTTATATATTAAGATTTTTAAATTAAGGTAATTAAATAATTTGAAGTTGATGGCGAGTGTTTAATCTATACAAATAAATAAAATTGAAGTGTCTATTTGTAATGTCAAAATAACAGCTTTTTACTAAATGCATATGAAAGTATATACTGTACTTATAACTATAACACAATTTTTAAAATTTTTGTCTGTCTGTTTGTTTCGGCTAATATCCGAAATGGCTGGACCGATTTTGATGGGACTTTCACTGGCAGATAACTGATGTTGTTATAAGGAGTAACTTAGGCTACTTTAATAATTTTAGAAATATAATTAGGGTTCCGCGCAAAAAAAAATTAAAACCCTAAATTACACATGGGCTAAGTCGCGGGGAGCAGTTATTTTAACAATAAATACACTATGTTAGCTTGTTTATTATTCTATACAATACAATAAAGTAAAAAGTAAATTTACTGTCTGTATACATCCTATTGTTGGATACAAGCCTACTTTAGTTACTGAGATGATTTTAGAACTTTGAGTCGTGGTACTTCCGGGGTTAAACATTGGACGTAAATTTTATAGTACGCGAGTAATTCATTTTCGGTCTCCGCCGACACCGCTGAAAGTGTTAATACCGATTTTAAATATTGAATTACTATGTGCTCAGTAGTGTTCAAAAATATCGTGAGGAAATCAGCATATTTAAAAAAAATTAAAAACAAAATAAAAATATTTCAAAGGCATCGTCAACGTGCATTAAGTAGTGCGGTAAACATGTACTCGAACAGATATTGAGAACAAAATCTATGCGGCAGTGTGGGGTGCATGGTTGGAGTCTTAGAGTACCCTTTTATGGTACAGACTAAGTAAGAAATTCCAAGTTTTAGTCTTTGAGTTGTAACGCGTGTTTCAAAAACCAAGTTTCGATGTTTCTTCTAGTATATAGGTTTATCTAGCAATAACCGTTCAAAGAACAATGGCAGACTTTCATACATAAAATTAGTTGAGAAGAAATGGTAGCGTCTATATATCAAAAATATCTTAAAATATTAAGCGTCAGTCCCTTAATAACTCTGTCGGAGAATTTTGTCCTGAGAAGGCGTCAAAAAAAAGATATTTACATTTGAACCTTTTTAGGTTATGTCCTATGTCACTTTGAAAAAATTATGCTTCCTGTAGTTGTTTGATGTTAGCTTAATACATAATACATAATTGAGAGTTTTTTGGTTATTGTATCTCTATTATATATTTGCATACTATAAATGTATATTTCTGGCATGGCTCCAGGGCCTTTGTATCATAGTGACATTCTTAGAAGGGCTAGAACCCAGAGTCGTAAAGCAGTGAAAAAAAAACAGTGACATTTTGTAGTAGCATAACAATAAATGGAATTGTTACATAATACTATGATTGAGATAATGTGTTATTTTAGGAAATTCTTTGTAAGAGACTTATTCTCAACCAGATCACTTTTATTTTTATTATTACTGATAGTATAGTTATTACTAATAATATCTTAATATAAAAATATTTTGTGTGTTGTGTTGGTAGTCTCAAAGTGTATACGAAAATAGTATGAATATACTAAATGGTAACACTTGAATAGAGTAAAATGATTTAAGTCATTTGATATTCCCAAAAATGTTTTTTTTCTGTGGCTTTAATTAAAATACATTTTTATTTGAAATATCATTGAAAAATAATATTTATATATAACTTATTTCTAGACGCGATAATTTTTGTCAACTATTTTTCTGCCATTGCTCTTTGCAGGGAAGGTTTTGATATAGGTAAATGGTGAAGAAAAATTTCAAAATTTCTTTCTTTTTTATTTTTAAATTCAAAAAACATTCGTAAGGATCTATCGGTCGGTAGAAACGTTGTTTATTTAATCGCACACAGAGAAGCGCGCGTAGACGTAGTAGTTGTTTTCCATAAATCACATTTAATTTGGGATAATTTAAAATAACAGTAGAAGCCTTATTTACTCGTATTTTCAAAACCTGCAATAACTGCTTTCATCTTTCTAAAAGGCCAGCAATACACTTGCAATTCTTCTGGTGTTGCGGTTGTTCATGGGCGGCGGTAGTCACTTATCATCGGGTGAGCCGCATGCTCGTTTGCCCCTTCTCTATATAAAAGAAAAACAAAACAATTAATATATTTAATTTTAAGTTTAAGAGGGGGCTACACATTGTAAAATAACCTTGTATAGTGGTAGTGGTTGAATATCATAAAATGTTGTGTTTCGTTGTAGCTGTGCGCGCTGGCGAGCTCGTCGGAGGCGTCTGAGTCGCCGTCGGGTAGCGGTGGGGGCGCCACTAGCGGCGCGGGCGCGGCGTGCGCGGCGGAGGCGCTGGCCGAGGAGGTGGCGGCGGCGGCGGCGCGCGCCCCGCTGGCCGCGCTGCTGGCCCGCGTGCGCGCGCTGGCGCTGCTGGCGCCGCACGCGCACCCGCCGCCCAGAGCGCTGCAGCGCGCCACGCAAGCGCTGCAGCAGCGCCTGCTGCGCGCCGCCGGTCAGTGCCGCTTCATCGCCTTCAACACCATCATCAGCCTGTTACAGTCCACTACTGAACATAAACCTCCCACATAAAATGCCTCATACGAGTGGGGGGAGGGATATTTACCGTAGTAACTTGGCGGCAAGCGGGTTGACAACCGCAGTTTTTAAGGTTGCGTACCCAAAGAATAACCACCGGGACCCTATTACTAAGCCTCCGCTGTCAGTCCGTCCATCCGTCCGTCAGTCTGTCTGTCAGCAGGCTGTATCTCATGATCCATAATTTATTTTAATTTTATTTTCTTCAGTATAACAAACAATTATGTAATAACATTATAACACATAATGCAGATACAGGGTCCTATAAAAGGAAAACTAAATAATTACACAACCAGCACCGTTATGGAAAAAGTAATCTATACATATCTATACAAATAAATAAAATTAAAATTTCTGTTTTTAATGTCAAAATTACAGTTTTTTACTAAATGCATATGAAAGTAAATACAATACTTACAACTAAAATACAATTTTTAAATTTTTTTCTGTGTCTGTTTGTTCCGGCTAATCTCCGAAACGGCTGGACCGATTTTGACAGAACTTTCACTAGCAGATAGCTGATTTCATAAGGAATAACTTAGGCTACTTTTATTTTAGAAAAATAATTAGGGTTCCGCGCAAAAACATAAAAACCCTAACACGCGAGCGAAGTCGCGGGGAACAGATAGTATCACAATAAAAGTAATATTATATTGCACAACAAAGCACAAATAGATAAATAATTCGACATTTCCCTGAGCAAATCCCAACACAACTATAGTGGCTATGCTAGCCAAAACTTACCTCAAGAAACAACAGTTACACCTATTATAATCGATTTAAACTATACTTTACTTAAGGGGCTACTCCATGCGAACGACCTTGAGCATTTTGCCGGCGGCACGCCGCTCGCCTCAATATATTGCTTATTTGAAATATGTACGACGCCACCACCTATTGTAGGTACGAACGTAGTATTATTTTTTCAACATCAATGAACTAATTTATGGAAATACACACAGCGTACAACGATAAATGTATTTTAATTTTTTTATTCGGTATATTAGTTGCATTATATTAGAATTATGTATTTTCATATATTATCTAATTATGAAATTTTATAATTAATTATATATTAAAAATGAAGCATTGAAAATTGTGAGTTTAAAAGATACCTATTCACTATAGGTAAATAAATATATAGCTCGCCTTTTGTACAAATATTTGGTGCAAGAAAGAATAAATAAATAAATAGGATGTTTCGTAGATGTGTTTTTGATTATTGTTAATTTTTACGTGTCACGTATTGAAAAGTAATATACCTAACTACGAGTACTAATACAAAAATCAACAAGAAGTATAAGGGTTCAATCTTTCAATTTCAATTGTAAAAAAACGTTACCCCCACACTAGGATTTTCTCCTGTGTCGTGGAGGCAGTTTACAAACATAAATTGCACAAGGACAAACATCCAGACCCGGAACAATTATTTGTAAGCCATACAAATACTTGTTCCGTGCGGGATTCGAACCCGCGGCCCCCAGCGCAACAACTAATTGCTAAGCCACTGCCCCACGTAGCCGTCGCCGGGTTATAGCTAAAGTGACCACACGTCCCGTTTTGAACGGGACTGTCCCTTTTCTCGGTCACCTGTCCCATTGTCCCCAAACAAAGCTCCGGGACACAAAATTGTCCCGTAACTCGTTGGATGGAAGTATTCAAAGTCAACAATCTTCAACATAATTTTTTTTAATCGAATATATTTTATGTCTACCTGCTACGAATGCTCCGGTAGAAAGAGTATTTTTTTTATTTTGAATAAATTGTGGACGTCTGAAAGAAACACTTACGGTTCCAGAGTTCTAAAGGCGATGTTGTTAACAAAGATAACAATAAAAAAACTTGAGCAGAATTTTATTTTTATTTAAAATCATCACCAACTTTATTAAAGAAAATTTAATCCACTGACAAATGTAATTAATAATTAAGAAAAATATGTTGCATTTAATAATTACCGTCTATACCGAATATAATTTTACAGTGAACACTAATTGTATAAAGTTATAGTTTTTAGAGTATAAATAAACCCATGTCCTGTTTTGAGTTAAAAAATAAATGGTCAGTTTAGTCTTTTTAGTTAAATTTAGTTTTAAAATTTTTTAAAAAAAGCCCTAAAATAACATCTGATATTGAAATATAGTGTGGTTTACACAAACACAGACGTTGGTAAATTCCTAGTCTCTTCGTTTACGAATATTGAACACTAGATGGCGTGATTGAATCAAAATGTTTTTCTTTTTTCTGCATGGGTAGGCAGAACTACAGAACGCCACCTACGATATATATTATGTACGATTCTTCATCTGCCTGGCCTTTTTCCCAACTATATTGCGCTCGGTTCCCAGTCAAACCTGATTTAACTGAATACCAATATTTTACGATTACGTTATAAAAATAAAAGTTATATTTCTAGGTGTAAGTTATTTAATTCAATAATAATTTTGGGAAATAAATTATGTCAAAACAAGTATTTGAAGTGCCTATTCACTCAAAGCCTATTCACTCAAAACTAATAACACAGATGATTTACAACATAATCAATTATTATAAAAATTACGATACGACGCCACCTTGAGCTTGGTACTACAACAAAATAAAACAAACTAATAATAATGTGTGTCTGTCTGAAACTGTTTGCAAAATGCGTAAGAGGTATTTTTTACGTAACCCGGCAAAACTATATTTTGCAATTGTTTGCAAAATTAATTTTGTGATTACTTTGGTGTCTTACCGATTTATAATTTTATTTATGGTTACACCGACACGTATGACATAGGTAATTAGTATTGTGATGAGATTTGAAATCACGGGCCAACTTGCTGTTTCTAATACCGCCGAAAATAAAATCGCGTATTTTGAATAATTAATTACTATACCTACAATCAATTACAATATATTCTATTATATTGGAATCAAATACATACTAGAAATATTGCAAATTGAATCAATGAAAATCATACAAAAATATATAACACGCAAGAAATTCCGCGCGCAAATCCTATCGCGTTACAATCGAGAATTACTTCAGAATGTATTTTATTACAGTCGAATAAGCGAACGAAGTTTGGCAATGCTTTTTCTTCTTTCAACGTAGTACATGTAGATCAATGTTAGGAAGGACGGCTTTGTTGCATAATACCTACCTACAAATAGTATTTATGTCGCCACACAAAAAAAATAAAAATTGTTTACATTGCCGTCAAAGGTCGTCAGTTTTATGTTATTTTATTGTTTTTTTAATGAACGGTAGGAAAGGAAATAAATTAATTTTGTATATAAGATATTGATTTATAAGAATTATAATATTGTCTGCACGCCATCTAGCGTGTTAAACTATGCTTTTGGCGCTATTGCTTGTCAAAGTTGTCAAAAGTCACTCACACTACTAAAAGAAGTGTCAAAATTTTCCTAGATTTCAGTATTGTTTTTCTTATTATATACTGTAAGTTCTAGAAGAGTAAGTGTAGAAAAGTGATAAAATGATTAGCTTTAAACAAATAGTGTCTGTGTTTAGCGATTATGTTCAGAAAAAATGTATGGGCGGGCTATCGAATCATCCACCTTAACTATTTTTGATACCTTACATTTTACCTTGTTAATTTATTTTTAGCTGATTTGAAAGTCAAGTCTGAAGTCGGGGCTTTTCTTCATTAGCTGTCATGTGAAAATTATTTAATTATATTTTAGTACATTGAAGTCGGCTTCTATTATTTATTAAAAGTTTCTTTCCTTTGTCCACCAGACGAAGAGAACTCTGAGCCGGAGGCGGGCGTGGAGGCGGGTGAGCCGGCGCGATGTCCCTCGCGGGACGGCAGCGACGTGGACGCGGATGCGGACGCGGACGCGGACGTGGACGGGGACGAGGCGGGGTCCGAGGCGGCGGCGGACGCGGACGAGTCGGGCGAGGAGGAGCCGGCGCCGCGCGGCGGGCTGCTGGCGCGCCTCACGCTGGCCGTGCACGAGCTGGCCGCCGCCAGCGCCGCCAGCGCCGCCGCCGGCCGCCCGGAGCCCGAGCGCTGCGACGCGCAGCCCTAGTGCCTCGACCTGCGCACGCGCGCCCGCACCGCCTAGCCCGCGGCGACCCGCTGCAGCCGCCCGCGACCGAGCGAAATGAAACACATGTAACGGATAAACGCATCAGTCGGCAAGCCGCTACTCACTATAGAGCGAGATGTCTAATTTTACCCGGTTGACAACCATATCGTGACACTTAAATCCAAAACGAGATATCACGTGCGTTGCTGTCGTTCACTGACGGAACTTGTTTCTTCAAATTGAAAAAGGCGCTGCCCTCACGGTAGGATTTTCTCCTGTAACGTAGTGACAGTTTATGTAAATTACACAAAGACATTCAGACATCCAGAACAATTATTTGAAAACCACGCAAATTTTTGTTTCGTTCGGGATTTCAACACGTCCTCAACACCGTAACCCAGTACTAGGCCTCCACGGAGTGCGTTAGAGACATACGAAACGTACCGTCAAGAGTTAATACGTTAGATAAGTAATTGATCAACTGCTGACAATTGCATAACTCGTCATTGTCGTACCGCTATTCATCAGTGATTCTTAACCTTTAAAGATTAGGGATCATTTAAGCGATTTTTGTCTTGCCATGGACTACCGACTTTTAATTATGATATTATTAAGTTGATTTTCAAGATTGTTCTATAAATAAAACACATACAAAAATTAATATGCAAAGTGGTATCATTGTGCACCCTAAATTTAAACATAACAACACATTATACAGAAACCATATCGGCAGTATCACTGATCATCATCTCCAGGAATGTTGTATACTGTTCTATATGCCTTTGCGAACCACTTCGGGTGTCTTTAGGGACCATCGGTTAAGAACCACTGCTCTAAAACGGGATAACACATACTTCTCTCGCTCACTGACTACCTGTTGCCTCCATTGTATGTTGAGATTAGAGCGAAATGTCACGTGTGTTTTTCACTTATCTAATCTTTTACGTATGTCGAGTCTAAAGCTTGATAATGTCAAACGAGTGCCATCGAGTTGCCATCGCGCCAGGCGTGCCATCGATTACTTTTGTGTGTAGCGTATGACACACGAGTCGTGTCTTTTTAAAAATCGTTATAACTCACTCAAATTGCGTTTTTGGAAAATTTATCCAGAACAAAACATTCATTATTTTGCAAGTAATTCATGCCCGCAGCTTCGTTTCTGGGTATTTTGAAAATTTGATATTTTTAGGGGTTGACACACTTTTTTTTTAACTTTTACATGGTACACTTTTTACTTTGTGGGTTTTCAATCATGTTGTGGAAAAATAGTCCAATAAGTAACAAATAACAGCACTCATTGCGATCGCTCACAAACTCAAGTTGTAAATAAATTTCTGGAAAACAAGTCTAAACAAAAACAATGCGTTTGTCTTATTGTTTAATTTTGCTTAAAATGGTTGAAGTGCCGTCTTATTACTATCATATGGCCGAATAGACCTACGAAGTACCATGTGCTCTTGTGATATGGTATAAGGTTTATTTTTGCTTGAAACAGTTTGAAACCGTTCATGCATAAAAAAAGTTCGCTAATAAAATAGTCTTTTGTCAATCCGCCGCCGTATAGCGCCGACGTTTGTTTCCTTTTGAAAACACTTGTTTTGCTAATCTTACTAATTAGAAGTTTTCAAATCGACTTTACTTTTACATTTGTATAACATTAAATAATATTTAACATTTGTAAATATTAATGAATCATAAACCTTATTTTTTTCCAAATTAAGGTTCTTGATTGTTTTATATTTACAAATGTTATTATTAGGTGAAAATTTAATTTAATAAAAACCAAGGTTTTCCAGTGTGATTTAGCCGGTACCTACTTATATAAATGATTTTTTTTATAAAACAAAAAATAGTACATAATGTTTGTAATCTCTGTATAAAAAAAGTCACTTTCTCAATTTCAAAGAAAACACGTAGTTACCCACTAAAAACAAGTATCCTTTCGTTTATAACTGATGTTTGATGTCAACTAAACTTAATTAGGTCTAAACAAGTGAAAAAAGCATAAAAATGAACATTACTTTTATACATGGCTGATAGCACAATAGGCGTGTCATCGTGTCTGACAGGCGTGTCATGAAATATTTGTTCGCCGCCACAGCTAAAAGTTGTCGAAAATCGGTGCCGCAACAAATCGGTTAAGGCGAAATGATTTACGTGTTTCGCTCACATGCTACCGGACAAACCCGTCACGATACTGTGTACTCGTCAAGCCAAGAGTGAGATAGTGCAGCTCTGTCGTTTTCCGATTGTCTAATTGCAAAGTTTAAAATCTTTTCGAACTAAAGCTGCCTGAATTAGTGAACCTGCAGCTAGTGAGACGGTGATATTTGTGATTTTAATACTACCAGTGTATAAGAACTCACTGCGTATAAATCCCACTTACAACAATCTTCCTTTAACAACAATCATGTTGTTAAGGGTTGTTCTTCGTAAGTTTAGAGAGGGAGGGTGCGCGTCATTTGCGAACCAACTGCGTGATCCATAGGCTTATAGAATATTATTAGTTCTTGAAAGTGATTCAGTTTCAACTGGGATAGCTGTAAATTCTTGATACCTGGTCTCATGCTAGTGACGTCAGTATCCTATCCTATCATGAAACCATATTGTTGACACGGTCGTAAAAAAAACACACCGAAATTTGTAAGGCACCCTAGGTCCTACAATTTTGATTGTCAACCGCGAGATACACTCACACAATTCATCAAGGTTCGACAATCGGCACCAGTAATCTATGCAGAGCGCGTTAGCTCTAACATTGACGCGTGCTGCATACTGGAGCTGATTGTCCCCTTACAATAATATTGTAAGGGGACAATCAGCATGGGATATTGGCACATTCTAAATTGCACGCTGATTTTCGATTCTGTTGTGTGTGTATCATAACGTGTAACGTCCGTATTTTTTACGTCTGCGATCGTTAATTGAATTGCCTTTACATGTTCTCCGTGTACGACGTCGCTATCGCTGTCGCCGTATCTCTGAACTGTTTGTTACAAGGGCGTCATAAAATTATTTTAGTTGTAACGCTGCGAGCGATGGATTTACCCATCTCACTAAATAGCACCACATAAGTACAATATTAGAAGGCATTAAGCGATACTATTTGCTCACAAATTTTATTTCATATTCGCTCTACTATATCATCTCGCTCTAGTGATGGTGCTGCCCGGAACTGCATTTTTAAATCCACTAATTTATTTCCTAGACATTATAGGGTGGTCCTATTGTTATCTATTACATAGTCAAGACACTTCATGAATTATTTTCTTGTATTACTTGGCCAATAGAAATTATAATCACCTGGTGATTATTGTTGCTAGTAAGATTGCTCCTAAGTCGGCCAATCTCGAGCAATAACATATAACTCACGTGTGTACAGTAATATATTATACAATTTTGTATTTATCTAATGAAACTTAAGTGAATACTTGAAATAAATGTTCTTCTGACAGACACAATTGTTTCAAGTTTGGCACACTTTCTCAAGAAGTAATGCAGTCGATGTGTATAATTTTGTCAATAATATTAAAGTAGATAAAAATGTTTAATGCATGTGAAACTAAAATCCTTATCTTCAAAAATGTTTTTCATTTAACAGTAGCTATTTGATCTGTAAAAAGTGCTCACATAATTCTAGTATTTTATTTTGTTATATTTGACCATAGTATATTCCTAATGCTTGGTTTACATTTTTTTGATTCGTCAGTAGATTTAGGACGGTACATTAGTAGAAACGCGAAGACGGTAGCTTTTACCTTTTAGTGATTGATGATAGTACTGGCTTACTACGATTTTCGCTTTTTTACTAAAATCAAATAGATTTTTTTTTCTAGCATTTGCATCCATTTATTCATTCATTCATTAGTTTCAAAGTTACCTGCTGCTATGATCAGCAGCCTCCTCCATAGAGTACCTCGGGGAGAGGGGAGAGTGTGATACCACGCCATAGTTGCTTGTGTTACTTGAGTGCCACTAGTATACTTTCCTAAAGCACTAAAATAATGTAAACCCAATTTCTAACTTTTGACTCAAATGTTGAATGATGTTTTGAAATTTTAACCGCTGCTGCTTTTGATAATCAGCTAATATGAAATGTAATTTAATATAAATAGAGTTAATATAAATTCTATTATGATTGAACACGTTTTACTTTTTGAGTCTTAACTTTATTTTAAATCACTTTTGCTGAAATTTTGACGTCGACTGTTACGAAGTGATTTCAACAGAACATTCGTGACCATTGCACTTCCATTTTTCTTATTACTTATAATTGAACACAATTTTAGTAATTATCTAAATTAAATGAAATGTTTCAGTATCCATATTTAAATGTATAGAACCCCATTAAAACAATGAATGGATTTTAATAATTAAGCAATGCTTCAGTGTAAATAGTGGAAATTATAGTTTAATAAAACAAGTAATATTTCACTTTATTTACACGGCTAGTTCAAACATAATAGTTGGCTCAAATTATAGGGTAGTTTTATACATTTTTATTTTTATAGTTAATGTAAGTGGTCAAGGGGGCTGTTTTTATAATGTATCACAGTGGATTTAACTGAATTATCAATACTTGCTTAACATTTTTTATATAACGAATAAATTTCATTAGTTTGGCCTGTCACATACAAAGTTAGAATAATTCAGGCTTTCGATTCATTAGAAAAAATATCATAATGTATGTACTTTATTATACTAGTAAAGTACATACACTATAATATTTTTTTAATAAAACTATTAAGAACAATCATGTTTTTGTAAGCGTATCCGTTCATTGTGCATCAAATTATTGTTTTGGTTTTAAACTTAAATTGTTATTTTTGAGACTGTTTAAATTAATATTAATTTTTTTATGTTTAAGTAAGAGAGCATTGTTTATTTTTTTTTTAAATATGTACTACGTTTAAGCCTTAAAAATTTTGTGTCGAGTGTCATATATTATGCTTGGAATCTCTTTCCTTTGCGTTATTAATATGCGTATAAATGATGTATAAAGCTCGTGTGAAATGTCACCACTTACTTGCCGCTAAAGTCGCAGAGCGCATATGAGTATTACATTTCCGTGAGCTTTTTTAAGGGAAAATGTTCCCCGAAATTGAAATCTGTTCAAAATTGTTATTACGTTTCGGCTGTGAGAGTTTCTTTAGTGTAAGATAATATGTAATGTGTATCCTAAGTAATCGAAAAATAAATATTTCACTACATCCCAGTATAGCCATTAAAATATCACAATTATTATCTACATTTAAAATGTCACCCGTCCAACTTACTTACTCCCTTTTCGAAATTTTATGGCCCCAACACAGCGTCGATACTATGGCAGCTGATGTGTAATTACAAGAATGTATGGATTCTTTGGTGGTGTATAATATGATGTTGAATCGGATTGGCTGATATAACCATTAACTTGGCTTTGTTGCAATAGTTTTATAATCATAATATTGATTCCTAAATTAAGCCCCATTATAATAATATGTGGCTAAATTCCCGATTAACTGATTTCTTACAAATCGATTATTAACTCAATAGATTATTTGTAAAATTGACTGCGTGCTGGGGCCCTGAAATCTTAAGATCAGTATAATATTATGTACTTTATACATGTATTACGTAATTTATATGTATAGTTAATATTTCATGAATACTGTGTAAAATATTTCTTACAAAACATAACTGGTTTCGTAATGTATGAATGTTGTTGGTATTTAACATAATGCATGAAATCATATCTTTTTCTATAGTAGTACCGTATTACGAATTTGCGCGGTAAAGTAAAGTACAGATAATTAAAACTGATAAGTACTCTTGATATTTGAAGTGCAACCACGCAAATTATCCACGGTGTGATAGTTATTTTTTACATTATATTGTTTAAAATCTAGATACATATTATATAGTTCTAAATGTTTTATTTTAACGGAATAAAAGACACCACAAGATAATTAATCTCTGCGAAATATACACTGCCCAATTAAAGATGTTCCAAATCATACGGCATTTAATTGTACATATATATTTATATCAATTAGTCAAATAGAAATGTACATGTTCATTGCACTTTTTACCCCCACTTCATTCATCACAAAACTGCTCGTAAATTTAGAATACTTGTTATTTGTAATTAACAGATAGGCTCGAGGTGAACTCGAATTCTATTGTATACTTTGGTAGTTATCAATAGTTCCGACAGTTCAAATTCACAAAGCAATAATATTTTTCATAATCTACTTTTGTTATTGAATATTTATAAAGGTTGGTACTATTTTGTACCTTTAGTTGGTGCAGCGGCAGTCATTGATCTATTATTGGAAGAGTTTTGATGTAATGTGGTGCTATCGAACTGTATGGAGCGACTGGCGATTGAGACAAAATGTGTATTTAATTGTGTCCTGATTTTAGAGCTTATTAATATATATACATTAAATTTAGCTACGCTGTAATTATCTTTTATTTTAATTTTAAGCTGTATATCGTTTAGCGATGAGGCGCACTGTAACGTGAATGTAAGCTATCTGATAGTCGCAGTCAGAGTGCTCATTTCAGTTTGCTTGTAATGATAAATGATTTGAATTTATGTAATATACTTACAATAAAATTACTGGGACTAGAGTTTCAGTCAAATATAACTGTGTTATTGAAATAAACTTGTGAAAATTGATAAATACTGTAAATCGGACTGGAAAGCCAAAGTAAACAGTATTTTATAAAACTGTCTTTTTTTTTATTATATCCAAACTTTATAGGATGTTACAAGGTACCAAGTACAGAAGAGACCTCTAAACATAATGACTCTTCCTTGTCTACTGTATAAGAGTAAGGTAAGCAGCTCACATACATCCTACTGTTATCATGGGCTAGATCTCATTTTTGAAAAGGTTTTACAACTGGAAAATTCTTAAACGGAATTTGAAGACGTAGTTAAGCTACTGGACTGGAAGGGATACGGTATTAGCGTCAATGGCAATTACATCACACTCCTTTGAAATTAATATGTTAAAAAATTAAATTTTTCGACTAACGATTTCAATGGTGATTGCGTTACCATGGTATTGAACTCGGGTTGCTGGCATACTATCAAATTAAATGTAACCGCCCAGCCCTTGACCGACCACGACTCTCTACTTTGATGTATACTCTAACTGTGCCTGATATTCACCTTTATAATTTATTGGTCTGGAAAGATTACCATCAAGCTAGTTAATAGCTGTAATAAATATTCGACCTCTACAATCTTATATCTAATATAATAATTATTGTCCATCAGCACCTAAAAATCCACTACTGGTCATCTCTTCCGTTCACATCTGATCAGTAAAGTGATATAAATGTAAAATAAAATGATTTGGAGAAAAACTAAATAAGAGACGTTTACAATTTAAAATCACCGAAATTTATTGACTTGTGTTTGGTAATCTTGGGAGTATTTACAATTTTATGTGATGTAGGTATTAAATGCACTAGGCATATCCATATTGGCAGCGGGAAGCAGAGTCAAAAGCCGAGATGTCTGGTATGTCTGTCTTCTAAACGTAGTAATTATAGCAAATTTTCACAGCCGTGGGACAGGTACAAAACCAATAGATGACTGACGAAAAAATTTATTGTATTTTAATAGGTGAAGAAAAATATATTTTTTAATACTGTTGAAGCTACATACTCGTATAATCAGCGAAAAGTCAAAATGCAATAAAATAGAATATTCTTGTAAATAAAAATACAAAAGTTATGAATGAAGTCAAAGAACTAACGCATATAACATATGTTCAGCTTTTTTAAGTCCTCAGCTGGACAAAGTCCTTTCCAAGAATGCCTCGTATGGCAAGCAGTAACTGAAGATTTGTCCACACACACCACGTAAATATGGGTAGACGGTTTGGTGAGTGCAAAGCCGATATCCCCGCAACGGGTAATACTATACTCCCTATCACCAGTCTGAAGAATTTATGCAGCACTATGTGATAAATCTTCTTGTTATTGCAAATTGTGTCATATATAGAGTAGGTATATATAGAGTAGGTGAAATGGACATTTTCATTACTCCCTTTAACTAGGTAAGAACTAAAGCAAACTATAAGATAATAAAAATGAAAAATACTTTATTTGACAGTTAGCACCTTTACAAATAATTTAACAGTGGTTCTCACACTAGGCCCGCAGAACTGTATCTTGAGAGCCATATACACATATTAACAAAAACAGAATTAGTGCACGGCTGACTTTACAAAGCTTTCCTTACTTTAAATTTCTTCCTCATTTTATTTATAGTCTGTAAACATAAATATATACTTAAATACATATACACACACATATACATATATCCATCCATATATATATATATGCTGGCACTGCTGTGTTCCGACCTGAAGGATATAAAGAGCCAGTATAGTTAAGAGGTATTCCATCTTAGTCCTCAGATGTGTAGTGACAACTCAGTGTGTAAGATGGCATTAGCCACTTACCATCAGTTGGACTAACAGTTCATTTTATAAAAAATAGTTCTGCAACCTGATGCCAAGTGATTGCTTCCAACCATATACATCAGATATAACTGAGCAATTTAAGGTGCTTTGCCAGCATTTGAGGAAAAACTAGGTCTTTTTTTTAAGGTCCCCCAGAGTCTAAAATTTAATAGTAATAAGAAATTAAGATTTTGGTTGTCAATGGAAATTAGATGTTCTATGGTTAATTAAAAATTAAATAAGCTCATTAATTAAAAATAATAGCAACCCAACACCCAACGGCAGTACCTGTTTTTATATGTAATCTATCTGACAATGAGTGACTTATCAGATAAAGCAATCACAAGCAGACAATGTTCAGAAGGTATGACTATGACTGGTATGACTAATTGACTATGCTTAGTTTTATTATTGTGAGGTTACAATAAAAAGCATTCATATATTAACCTGCTGTAACATGAAACCACATATAAAACAAAGGTTAGGTTAATAATATAAGTGATATATTTTTTGCACTGGTTTATTTTTACTTTGATTTCTACAGGGAATTTTTCTATGGAATTTTGTGCACAATTTAAACAAAATATCTGTTTATAAAATATGCTACAATCTTTGCTTATGCAAACGGGTCTATCACATATTGAACAATCTGAACCTAACATAAGAATTTCTCCTTTTCCAGTAGGGCTAAATGGATCTTTCATCACATAACTTGGATACTTGAGAACTATATTACGTGAGAACGGGGGCTTTGTTCCTTTGTAATGTGCCTTTTCACTCAAACTGCATGATGTACACGTGAATTCATAACCAACTTCTACACTATCCACATTTGATTTTTTATCACCCATTTCCTGAAATAAAAATAATATAAGTAATATGCAGTATCAAGTATTAACTTTCATTATCATTTTAGTTAAAATTATCTGAGTTTTATATTTTTCTAGATAATCAAAGAAGTATTTAACTATACAGGACATAATCTTTGTGATATATACAAGATAATATTAATAGGTTTGAGGATACTTAATTACCTTGTTATAGAATAAGATAAACAAAGTAAATAACAAAATATTACTGTGTACTATGTGACCGAAACAATAAGGCGCATGACAGCTAAGACATCATTTGAACTAGAGAGGGAACACAGGGCGGTAATTGGTCCCTAGCAGAAGCGTGTTGTATGTCAAACTACTTCTGTATATTGCTACATAGCAAAAACAACAAATTTTACATGGCTATGTAGCAAAACAACAACAAAACAGATTAGTGTTTTGATACATTCATTTTTTATTTACATTATAGAAATCATAGAGATTAAATGCATTATCTGAAGTGGACACATAAACAATATTTTATAACTAGATTTGAACCCATTAACCCACCCCTCACAGGCAGGGAGCAGCTGACTGCCGAGCAATAGGACATGAAAAAGGTTATACAAATGATACATACACTACCACATATTGTAATTCATTGCATGATGTAGATCTGTCAATATTTTTCTCAATAAATTAATTAGTTTTGTTCTTTTTTCACATTAATTTCTCTTGGAGCTTCAATAGGCCACCAGGAAGGTTTTAAAACTTCAGCTTCATAGTCTCCAACTTTCAACATTTTAGCATCAAGGGCCTCTTTTATTCTCATTAAACCTAATCCATAATTGTGAACAATACCCTTTAACTTTCCTAAATTTAATTTTGGGTTTTCAGAAGAATTTACAACTGTGTCTTTCTCTATTGAATCCTTTATTTCTTTGGTAAATTTTAAAGGCATTATTCTCTTCCGAACTACACCAGTATGATGGACTCTAGCAGTTAATTCTTGTCCAATATAGCATCCTTTATGAAAACTAACACCATGAAGGTAATCACAGTTAGCCTCTAAAGGAAAGCTTGTTGCAGGTGGAAGGTCATCAGCTCCTTCACCGACACCTAATTTATATCTTAAATATTTATAACCATCTTCACTATTGCTTATTGATAAATCACTCCCAAATATATCTACCAATTGAGATTCATTTAAAGATAACGGTGATATTATTCTATATCCTAGTTCAACAAGTCTGGGATCTTTATATATATGCACATTTTTTTCTTTCATATTAGGTACTGTAGAAGATATTAATACCCACAACTTAATCTCTTCATTGACATCTTTAATTTCGAGTTGTCTCTTCAATTTATACATTTTCAAAAGCTTTTGCATTGCGCTTATTGTACTAGAATCGCATTCAATTAGAAAAGAATCATTGTCTTTCCATTTATGTATTAAGGTATCATACAAAACCCTACCTTTGTTGTTAAGAAACATAGCATATACAGATTTAGCGCCTTCTTCGAAGTGTCGCATATCATTTGTAATTAGTCCTTGCAAATATATGGAAGCATCATTGCCTTTTACATTAATTAATTTCCGACTTGTAAGAGGATACAAAACTGGCTTATCTATGTAATGTTCTTTATGAGCATGTCGAAAAAATTGAGATAAAAAATGTTTTTTCCAAAATAAAGTTTTTACCTGGTGGAATTTCATGATACTCTTCTAAGAAATATTTAATTCATGATCAGTTTCTTTAATTTTTTTTCATAAAGAATTTAATCGTAATCACTGTTATCTATATCATAGATAAATAAATATGTAGCTAATGTGGCTAATGTAAGTAAAATTATATAGGTAATTCTAGCCACCAGGCACCAGGCCTCACTACCACTCACTGTCACTCTTGCTACCTGTGTGATATAATTACCTATATAATCGCGAGGCGCCCCCGAGTACGTAGTACTATTATTTATTCTGTGCTCTAGCTACCATAAAAAAATAAATAGTAAATAAATTGAAATATTATAAATATTACTGAAATTCTTCTTCTTCTTGAAATACTATTCCTACTCAAACTGTGTTCTCAAACGTCAAAATCCATAAATCACAGATTATTTTTATTAATTAAGATTTTAGCTTGGATACTTGTCTTTTAAGCCATGCCTTAATTTCATTAGGGATTTTGCGAAGTTTTTGGGAGATTTTGAAGACAGCTTCAACCAGCAGACAGTTGATGACGATTTAACGACAGTCATTTGAGTTCATAAGGCGCCTAAACATTCAAAATAACTTGAGGTTTAAGGTTTAACATTGAAGTACACTTATTACGTCGTTTTTTACAATAGTTCAAATGCACAGACACTAATACACAAAATCACATCACTTTTAAGTATCAAATTCAAATAATAAATTTGGCACGTGGCAAACGTGGCACGGGGCGATCCCACAGCGGTATCTCGCATAGATACGAAACAGCGCTTGGTCAGTCACGCTAGAGTCAGTGTTTCCACTTTTAGGGATTTTTCAGAAGTTCCTAGCACATTATTATTCGACCAATTACTTTAAGCAAATGAGTTGATGGATTATGTTTGACAATGAGTGTCTCAGAATTTAGTTTTGTTGTAGTGACACGTTTCTTACGGAACCAAAACCTTGAAGTTGTGATTTCACTTCTGTTAGCACTGCCGTCACTGGGACATATTATTCAGTGTTCTAAAATACTTAAAATCCGACAAAAGAAATAGGTTTTATAATGAAACCCTCGATGGATTGTTGCACACCAAACTCAGCTTAGAAGGTTCGATTTTGAATCCGACAATGCTACAACGAATGCAGCTAAAAATTAAAAGACAGTTTTTGAACTTTAGCTTCATTCTGTTAACCTTCTACTACTTCTCTTGGTTAATTGCTTACTACCTTAGTAATAAACGGCTTATGGTTGTAGAAAATAGCTATATTAAAATAAAAAAATAAAAAGATAAGGTTTTTGTTTTTGCAATCATGTTTCCAAATCAAGGATTTTCGCAGAATAATTTAAGATATTTAGCGCAAATGTTGAAAAAATCTAGGGCAAGATTGTAAACACTGGCTAGAGTAGTATTGTGATGAACATGAGTTTAAGTCGGAGAGAACTATTGGAGCCTTGTCTTCTAATGCGAGCTGAATTGTTAATAGCTAGAGATGGTGTTCATTCAATAAATCAAGGACGAAGTAGTTTTCATTATTATGAATTAAGTTGTCATTCAAAGAAAATTTATGACTCTACGAGAATGAGAATGAGTAACTTTAGCCACATTTGATTACAATTTAAAGAAAATTAGATGCAATTTGAAATCTGTTAAGATCGAAAATCGTAATCAACTTCCATTCATCATTATCATCATCATTACAGCCCTTCACAAGTCCACTGCTGAACATAGGCCTCCTCCAGGTATTGACACCAAGCACGGTCCTGAGCCACCTGCATACATCGACTTACTGCACTTGTCAGGTTGTCAATCCATCTAGTGGTGGGTCGCCCTACACTTCGACTACCGGTACAAGGCCACTCGAGAATCTTTCTTCCCCATCATTTGTCGGTTCTTCGAGCTATATGGACAGCCTATTGCACTTCAGCTTACATGATCTTTGTTTGCATGGACGTTATACATGATTTTTGTTTTGTCCATATTCATCTTAAGTTCTTAAGACCTATCCTTTGGGAGGCACTATTGAGGTCATTGAGCATATAGTGCTTAGGTCTTCCAGCGATTATGCCATAAGGACTATATCGTCGGCAAATCGAAGGGGAGTAATGTACTCGCCATTGATGTTAATACCGTACCGTATCCTTTCCAGTTCAGTACCGTTAAAACGTCTTCCAATGCAGCGGTGAAGTTTCGGGGATATAACGTCACCCTGTCTTACACCTTTCTGCAGTTGAATAGCTTTCGTACTCAGGTTTTGCACTTGGATAGCCAACGTAGGCTTTCTGTAAAGACACTTCAGCATTTAGATATACCGACAGTCAACTTGGCACCGCTGAAGGGACTACAGCATCGCGCAAATTTCTCATAATCCACATACGCAAGACATAGTGGCAAAATGTACTCCTCGGTCTTCTGTACAATTTGCCGAAGGGTATGTATGTGGTCTATGGCCGAGTCTGCGTGCGAGACAATTCGTAATGACTCTCGAAAACAGTAGGGAAATCGCTCTGTAGTTCTTCAAGAGAGCATTGTCGCCTTTCTTGAAGACCACCGCACTTCTGCTCCACGCCTCCGGTGTAGTACTACCATGGAGGATGGAGTTAAACAGCTTCTGAAGGACTTCAAGTACCGGTTTTCCACTGGCTTTTAGAAGCTTCGCTGTGATTTCATACTCGCCCGGGGATTTGCCGTTTTTAAGGTGTTGGAGAGTTATTCTAATCTCGCTCAGACTGATATACGGCATATCATCGAAATAGTGTCAGATAAGTCTTGCTCTTGGATCGTTACTCAGACTTGCGTGTGACTCCAACGATGATGTATACAGCTGCCCATAGAGCCTCTCAATCTCACTCAAAATCTCAGGTGTCCCGGAAACGATGCTACCACACTCATTCTTCAGCTTCGACAGTTGGCTCTTCCTGGCAGTCAGATCTCTGGCAGACTTTGGAGCCATGGTTCCGCTCGGTCGCTTCTTCAATACGAGCTGTATTAAAGTTGCGTAAGTCCCGCCGCAAGCATTTCGAGATGTCTGTTCAGTTGCCTGTATGCTGTCAAATTTTATTTATAATTTTAATAATGGAAGTTTTTTTAACTTGTCAAAAAAACTTCAATTACTAAAATTATAAATAAAAATACAAGCCTATATACTCGAGCAAGTGGTGAAATAAAAATAGTTCGTTCCTGTCGCAATCGCCTCGCCACCGCCCGTGCAACACTCGATCGCCCCGCGCCGCTCTCGCCTGTTTCGTGCGCGTCGCTATATTAAACTATGCTTTTGTTAACGTCGCTGGTGCATCGCGCCGCCCCGCAACCGCCATCGCTCGACCGTCGCTAATTTTGTACCCGCAGCTTAAGGGTAGCGTAGCCCACTAAATAGAGTTACGGTCTGGGTATGAAGGAAGATGATTTTTTTTTTATCTGCGTCAAAATTTCTTTTTTTTAGTTGGCTTGCAAGACAGCTTCATGGTTTTGTTTTCCTTGATGATAATTTCAATATACATTTTAGCTACATAGTTTGCGATTTTTCTATTAACACATTAAATTTATAAATGTGTAATCAAGATACAGATAAGTGTAATGTAATTCCCCTGGTGTTGCAGTTGTTCATGAGCGCCGGTCGACACTTACCATCAGGTGACCCGCATGCTCGTTTGCATCCACTTTCATAAAAAAGGCGTTATGTTTACCTTGTGTTACCGTTTTTTTCACTTATTATCATAACTTATTACTGAAAAAGTAATAAGTTATGGTATTAAGTAATATATAATATATAACACATGATATTATGGTAATTCCAGTTACATGTCTATATTAATATGATTATTTTCTATTTGATTATAGCAATTGGTAACTTTATTCTATCGGCAGATCAGAGAGTATTCTTGTTCTGTTCTACACATCATTTATGTCAATGTTCCAAAGATTCTGAGTACCATCGATTTGAAATTGGATAAAATTTTACCATTGATCAAGCAATAAATTATTTAATGGTAGCTGGTGCTGATTATTAAGTAAGGTCTACGCGAAATAAATTAAACAGCATGTAATCAAGCAACATTCTGTATTCATTTATTAAAAATAAATCATCATAAAGTATTAAGACTAATTTGAAGCATTCTATTTTTTTAGAAAATAATGGCGCAGTCAGTATGGTGTTGTTGCTCACAAATCACAACTGTATTTTAATATTACTAATAAATTTTCTTATCCATGACCAATTTATCTGTTTAATCTAATATGTCAATGAACACACACACGGCTCTCTATATTGTCAATTTATTCAAGACCACATATCAAAAAATGAATGTAGCAATAATCGAGCAACACGGGCCACGGACGGATCGGAGGGGAGTAAATATACGCAGCCGTTCCCCTGTGTCAAAGTATAAGTCCATTGTTTTTTATATTCCGTGGTCCACGCGGTCCTATGCGTACATGAAATGTCGAATGGTTCAGTTTTTCACTGCAAAAAGAAATCTCCCACGTCAAATTTACAGTAAGATAGCGTTACCTTTCATATATAAGTAATTTTTAATTACATAATTGTTATTTACTTCATTTTTACCATCACACGCCGAGCGTCCTCCTACAATATGCAGATCGGACTAGCGATTGATCCGAGTCTGTATCCGAGTAGTCGCTGTCACCGAGCGATACTGTTAGATGATGATGATGACGATCAGCCTTAAAGGCTGATTTACACGGGGTCAGTAACAGGCGCCAGTGCTGGCGCCGAGAACTGACTGACAATTTACATTATGCCGGGTCAGCATTGACTTGTCTCGAATTTGGAGCCAGTTACTGTTCCTGTGTAAATCAGCTATTATACTGTATTTTATATATGTGTGTGTGTGAAAATGTTACTTTATTGTTATTAAATTTAAAATTATAAATGTTATGTGTGAGTTTGTGAGTTTCGTAATGACATTCTATTGTTTTCGTATGTGTAGATTTCCTCCCGCAAAAAATGATAGACAGCTCTGTATCGGCCAAAACCCTATGGCTACTCCCCTTTGGCCTTCAGTCCGCCGGTGGCCCGTGTTGCTCTATGAGCAATAACATCTAAATATAAGTATATATAATATATCATTTTATGGCGCAAAACATTTTAATGTTTGTGCTTTGTTAATTTTTATCGTACGAAGATTAGGCGTGTGTGATACATAATCATAGCGCCCTTTAATTAGCATTTTACTTACAATAAATTATTTGCATACACATTTTCTTGATTACAAAACACGACTATACATAATATTAATAAAAATACCTTACCCGTATACTTAACTCAAGAGTTATGATAAATTCATGCCGTTGACTTATAAATCAATCTTTTATTTATAACTGATTATACTTTTTAGCATGTTTCGTTTACAATGCTGTGAAATGCAGATAACGCGGAAACTTTATATGTATTAATATTAATAATTGAGCCTTGAAAAAGTGTAGAATCGTTATGCGATATAAGAATAATTGTTGTTAAATTGAGCAAAAGATTGTAGCAAAACGTTTCCTACTCGTGTTTTAGTAGGCATTTAATGGCGGTTAAAAATTTACGACCCTGGAACCGAAAATATCGTTATCTAAGTCAATAGGTATAGTTAAGACAAGGTGTAAAACATTTATTTCATTAAATTATTCCTGAAAAAATTAAGGAGAGAAGAAGTTTTGGCTAATTTATGTGTGATGGTATGTTCAAAAGATCACGTGACGGCTCATATAATCCAATTACTTATTTTATTTTATTAATTATGGTTTGCGGCGAGTCATTCATTTCTATAGCGACTTCCTTTTTGGATCTCCTTACAGGTGTGACTTCGGGAGTGTTGAGTGCGGTTTCCTGGCCTTGTTCAATAGATGCTGTAACCAATTCCGTTGTAGCTGTCGGCTCGGATTTTATCGAAACGGTGTCCCTGGCTACAGGGGAGTTTAGGGAAGTTTTTCGTCGTTTCGTCTTTTTCAAATATGGAGTTACTTTCTGCAAATAAATTGAATTGTAAGATTATTCAAAATGATTTTGGGTCTCCCATGTTCAAATAAAATTTTGTCTGGTAGAGAATAATATGAGGCATTAAGATAGCCCATCGCAACCTCTAGTTGTAGGTGTTTCCAATTAAAAGTAAATAAATAAATAACAAAAATTAATGGTGTTTATAACAAAAACTAGCGGTGTTAATATACAGGGTTATTTTGCAATATACGGCCTAATTTGCAGAGAATAAATCTATATAAATAAAATGATAGAGCTTTGCAGTTGTGCGCGCATCATTGAAAAACTACTGGATAGATTTCGATTAGGTTTTCTTAGTTTTATTTCTAAGACACTTGGCCCTTATAAAAAAAAATTGCGATATCTTCATTTATATATAAAGTCATTAAAGTTTTAAGAAACAACCATTATTATAGGTATGTGGCAAAGATGTTTTATAGGTCCAGATACCGTGTACGCGCGCCTAAAACGCTTCCTTTTCAAAGGCGCCAATATTGGCGTATTCGTTCGATCGTTCCGCCATTACGCCAGCGATGATCGCTGTGAACATACGTTACGCACCGGTGTTTTTAATTTCGCAAAATGACTGTTTGTGCTGTGAAATCATTTAAAAATTACTCTTGGAAAAAAGATAACGATAAGAACATCAATTTTCATAAGTAACTATACAATTTTATGGTGTATTTCTTTGTAAAAGAATACGAAAGTTAAATGTCAATACAAGTAATAATATAATATTCGATTATAGTGCCACCAACTTATCTGTTCAGGTGGACAAAATTGGAACTAAAGCCGCCATTTTGTAAATGACATTTCGCTGTCAGTTATTATTTATTCTGAGCTATCAGTTTTTAAAAAGTGCAAATAAAATGCCTAAAGATATTAAAAGTGATGCGCGACAGATTATCCTGAAAGTTTTATCTTTTATGAAAGGCGAGAAACGTGTACAAGCCCCAACTATACAATTTGAAAAGCTGTATGAACGCGTTGCAGCCGCGACAGGTTTGTATTGCCAGATATGGAAAATTAAAATCACCAAATACTTGTGAAACATAGTAAAAAATTTATTTCAATCTACTGTAAAACTGTTGGTTCCACCGCCCCAATTAAGATGATTATTAAGATGCATTCCATAAAATTATACCGGTGTAGTGAAAAAACATTTGTAATCATATAAAAAACTTGAAAATGAATACAGACTAAAATATGCGTATTTAGATGAACCCTTTATTATAGAGTGTCAGAGCGATATCGAAAGCGACTCCAGTGACTCAGAAGATGAATTATTGGAACCAGTAGCTAGCGCGAGTACATCTTTCAAAACACAAATTCCTGGAGTTCAGCCGCTTGAACTCCGAGATCACGACCACAATTATTTTTATAAAATATAAATAATATATATAATAACACTAATTCTCACTAATTTTAATATATTAACAAGATATTTGTTTTATTTTATATTATGTGTAATGAATATGTAGTCACCTATTTCCTCGGTGAATTTCTTAAATGGCAATAGTAAGCGCTCCACTAGCGACGCTGTCAACTGAACAGATAAGTTGGTGGCACTATAATAATATTCGAGTGTATCTTGTCTATGAAATGTTTTTACCATTTTTTAATGTCATGATCAACCACAAAGGTTATCTGTATAGGGGTTTTAAACAGTCTAATTTTACAGATTTTACCCAACCTATAGAGTTAAACCGTTTTAAGGGTTAGGGTTGAACTACATCTGGCAGCATGAAACTTCACTTTCCTGTGCTTCTATCCTTATTGGTCACTCAGAACCGTTATAGTAGTAACCGGTATAGTTCCACCCTCAAAAAGCCGATTGTAAACCGGTTTTAAAAGTTTATCTATCATTCTTGACAATTCATACTAATTTAATATTATAAATGTGAAAGTGTGATTTTTTTGTTTATTTGTTTTTGTCCTTCCTTCACACAGCAACGGAACGGAGCAATTTAAAAAAAAATTAAACATTTTGCTATCTCTTGGCTGAATTTTACGCTTAACCAAACTTACTTTTTTTCGTCATTTTACTTAGGATTGAAAAATAATTTAATGTCTTCGTAAAAAGCGGCAATATTTTGTGTTCTACAGTAGAAAAGTGTACTCTGTATATATTTAGTAATAATAGATTATAAATATATGTTACATACATAAATATCTACTGTGCTTTTCTATTTATTTTAACTGTTACATTAATTATAGGTTTTATTACATATCTTCATTATTTTAGTGCGATGTTCGTACCTACATAAAACACACATAAGCAGCCATATCCCGATACACACACACACACACACAAATGCACACGCCACGCACACACATTTTATACTCTTAGAATCAATAGGTACGTCAATAGGAATGAAATATAAAATCTCCCACATTTTTTGGTATGTGGTTTTTCACACGGTCAACTGTACGTCGCTTGCTCTCGCGTTACTAACCCAGATAAGGACAATGTCCAAAATCGCCCTGTGTAATAAAAGCATCGGACATACACGATAATTAATTTTCTATTTTATTATGTCAGTTGGAAATACTTTTATAACACGGACTAGCTGCGTGCAAAAATAAACATTAAAAAGTATTGTACTCGACTAATAACATTAATCGCCGCCATCTTCGCCAAACATCATGTGGTGTTGAAAAATGATTAGGGATGCCCAATCGATTATAATCGATTTTTGAATTTAATGTACATTTTGAATTTATTTCGAATAAAGTTTCAAAAAGAAGCTACAATAAAATATAAAATTACCATTTCTTTATATTCTTTTATATTATTCCCTAAAAGTATAATTTAAAAACCTACTATACCTAATGAATGAGGTCATACTCGATTTTATATAGGTTTAGTATTATTTAGAATAATGCTGAAGAAAAATATTCGTAAAGATTCAGGATTTTCTAATGATCGTTTAGAAAGGATTGCATTTTACGTCTTACTAACGAACTTACGAGTTTTTCAACAATTAATATTAAAAAAAAAACACTTATTGTTATTTACATTAATTATAAATGTGTTCTTTAAAAAGAGCAATATTGTAGACTAGATACAGACGTTATTATTAATATTGTTACAAATATGGAAGAAGTAGAGACGTACGTGTTATTATAAGTAAAGTAGGATATTGTCATACTTGTTATGGTATTAATATTATCGTATGACAAAAGATGATTTGTAATGTGATGTTTGTTTGTAACGTATGGCTATAATAAATCTTATGAAATATTCATAAATCGTATCGTATTTGGCGCTCCTATTTTTGATGTCACTAAATTGTCACTTGTCACTTGTCAGTCTCTCATGAAAAAAATACGATCTCCAAATCAATTCAAATCGAACATACTAGAATCGAATCTCGATTAAATCAAGCATTAACAGATCTATTTTTGATCAACTTTCAAACATGCCTAATATGGACAGAGAACATAATTATTGACGATAATTTACCGTAAATACAAATAATTGTATAGAAACATCATTAAATAAATAAACATAACATCACGCTTGTATTTCTCAGAAGGAGTAGGTAGAGGTATGTAGTACTAAGTTATACGTCCCACGTAATAGAGAAACAAGCCAAACACCGGACACAAATCCAGACTCCGTGCTACTACAGGGAACTTCAAGTTATAAAAAAAAATTATCATACACTGGGATCGAAGCCAGAACAGAACAGTTTTTCTGTCTGTCACAAGGAACAGATGTTCCACCTATGCAAAAGTATTTCTTGAATCGTTTGAAATATTCTTGAATAAGTCCAACTCGAGAGGTTTTTGGATCGATTCATTGAATCGATGGAGTGTTCTAAGTCGATATCAGGACATCGGATAAGGATTCTTCAGATCTATATCGATCTGGAAAATCGATTATTTTATTATAAACAATCGATTAAACGATTTCAAATCGACATGCCTACTTTATACTGTCACCTTTCACTCTGTCAAAATTACATTTGTTGGTGTCGTTTGCTTTTTGTAATTGTATCGGTGTTTTGGTGACTTTCGGGACTATATATTGAACATTACGACTTGGCTATTTTAACGGACTCTGATTGATTTCAAGAACGACTTACTTTGCTGTGATTTTCGGAACTGTGTACCGCTCATACGATAACCTAGCATTCATAAACGGTTATACGCATACGCAATGGAAAGTGTATTTTGTGTAAATCGCCGCTCTGCTGGTGGCTCAATGTTGTTGAAAGATGAACAGAGAAGCAATCGTGCAATATTGCTGTAATTGTATCGTTGTACGCAGAACCATCGGTTGCTGCGCCCATATTATGACCATCATCATTTAGAAGATGAAAAATATACATGAAAGTAATCTGTGTTTTATTTCTAATTCAAACATAATAAATTAATGTAGTTTAAACAACTTATACTACCAATTAGGTGCTAAGTCGGTAAGGCTGATTTCATAGTCACGCGTTTGAACAGCGCCGTCCAGACGCACACGCTTGCAAATGCACTAGATAGTAGTCGATAATATTCACGCTGTTCAAGCGCGCCCTGTTGAAAATTCGTTAAAACCGTGGCTGATACGCTCGCTGTTCGACGGCATGTCTAGCGGTGTGACTGAACCATCCTAAATCCTCTACATTTAGGTACTAGGTATCTTACCGTGCCGTATATATGCTAATGACAACATCTAAATGCTAACAGCCATTATATACATAAATTTTTATTTTTACATGAATACACAAACATTATCTGTTATTTCGAAACCAATCCTAAGAAAGCAGGTTTATTAACTAGATTCTATGCATTTATACGTTGCACTTACATACACTTAGGCTTTAGAACAAAAATAGCATACCTAATTATCTAGATAGGTACTAAAAATAGCTAAATGTTTTAGGACATCATTTTTCAGTTTGTAAAAAATCACTCGGAGCTATGAAAAACCGTAATATTCGTGGTTCGATTATAACCTCAAAATCTGATACTTTATTTGAAATATATCTTTTATGCAGCTAGTCCGCTATAAAAATAAGATCATATAGGAATTTACTAGTGATCGACAATAAAACACACAATTTTCCGATGCTCTTGGTTCCAGGGCGAACAATGTATGGGAGCAGAGCAATGTCCTTTATATATTTTAGCTACAAACGGAGCGACGAATAACATTGTTTACAAAGAAATTTTGTATGCGATCCTTTTGATATTTTTTCCTTCGCACATACGAAAGCTTTGTTAATAATATATCAAGCAACGCGGACGAAGTCGCGGGTATCAGCTAGTAAGTAATACAATATAGGCAGATAGGTGAATAAAATTAATTAAAAAATCTCAAACATTCTGTCTTTTTTATTTTTAAATTCATAAGGCGTGGTTAATCTAAACTGATTGTCATACATAAATATCTAACGCCTACTATTTTACTATGCACACACACATTCGTAAGGGTCGATCGATCGGCAAAAACGTTGTGAATTGAATCGCATATAGAGGAGCGTGCGTAGGCGTAGTTGTTGCCTGTTAATCACATTCAATTTGAGATAATTAAAAAAAATAGAAGTATTATTTACTTGTATTTTCAAAAATTTCAATAACAGTATATCATATATTATATATCAGCGAAATGCCACTGACTGACTGATTCATCACGATATGTCTAAAACTATACACCCGTTTGCCCCGCAGGGAAATGTATCCTAAAGGATTTCCCCAATATATTAAAAAATCATATCTAGACTAGCAATTTCTAAGACTAAGGTACGTGAGGGTAATATGGTCACTTTAAACTTTGCCGCCCTATAATACCGAATAATAACAAAACTAGGAGGAGGAAGGAGACAAATACACAATGACGTGTACTGTAACTAATATATTAAGAAAAATAGCAAACAAGTCTTGGCGATAATAAGGAACACTTCGAAAAATCAACTTAAAGAAAACTAATTACACCACCCAATACTAAAATTGACTAAAATATTTACTATAATATCGACTGTCAAAATGGTGTCGATAAAGCGGTTTGAACCTTTATTATTTGAATGACGGATGAAGAGCTATCGTATCACAAAGCCGTATCTGGTACAGGTAACTAACAAAAACCTAAAAACTTGTGAAAATGAAGATCTGGAATATTCCAATTCCTCTGGTCAGTTTTGTCCAAGGCAATACTATGCAAATAAGGCTGAATTATAAATGAGCATATTACCCTCGCGTACTATAGTGGTTACCTGGTGCGGGTCGCGCGCGATGGTGACGGCCGTGCGGCGCACGACGAAGTCCCTGGCGGTGAGGCAGCGCGCCAGCAGCAGCGCGGCGCCGCACGCCCAGCTGCCCCACGCGGCTGCGCACGCCGCGCGCGTCGCCGCCGCGCGCCCGCCCAGCCCCCACCACGTGGACAGGCCGTTCTCCAGGTGCGCATTCGCCGCGGAACAACTGACGCCCGAAAGAACTCATTGTAGATTGTAAATAGAAAAGTCCTCGCTCTAAACTCTAAAGGATCACCGTCATCATCACAACGTCCTCCAAACGAGAAGATATTTGTACTAACATGGACAAGACAAGGTAGTAAGTAGTTGTTGGCCACACTACACTCCAAATTGTTGATAAATAAACAAGTCCAAGAAGTCTATCGACGATTGCAACTCTGCCGGACACCGATCGGACAAATATGCTCGCCCAATACTCGTTACAATTTTAAAACTAAAATGAACCAAGTCATGTATGCCAGCGATCACTTATGGAATTGAGACGTGGTCCTTAACCGCTGGAGGCATGAGGAAGACACATTCGCTCAACAATTTTTTAGAAAGAATTATTGTCGGAGTTTTTCCGCAACAATGACGATTTTCTGTAAAATGAGAGTAACCGACATAGTCCACCGAAACAGTAACTTGAAATAACAAAAAATAAATAACGAATAGTAGTTTATTCAGTGTTGCTGTTTTCGTAGTGTTCCTAAGCCAACGTTTTGTAAACAACATTATTAAGTTCCTTTTCCAACTATTTCTTGAAATCTATTTACATTTTGACTTAAAACGTAGAAAGTCATGATTTCTGAAAGGGTATAAAATTGTCCTTAAAAATAAATTCTATTAAAAATTGTATAGAGAACAAATAAAATTGCTAGATTGCTTGATATACGAAACTGAGAGATGTAATCATAGTAAATATATCTAAAGGCCGAAACACCACTCTACCTAGTTCAAGTCTGGTTCGAAAAATTTTGTTATGTTGAAACAATCATACAATCATAATAATGGGCGACACAAGGGTGAATGGACAAAAGCCTAACCTTGTAAGAGAGTTACCTTCTAGAATTGGTGTAAAAATTAGCATTGAACTAGATAATTGCATTAAAGGCTGGAACCGAAACATAGTCGATTAGAGAGTTTCGGGCAACTTAGCCTTTTAATCACACCCCTCAGCAATGAGATAACATAAGGAGATAACTACCTAATTGTATTTAATAGTTTCAAGATAAATTAAATCAAGGTTATTATAAGATCAAACTGTAATGAAGTAAAAGAAACAAAAAAGTTCTTGGCTCATAATAATAATACATGCGATGTCTTTGAGTAATAACTAGTGTTTAAAAATTATTTTTCGTTGGAGCCACACGCAAGTGTGAATAACGATCCAAGAGCGATTCTTATCCGACACTATTCCGACGATATCCCGGACGTCAGTCTGAGCGAGATTAGAATGGCTCTCCAGCACCTTAAACACGGCAAGTCCGCGGGCGAGGATGGAATTACAGCGGAACTTTTGAAAGCGGGTGGAAAACCGGTACTTGAAGTCCTTCAGAAGCTCTTTAATCCCGTCCTCCATGGTGGCACTACTCCGGAGGCGTGGAGCAGAAGTACGGTGATCTTGTTCTTCAAGAAAGGCGACAACGCTCTCTTGAAGAACTACAGACCGATTTCCCTTCTGAGCGGCGTCTACGTGCTGTTTTCGAGAGTCATTACGAAATCATCATTTAATTGGAAGAATAAACAAGCACAATTAAGGCATAACTGTAGTGACCACACATAACTCACTAATATTTGCATACAGCTCAAGCATGTATTTGTAACCAATTCTATTGTCTTATTTTATTTTTTCTTTCATTTTTGTAATTCAGATTTTTTTGTATGTCTATTTTTGTTGTTTTTTAATTTTGTTTTATTTTGCTTTCTGTTTTTGTTATATGAGGCTTTTTGTGTTTGTTATATGATTGTGTTTGCTACATATTAATCACTGTTTTGTTACGCCATCTATCATCCTCCTATGGTTCCACTGAAAACCAGCATTCACGAAGTTTATTAATTCCGTGAACTCATGCTGAGTGGAAACCTATTTGGTGCATGTACATTGTATTTCTTTTATTGTAAATAATTTTTTGTAAACGATTGATTTATGTACCAAATAAACTTTTCTTTCTTTCTTTCTTTCTTTCTTTCATCACGCACCCAGACTTGACGATTTCCAGCCTCCCGAACAAGCCGGTTTCCGAAAAGGCTTTAGCGCCATAGACCACATACACACCCTTCGGCAAATTTTACAGAAGACAGAGGAGTATAATCTGCCACTTTGCATTGCGTATGTGGACTATGAGAAAGCCTTTGATTCCGTCGAAATTTGGGCGGTGCTGCAGTCCCTTCAGCGGTGCCAAGTTGACAGTCGGTATATCGAAGTGCTAAAGTGTTTGTACAGTAGAGCTACGATGGCTACCCGAGTACAGAATCAGAGTACGAAACCTATTCAACTGCAGAGAGGTGTAAGACAGGGTGACGTTATATCCCCGAAACTCTTCACCGCTCCATTGGAAGGCGTTTTCAAGCTACTGGACTGGAAAGGATGCGGTATTAACATCAATGGCGAGTACATCACTCACCTTCGATTTGCCGACGATATAGTCGTTATGGCAGAATCGCTAGAGGACCTAAGCACTATCCTCAATGCCGGTAGTTGTTGGGAGCACTAAGCTCGAAGTTGTTGACGAGTATGTTTACCTGGGACAAATAGTCCGACTAGGTAAGTCCAACTTCGATCGAGAGGTCAATCGACAGATTCAACTCGGCTGGGCAGCGTTCGGGAAACTACGACACATCGTCTCGTTAGACATACCTCAAAACCTTAAAACGAAATTGTACAACCAGTGCGTGTTGCCAGTGATGACTTACGGATCTGAGACGTGGTCCTTCACTGTTGGCCGTATGAGGAAGCTCAAGGTCGCTCAGCGAGCTATGGAGAGGGCTATGCTCGGGGTTTCTCTGCGTGATAAACTTAGAAATGAGGATATTCGCAGTAGAACCAGAGTAACCAACATAGCCTAACAGACTAGGAAGCTGAAGTGGTAGTGGGCCGGCCATATAGCTCGAAGAACCGACAACCGATGGGGAAGAAAGGTTCTCGAGTGGCAGCCTCATACCGGTAGGCGCAGTTTAGAGCGACCCGCCACTAGATGGAGTGACGACCTGGTGAGACATGCAGGAAGTCGATGGATGTAGGTGGCTCAGGACCGTGCTTTGTGGCATTCCTTGGGGGAGGCCTATGTTCAGCAGTGGACTTGTGAAAGGCTGTAATGATGATGATGATGATGAAAAATTAATGTAAATACATAACTTATACAATATATTTTAATATAATTAAAAAAAAACAAACTAAAAACTTAAATTATCATACGCACCTACACTCCGTGGTATCGTGCCAAGAACGCTGGCTGCGTTTCCTCGCTGAATGGCTATAATTAGCCTTTGAGCGAGAAAAGAACCAGCCCTCTGATCATCAGCAGCGACGACCAGTTGCGGATACAGTTTCACATGGACCCCACGGACCGATTTCTCAGTCTTAGTTTAAAAATAAAAATCATATGCTTTATTGCACACTTTGCACTTTTAAGATGGAAAGGGGAAAATGGCAATAGAGCAAGAAAACGTAGGAAACATAAATTTATCGAAATCCATTCTTACGTAGTAGTATTGGTTATGTTAAAGAAGGCTGCACAGAAGTCCTGGATGCCCCTGTTCGTTTGTGTGAAGTTGTGACCCGTCACTCCTACAAGTATCAAAGAGAACAGCAGTGCTGGTATGACGATACGCCATGGTTGCTGAAGTCTGTGGACAAATCATTTTTGTTTATTGTGATAATACTCACTCCGTGTAATTTCTTTTTTTTTTAAATCTCTCTGATTACAAAGTTAACTATTAGAGCATAACAAGGTAGTACGTCGCAAGAACGTAACAATATACATATTAGGTCTCTGTCTGTGAAGTTACCGTTTTGATTAACTATCGTTTAACCGAACATGCGGGGAGATCTGTTTATGACTTTGGCTTGGCATATTGTCTAACACAACGGGTACTTCGCCTACGCGAATTCCAGACGTGGAGGATTACGCACGTTCCCTGTTTTACTGTTTTAACATCGCGGTTGCTTTCTACAGGCTGCCACCGTGTATGGCAATATAGGCCGGCCGATCGAGATAGGATGCCGTGTTTTTACCCTTGGTTTGCTTTTCGGCAACAAGGGAATTGCCTTGAAATTGAGGAGGTACGACAAAGGGGTTCTTTTTAGCGGTAAACCCGCAAACTTGAGGATTAAACTGGACAAGATTTAGTCGCCCCCAATCCGAGACTTTGTTCAGCAACGACTCGACTTCAGACAAAGTTTGTTCCGGTACTCGGCGACGTTTTCCTGAGAAATATTGGCACGGCCGATGTATAGAGCATCACCAGTGCTGTCATCCGCATAGCAATGAATGTTACCGGTTTGCAACATATTATTGACATGCAAGAAACAGCGTTGGTGATAGCACGCAGACTTGTGGAACACCAGCGTTAATAGGCTTGTAGTCGGAGCATGCACCGTCTACAACAACCTTGATGCTCCGATCTGCAAGAAAGCTGGTGATCCAATTGCACAATTTCTCGGGAAGCCCATAGGATGGGAGCTTCGAAAGAAGCGCTTTATGCCAAACCCGATCGAAGGCCTTTGCAATGTCCAAACTAATAGCCAATGCCTCTCCCTTGGACTCTACCCATCTATGAGTCAGGTAGACCTGAAGATCACCAGCTGATCGACCCCGACGAAAACCGTATTGGAGGTCACTAATCAGCTGGTGATTCTCAAGGTACCGCATGAGCTGGCAGTTTATAATGGATTCTATTATTTTGGAGAACAAGGAGGTGATGGCGATAGGCCTGTAGTTGTATGGGTCTAAGCGGTCGCCTTTTTTAGGGATCGGGTGGACAAAAGCAGTCTTCCATGATTTCGGGAATACGCCTAGGGAGTAGGAGTACTGGAAAAGACGAGTTAGAACCGGTGCCAACTCCGGAGCACACGTCCTCAGCACAATTGGGGGGATTCCGTCAGGCCCACTCGACTTGTGGATGTCCAGGGAGAGGAGTGCTTTACAAACCGTGCGCTGTGAGAACCGCACATCCGGCATGGAGCACTGGTACCGCGGGATGGTCGGCGGTGTGTTTCCCCCGTCATCAAGAGTCGAGTTGGACGCAAAAAGGGAGCCTAAAAGTCGGCTTTCTCTATTGCGGCGTGGGCCTGTGAGTAGTCCTCCCTGTGCAGAGATGGTAGTGATGGCTTACAGAAATTCCTTTGGACAGCCTTGGCGAGAGACCAGAATGCACGTGTTCCCGAAGGAAGACGCACTAGTTTCTCGCCAATTCTGCCTATGTGCTTTGACTTTGCATTGGCAATAACTCTTTTGAAGGACCTGGAGGCGAAGTTATACTTCTTTTTAAGCATGCTGGTGTTTACATCCCGAGCCGTCGAAGCTTCGGCCCAGGCCTGATAACACGCCTGCTTACTGCGTAATGCAGTCTTACAGAAGCGACCAAACCAAGGCTGAGATCTGCCTCCGATGGGTACCACAGATGATGAAATAAATAGTTCCATTCCATGTAGCACCACATCAGTGACAGAGACAGCAACAGCGCTGAGATCATCCGGCAAGAAGCAAACCCGCCTCCAAGGGTAGGATGCAAAGAAAGACCGCATTTCGTCCCAATCCGCCGACCACAGCTTTCACTTACCATCAGGTGGATTGTGAACTCGTTTGTATCCTTTATTCGATTAAAAAAAAACCTAATATTTACCTTCTCGACACTAAGGCTGTTTCAAATGATAATTGAAAGTTGTTTAATACTTTTAGAAATTTCAGTACCCTGTTCTAGAATGTCCACCTCCTGGGCACATGGTGAAGAAAGTTATCCAGAGAGCAGCGAACACCGTGGACATGATAGGCATGTATTCGGTGAACTGGCAGTCCATATCCCGTGCGAACAATGTCCGTGACGTATCCAGAACTAGACGATGGGTTTCATTTCCTTAAATAATTAAGAGAACCACAGATTACTTACGCTATAATACTTAACGATCAACACAAAACATCAAAACTGAAATTTAAAAAAAATATATACGTGGTAGAACCATGCTGCAGCTATATTAGTAGTATAGTTGTAGCACGAATGGGTCGGCTCGACCGTGATAGGACCACGCTCTCACGAATACCAGCGTAAAATAGCAGCTTAACACTGCTGTGTTTCGTATGGTGTGTGTAGAGAACCGGAGACCCTTTTTACTGGAAAAGAGGCATTCCATCTTAGTCCTCACGGGTGACAACGCATCTGCATTTTGATTTGCGAACGAGGATAGATGTAGATGTCTATGGGCCACAGGAACCACTTACCATCAGGTGGACTGTGTGCTCGTTTGTCACCCAACCCTATAAAAAAAATCAAATTTTATGCTATGAAGAAAACGATTAAACGTTAATATTACGTTTTGCTAAAGTTGATAAAAATTACTTTGCGTACAAATTTTGCTCAACAAAATAAAATGATGTGTCTTACCTAGTTTGAGGAGCACCTCCCGCCCTCCCTCAATTAAGTGCACTATCCCCGTCACCACTAATCCCAGCACTACTACTCCCAACACCACTACACTAAGAAAGACACAGCACCGACGACAATACGACACGTGTTTCGCCTCTACATGAGACATCCTCAGGTGAAGTAGACTCTGCAGTGCTTAGCCACCAAATAGATAAGACACATCATTTTATTTTATTGAGTTAATGTGTACTCGTACGCAAAGTAATTTTTACCAACTTTAATATAATGGAGTTCCGCAAAGTAACGCCTGATTCTTTAATTACATTACATTTTGATTTAAATAACCCCTAAAATTAGAGATTTCTTGAGCTTTAAACTGACAAAGTTTTTTTTTTCGTAAAATGTTCACAACAAAACCGTTAAAATATAATATCCTAACTCTAATAAGAACCTTGTTCGAGCAACTCGAGTTTAAACCACGCCAGCTGCAGAAAACGTCGTGAAGATACGTCGGTGGTCTATAAAAATTAGTTTGTATCCCGTAAGGCTCTAATTCGAGGAACCTATTTCTTATTTAATCCATACAAACCGATTTCGAAAGTGCAAACGTTAAAGGTAACCTTTATCGTGGTAAGGACCACGGATAAAGTTATTATTAGATACGTAATATTTAAAAATTCTCCTCCGCAGCGTCTGTAAGACACTTCCTACTATTATCGGTTTACAGTTTATATTAATGATATCGACTAATGAAAATGATATTGTGACTTTCCGTATTAAAAATACCACATGTAAAATATTCACACCGGTAAGGAAAGGCATAGATGCGATTGCAGCAAATGGAGGAGTTCCATATTTAGCAATTGGCTGTTAAAGGTCCTTATTATGGCAAAAACCCATGTCGAGCCGTAGAGTTTTAATAGACTGATTAGATTTTTTTTAAACTTGACAAACAAGCACAGCACTGCACAGTCCACATGATGGTAAGTGAATGCTGTGGCTCATAGATATCTACATCTATCCTCGATTACGAATCAAAATGCAGATGCGTGTCACTCCTGAGGACTACGATGGAATGCCTCGTTTCCAGTAAAAAGGGTCTCCGGTTCTCTACACTCACCATGCGAAGCAGAGCAGCTTTGAGCTGCTATTTTACGGAGGTGTTCCGTGAGAGCGTAGTGTTACCCCGGTCGAGCCGACCCATTCGTACTACAACTCGTTGTTGACGCCGCAAAGGGGCGAACCTCAGTTTAAAAAAAAATATAGAGGAGAGCAAGAAAACATTTATTATTCTCCGATTACTAGCTTTTTTAATCAGAAAATTTAATATATTAGACTTAATGGAAAACTACAAATAAGATTAATTTTCTAATGAAAAAAAGCTAGTAATCGGGGAATAATGAAATGTTTTCTTGCTCTCCCGTATTTTTTTGAAAAATTGAGGTTTGCCCCTTTGCAGCGTCAACGACGAACTAATATAGCTGCAGTGTGGCTCTACCACGTACAGATGACTAGTGAAGAACAAATAACATACCTAAACCTGTCAACATCATCACGTTCTCCTCTTCAACAATAATATCACGGTGAACGTCGTTCTCTATCGCTTCTCTTTTATTCTTACTAACTGTATTAGTTTTATTATCGTCGTGAGCCGAGTCATTTTGTTCAGTCACTGCTTCAGTTACATAGGCTTCAGTTTTCTCAGTATTGCTCGATATTCCTTTAAAGCTAAAATATGTTGAGTTTATTTTATTATTGTCGACGTCAGCCGTATTGTTGGGCAATTCGAAGGTTCGGAATTCCAACTTCCTTGGCATCAGCACACAATTGTACTCTACTAACTGCATGGTGTTCTGGAGGAACACATAGTTCAGGATACCGAATATTCCTGCTGCGGAAAACAGTATCAAATGCCACGCTGAAAAAGAAAAAAACATGCTTATTAAAAATTTATACTGAATGAAAATAATTAAATCACCGCCTCCCTCGTAGATCTAACACGCGAAGGCAGGATTCACCAAGATACAGACGACCTAACGCTTCTTCCTCTCCTTTGCGGACACAAAACTTCACTAATCACTAATTTGATTATGTCTTATAAAGTACTTCTCCTTCAATTGACTGACTTGCGTGACAGTTCTCAGCGATATATCCTAAATATCTATACATACATATTAATAAACTTGAATTGTGTGCATGTCTGTTACATTGAAATAACTGCCTTATATTGAGCTAAGGGGGGCCTTAGCATTTTTTTTAAATAGAATAAGGGTGACAAACGAACACACAGTCCACCTGATGGTAAGTGATTGTGGCCCATAGACATCTACATCTATCCTCGTTTGCGAATCAAAATGCAGATGCATTGTCACCCGTGAGGACTAAGATGGAATGCTTTTTTTCCCGTAAAAAGTGTCTCCGGTTCTCTACACTCACCCACGAAACACAGCAGCATTAAGCTGCTATTTTACGCTGTTATTCTGTGAAAGTGTTGTCCTTCCCCGGTCGAGCCGACCCATTCGTGCTACAACTATACTATTAATATAGCTGTACTATACCACGTATAGTATAGCATGCCATTAAAAATAACCATTAAATTTTTTGTCTGACGTGTCTGTCCGGGCAAATTTTCGGAATGGCTGAATAGATTGTAAGGAAACTTCACGAACAGATATAGAACAAGGAGTGATCTACGCAATATTTTTTCCGAAGTAATTGGACATTGTTTTGAAAAAAAAATTAATAAAATTAATAGTGTTTAATTATTAAATCTAAATACGCATCCTACCCAAGCGATGCCAGGGTATGTTGCTAGTCGATAACAAATAGTAAAGGTTTCGTCAAGTCTCGTATTATCCGAAAATTGACGGTAGCCGTTTTTGACTTGTCGGTTAAACACATCAAAAACATAGAATTTTGTTCTTTATATCTCCGTGCATGGCAAAACATAGGCATATCATCCTCCTAAGCAGGAAAAGTATACGCCCATCCGTAATCCATAACATAATTGATTAACAAAATTTCCTTTACTCCTTTACAGTTGATAAGCCGCCATGATTATAAAAGCATGTAATTCAAAAAAATCGTAGCAATAATTTATATAACCGGATAAATCCATTATGGTACTTAGAATTTAGGACTTTTAAAGTTGCACAAGTATATTAGATCAGTATATACTTTAAAGATTTAACATAACGTTAAGGTGTGTCAGATGAAGCTGTAAGAGCCGCAAACATCACAGAAAATAGTTAACGCTAAGCTTGCTTATGTATACTCTAAGCATTTATATAGATAGGTAGTAACGTATAGTATAGTACATTTATTTTTTGTTAGGTAGTAAAATTGGTGATTGTCGTGTGGTGGTGGTATTTCGAGCCGCGGGTTTCGTAAGAGGCGACTACGGGAGATGCCATATACAAATTATGGTTTCCGAAAGATGGGACGGTGTAATCATTTCGTTTACGTCAGTCGTAAAATAGTCACGGTGAAGGGCAGCAGCAGCAAAGGTGGGAGTTGGGTGGGAGACGTCTGGCAATGCGATTGTCAACCCGCCTGTCAACCGTTACAATTACGACAAATCTATCCTACCGGAAGAAACACATGTCCGTAGTGCACTTTTAATGGTCCACTAAAGATACATTATATATACGTATAGTGTCGACTATACTCCTTGACGTATAATCTTTTTGTTTCCGAGAAAAATATTTTAAATCAGGATTTTTAAGACGTCTCTGGATGTTACCAGATTTATTTTGTTATCTTACGCTGCCACTACACGACGAACATTGTACCTACTCGGTATAATCGATGCTGCATTCAAGTTATCCATCGACTGTTGACGCGAACAAAAACCTTATTTAAAATTATATGTATAGATATTTATGCTACCTCCACTTATATTGCTCACATATACGTATCGTAGGTGTACTAAAATTGATGTTTCATTTGTTATTTGTTTTAATACTCCAGAACCCGATTACACAGAATTATGCGAAAGCTAAGATGAATATTTACGTTACATTTATCTACAACTCTCAAATAATGCTCACATAACTTTATTGTTTCCATACAAAAAAAGATTCAAGAATTCCGCAGTGAGGCGGCCTTGTTCGATAATACTTATAACATACCTTCATTCCATAGGTCTGTATAGAGTGATATTTATAACTTTTACCGTACTTGCCAACGGAGATCGTTATCTAGATGCGTTCAGGCGCGAACATTTTACTTCCAGTCGTTAAATTTAGGTAAATTACTTTACAATAAGCTTTGCTTTATTAACAGCGAATGCTCAAATAAATTGTATACCTAGAATAAGCCAATAACGTCGTAGTCTAATATTTTCTTCTTTTTCAATAAGAATATTGATAATTTGATACAATTTTTTTACCTGGTAGAGCCATGCTGCAGTTATATTATGGTTGTAGGACGAATGAATCGGACTGAACGGGGAAGGACCACGCTCTCACAGAATACCAGCGTAAAATAGCAGCTTAACGCTGCTATGTTTCGTATAATGATTGTAGAGAACCGGAAACCCTTTTTACTTATTCCATCTTAGTCCTTAGGGGTGGTAACGCATCTGCATTTTTATTCCTAATCGAGGATAGATGTTGATGTCTATGGGCCACAGCATCCACTTACCCTCAGGTAGACTGTTTGCTCGTTTGTTACCCTTAAGGTATAAAATAAAAAATGATCAATAGTAAAAATAGTTGTCTAGATTCAGATATCGTTCGAAGCTTGGAAACAATTTCTATACATTTTTTTTAACCATTATAAGCCTGTTATTTGACTACTGTCCCACCTGATGGTAAGTAAACTACTATAAAACTACCTGGAAGTCCACTGAAAGTTTTGCGTAACTCATAAATAAAACTATATGTAGACTAGCGAATTTTTGAAAACAAAAGGACCACAGAGGAAGGATGTTTTTCAAGTGCTGGTTAAAAGCTATCAAGGTCTCCTCTGGTTCCGTAAATGTCGATCCTCTCATCAAATCTTCGATTTATGGGAAAATAAATAACTCGTATGATGCGTGGTGTGGACTGTGTGCGGTATGGGTCACGAGCTGCACCTTTTCAGAAGCTAAAAATGACTTTGTATTAATTATTCTTGGTATGCGCCGAAGCATTATGATGGTGCAATACGGTGGGACTTCTTGATCGTTTATCCTTAACTTTTTCAGAAACATCGGGCAAAGAAATGATTGTGTACCACTCAGCATTAACTGTTTAGTGCTTATCTCTATCTTATCGCCTGGAAGAAAAAAATTTAATAATTTTTTGGCTCGCTTCTCTTGCCTGCCTCAATGTTGTTGGATTGCTGACGCCTTAGAACAATACCCATACAAAGCGCACTATGAGAATGAGGGAAAGAAGACTATTGCTTTCTTTCCGGAATGTAAGAAACGATATATTCATATTTCAACACCTGTCACCATGTCGCCATGTCTTCTGTCACTAGTTAGTCGCATTTATATTTCAAGTGATTATTTAAAATGGCACGGATCGACTCGTGAGACACAAAAAGTTCGGCGGCTATCTCTCTCAAACTTGAATGAGGATTTTCAGTCACTATTTCCTTCACTTTTGCGATGTTAACTTCAGTTGTTTTTTGTTAATTGATGGCCTACCAGAGCGAGGCAAATCTTCCATCACATCTCGACCACTTTTGATCGCTTTGTACCATTCATACACGCACGTGTTTTTGATAAAGTCGATTCACCGTAAGTCTTCTGTAACATTTTCAGTGACTCGGAACACGAAATTCCATTGGCGATGCAAAATTTAAGACAAACTCTTTGTCAGATATTTTTGTCCATTGTGAAATTCGCAATACACACTAGATATTATATAACTAAAACAGCACTGTATTTAATCTAAATAACAGATGTAACTCAAACTCCGCGCCAAAATGGAAAACAGCTGTGCCAATCTAACAACAACAAAAAAAAAACAAAAAAAATTATAATTTGGAACCATAAACAAATTATCCATTCCCGATACTTTTTTGACTGAAGTAGGTCTTTGCCTATGAAATTGCCGTTTTTTATGTAATAAGTTAACCTATTTTTTATTTCTATTAATCAAAGTAAATCGATGCATCTTTGCCAACGCAGTGGCAGTTTATTGATGCTCTTCTTGAAGAAATCAGCTGGACGGGAGGCAACAAATTTTTCCAAAGGCATTTTGTACTGCCTATGTTGATTTTTTTACCAACCAACTTGCTGAGCGCTTGCTATTGTTAAACAGAATCTTTTTTTCGCAGGTAACAATGTGGCTCAAAATTTCTAAAGTACGTAACATTATATGATACATAAAGTGTAAAAAAAATAAAAAAAATATTAAGACCCATAATTTTTTATTGTAAATACTTTTTGTACTTTTTATGATTGTATTTTCTTGGTTGAAAAATATTTAAAAATCCGTATATCGCAAGACCTGTTCATTTTCGGCCATACATATGGGGGTCAAATTTGTATCATTTTGACTCCCCTATCACGCCCTGCCAGGAAGTTGTCGAGTTCCCAGTAACCCTGTATATACATATCATTGATATATACACACTATATTTTACTTAGTCAACTGCAATTCTTTATCTTAATCTTAGTAGGTCATCATAACAGCCGTCACGACTTATATTACCTAGCTATATAACGTTTTGATGTAGAGACCTCGAAATGGTCGCCTATAAAAAAATGCTGCCATTTCTAAAGTAGAGTACGTTAAAAGTTCGGTACAATATCACACTCACAAACCACATCAACTTGACATTCTCACAATCCATTCATGATAATATCACACTTTTGATTTTTAGCAGATAATATGTTCTTATTTATGATATAAATAATAAGTAATTTAATCCTTGAAACCCATCTACTTCAAAAGTCTTGTGAGTTCACTGTTTTAATACATATTTATCAGTGATAATAGATTTCACTCGAATGTAGCAGCTTATTCATGGAATTTGTTTATCAACTGAATCATTTGTATGTAAGGTACTTACATTTGCAAGTCTACTACGAGTACAAATCAAGGGAAAGTGTTGTAACGTGACCTCGTTCACGACACTCGAAATTTTGTTAGTGAGATGTATTTCATTAGATAGTATGAAGCATTTTTTTTAATGTAACGAATCTAATCTTCTTGAACGGTTTAAATTAGGTAATCTTTTGTTATACCGTGACAATCTTCCGCTCTTCGAGTTGTAATCAAAACTATTATTCAGATACATTCGAAATTAGGAAATTAAATTTTTTAAGACAATTAACATTTTGAAATATAAGGCCACTTCTCACAGACTACCAGCGTAAAATAGCAGCTCATAACTGCTATATTTCGTATGGGAAACGAAGAACCTGTTTAGTAGTAACTCGGAGGGAAGACAACTCTACCTTTCAATTCTTAATTAAGGACAGATGAAGGTATCTTTGGGTCACAGCATTCACTTACATTCAGGTGAATTGTATGCTCGTTTGTCACCGTTATTCTATAAAATAGAGGAAGAAGGCCCTTGCCATTTGTAAACTTCTGGGACGTAGATTAGTTGGTTGCTGATTTAAATGTAGGGAACAACAGCAGTAGCTACTTATTCGTAGCTACAGGTAAACTGTTAGCTGATTTATCACTTAAATAAAGAAATGTTATTTAAAAACAACGGTATAATGTTTTTGTTTTGTACAAAGTATATTTTTGTGTCTTTATTATAACGATGACGACATTTTATAGCGATGCGCTATCAAGTACAAGTTATATTTGAACTAAAGCTGCGACCTTCAAAGGATTGTTTGGGTATCACACATGACGTCCGAGGCCGTGTGGACAAATGAGATAAAAATGCGTGTATTTATGTTTATTTCAATGTTTTATAATCTATAATTTAGTGCTTTACTTAAATGGTTGGTAAATTGAATAATGCTAATAAGCAAGTGATGCTTACAGCTCTAAGTGTTATTAAATTATCACTCAAATCTTATTTCTGAACAACGGTGTACACAAACTCCCTTCTAAAGCTTATTTTTATGGTTTAATTGTACACTCTTGTCAATAAATAAGAAAATAAATAACCATCATCATCATCATTACAGCCCTTCACAAGTCCACTGCTGAACATAGGCCTCCCCAAGGAATGCCGCAAAGCACGGTCCTGAGCCACCTGCATCCATCGACTTATATAGACTGCATATCTTACCAGGTCGTCACTCCATCTAGTGGGGGAGACGACCTACACGTCCGCCGGTACGAGGCCACCACTCGAAAACCTTTTAACAGAAAATAAAGTTCTTTTTGTTTTATATTCGTTTTCATTTCCGTTCATAACCCAATTTCGAACGCTTATCTTTCTGTCGTGTAATAGTTTCCTTGCAGACAAAATAACAGCTGTAATACAGCTGTTATACAGCATCATTTATGCTTGTACAGCTACTGTACAGCACTATTAACGCATACATCTGTATAATTTGTGCCAATTTTTTACTTATAAGAACTATATAATCACTTATACAGCCTATATACAGCAAGAAAATACAGCATCTAGTATAAAAACGAACTTCAATACAGCTCGTTTACAGCTTGCATGATGCTTGGGCTAGTTTCCCGTTAAGACTGGCCGCTATGACGGAAATTCGGTGGTACATTATAAAGTTTACTTAATAATGACATAAATTTAAACAAGCCCATTTGTATTTACCCGTATTTATGAAATTAAAGATAAAACCCTATCAGAAATAAAGCTCAGCTGCTCAGCATTAGGATGTATATAGGTTGTAACCTATGAAATTAAAGTGAGAATAGAATAGAAACAAACCTACAGTCCTATCTACACCTGATGGTAAGTAACACAGATCCAGACCTCTAAGGACTAAGATGGAATGTCTCATGACTTTTTTTCTGAAAATGTATGCTGCTGGCCCTGCATCCTTTACAGCATCAGCGAAATAGGCTCTTAAGTGAGGACTTACGAGCTCTTGAGTGCGAGGCTGCGCGGAGCGCCGCTTTACCGACTGCAGTCCCGAGGCAACTCGGTCCCTGTTTTCGGAATAAGGCTACTCTTGCGGGGGGGGGGGGCTCAAGATGATTCAAGGGTCCCTCAGAAGGAGGTACGAACCTCGGCTTGAACCACTATCGCAATACCCTCATAACTTGTAATGACACTGGCTTCATATACCTTTCATACAGGAACACGGCAGTGCACACACTGTTGCTGCTAGGCAGCAGAAATAGGTAAGCGGGTGGAATCTACTCAGACGGACAGTAAATGAGGTGGTACCTGCTCCATACTTTATGTATCTTATTAGAATCTTATTTTTATTTTTAGCTACTTGTATTATTTCATTTTAATAAGAAGGTACACAACAAGAGGTTTGTTATTTTCGCATTTCCCCATTCTTTTTATTTATCGAGACTGTCTGATGTTCTGTGATACTACCCAAATACATTATATTAATACAAATACATGTAAAGTCATATTATAAAATTTATCATATAAATAAATAATTTAAGCTTCTCTGTCAGTATCTTTTTTTATAGAATATGGGTGACAAACGAGCACACAGTCTACCTGATCGTAAGCGGATTCTGAGGCCCATAGACGTCTACATTTATCCTAGATTTAAGATTCAAAACGCAGATGCGTTGTCACCCCTGAAGTCTTAGATGGAATGCCTCGTTTCCAGTAAAAAGGGTCTCCAGTTCTCTACACTAACCATACGAAACACAACAGCATTAAGCTGTTATTTTACGCTGGTATTCTGTGAGAGCGTGGTCCTAACTCGGTCGAGCCGACCCATTCGTACTACAACCATCATTTAGCTGCCACGTAGTCTTAAATAATCCTTTTCCTTCTAATAAGCATTCTATGCATTTGCGTCCTGCTCCTCAGTAAAATAAGGTGCACAAAAATCTTTGTTAGTTGACTCAAGTGGATGACCGACATTTATTTTTTTTATAGAATAAGGGTGACAAACGAGCACACAGTCCACCTGATGGTAAGTGGTTGCTGTGGCCCATAGACATCTACATCTATCTTCGTTTGCGAATTAAAATTCAGATGTGTTGTCAGCCGTGAGGACTAAGATAGAATGCCTCTTTTCCAGTAAAAAGGGTCTCCGGTTCTCTACACTTACTATACGAAACACAGCAGCATTAAGCTGCTATTTTACGCTGGTATTCTGTGAGAGCGTGGTCCTTTCCCGGTCGAGTCGACCCATTCATGCTACAACTATACTATTATTAAAGCTGCAGCATGGCTCTACCACGTAAAAACACTGAAATAATTAACTATTGGTTCCAATGTAATAATTTACGCATTGAGTCCACATGAGAGTCTCTATACGTGAATAAAAACAATGGTAGTGCTTATTACGACATTAATTACCTTTCCATGCGTTGAGATGTCTGGAGGCTCTCTCCTCCAATTCGTAATAGTCATAAATTAATATCGTCATCGTAGATAATCAATCCTGCAACAAAAATTATTATAATTAATACATTTATTTTTTAACCCGATAGAAGAAATATTGATTATGGTGTATAAATTTCGAAATTAAGTTAAATCAGAGGCGGCGTAAGTGAATTCGGTAGAGGATGCGTCTATGGGATATTTCAGAAAGATTTTATAACAATAATATAAGTTGCTAACTTCGTGCTGAGCTGCCTTAGCAGTTTAGAAATGGACGAGTGACGTCGGGGATGCCACGAAGGTCAGCACTGAAAATCAGTATGCATCGGGATTGGATTTTCGGCGCAATTATGCTGAGTTGCTAACCTGATTTGTCGGTAATAAGGTGTACAATTTCCATTTTTCTACCGACTTCAAAAAGGAGACGTTTTTTTATGTGTGTTACCTCATAACTTTTTTCTGGGTGAACCGATTTCGATAATTCTTTATTTTAAAGCTGGTGCTTCTCATGTGGTCCCATATAAATTTGATCATAGTCTGACCAATAGTTTTTCTTAATAATTAGTTATTCTTAATAATTTATATTGAAGTTGGTTTTACAATTTTTTTAATTTTAAATTGTTGTTTTAATTGTTTTATGTTATTAATTTTATTTATTTTTACTTATATATGTTAGATTTCTTGTCATAATAGCTATATTTATGAGGCATTGAAATATTTTAATTAATAAAAGTAGATATAAAATATATTTCAAAAACACAATCAGGCGGATTGTGCGCGTATACTGACTGTATCTGTGGTTGTCATAAGCCCTGTAGGTTATCCTGCAGCATTACGTTGAGTCATAACCTTTTCACTGACTCGATACACACCTCATAACTTGTAATTTTAAACTGCCATACTTTTTTATTTATGTGATGTGTATAGTGCCATTGAATAAATGTCTTTCTTCTTCTTTTAATACTGTGTTTTAAAAGTTAATTATCATCTATTATTTTGTAAATACATAATTCATTTTCTTTCTTTCTTTCTTATGGTTTTCGACTGATGACGGGTATAACGATCGTATAAAATATCCAAACCAGTGACAAGGAGTAGCGTCAAAGGTGCGACACGTTTGATACTGCAGTCGCCTAGTGTAATATAACGTAAAAATTTTACAAGAAAAGAAAACAGCATCTGATCGGCTCTCATTAATAACTTTTAAACGGTGTTGAGTTCAATAACAAAATAAATATTGATCCTCCTTAGAATACATGGAATCTTATTTAATATATATATCTCAATCTATTGCTTACATTTCTATTAAACGAGAAGACTCACCGAAGCACATACCAACGGCGGCAGTGCATATATTTTATCAATTACATTTTTGAAATTATACTTCTTTTGGGGCGTTTGGAAAAAATGATGCGAGTGAATTTTTACGATGCGCGCGCACACCGACACTTAAAAACGACACCATGAAGTTGTTACGATGCGCGTGCGCACTGACCTAAAAGCGACAACTTCAGTGGGTAATTATCTCTCAAGTTTTTTATTACGCTAAAGAAGTATAACTTCCTACGTGCGTACATAAGTACACACATACTTTTTTTGTTATGTATTTTAAAGTGAATCAATTACAAAATAAACTAAACTTATGATTGAATGTCTCATTACTAATATAGATTTGATGTCTAGTTAAAAGTATAAGAACGATTTTATGTAGCGAAATTGAGGTATGGCCACATATCGAGAGTAGAGCACTCCCTCACGTTGTGAGGGGTGCAAATTGCCAATCGTGACGACCGTGGCAAATCCACCCTACAACGTGAGACTCAGGCACTGGTCTTTTGTGGAACATGTGATGGGCTTTATTCGATTTATGACCCGAGAGAGGAAATTAGTTGATTAATTTTAAGGCAAGTTCTAAAACAAAAAAATACTCCACAACCTAGTAATAAATGTAATACATGACCTAATTATTATTAAGTTATTGTCCTAACAGATCGATTATAATCAACTAATGCTAATTGAAACTGGTCATCTATTGTTTGGACGTCCCTTGACATTGGGTGGGTCAAATTCATATTATGCCAGTCATAAAACATTTTTGACATTATGTTGAATCGTAATAAATAATAATTAGTATAATATGTAATAAGCACAAAGGATGTGTGCATGTGTGTGGGTGTGTGGCCGTTATAAGAAAATTCATTCCCTGCATTTTCTATTCTGGTTTATTTTTAAAACTAAAGTGGATGTAAAACTTTCTTTTTTTCTCATTATCATCAGTTCATAAAAGTCCACTGCTGGACATGGGCTTTTCCCGTTTGATGGATGAAGGATTTGCTTGGCAGGCAAATTGGTGACCGCTGCACCGTTGAAACCTAAACAATATTCAAAAACTATAGCAAAAAAAAAACTAAAACTAAAAACTTAAGTTATCACACAGTCCTTCTCCCCGTGATATCGTGCCCAGAACGCTGGCTGCGTTTCCTCGCTGAATGGCTATACGTAGCCTTTGAAAGAACAGAAAAAGAAAAGAACCAGCCCTCTTATCTTATATTAACCAGCAGCGATGCACAATCGCGGATATAGTTCCTTTAGGAACCTCACCGAACGTGGACCCCACGGAACGACAGTTTCTACAGAAAATGGCACAAATATGTAAATATGTCTCAGAACGTTGTATTTGCGCTACTTACTAATACTTAGTTCAGTTGCGTAATTGCACCTTTGAATTGCAACCCTGCAGCATTGCACCGTTGACGATGCTCCTAGTTGCCGGTCTGGGTATTTTTGTTAAAAAAGTCGCTATTCACTGGCGTAATGCTTAGTGATACGTAAATACAGTGTTCTACAAAAATATTGACCTTTACTCCATCTAAAAAAAAGTCCGCGATACCATATCACAGATTAATAAATAGTTTACTAAAACCATATGCCTTTTTCTTATACATGGCCACAACAGCCACACCTTTACCTACTGTTATTCCGCAGATTACTTAAAAAGTCTGCAGATTAACTCGTTAAAGTGAGAACTGAATAATTTTTTCGCATTTTAACGGATTCAGCTAGGTAATCTGCAGATTAACTAGCTAATCTGCACTATAAACTGATTTACGCACTTTAGCGATAGCACCTACACTCGGCACGGAGCACGAACGACGCATACCCCTAATCGCCCGATGAGAACCGAGAGAAACCAGAAGCGAAGTGAATGATACAATAAGCGAGGTGTCATGACGCGTGGATCAGACGGAAGATATACACGGGTGAAACCGCAAGGCACAGCTAGTATGTACATAAATCTATATTATGACCAAATTAGTTTTCTTGATGCGAACAAGAGCAGCAGGACGGATGTTAAAACGTACTCTTTTAGCTTCACATAAAAGCACGTCACCACGTGGCATCAGGTCCTCCTTTTTCTTTCAAAATATATAAATGTACAGCGGCTTCTGTCGGTCTTACGTCGATAAAAAGATTTTTCTTTGATGGTAGAGTACTACAAAAACACGCTAATAATGCAGTCTGTAATAGTAAGTTGGTGCTTCTATAAAAAAATTAGGTAATACACAAACTTAGTATCATGAAGACGAGGGTGTGTCTCTTCACTGCAAAATGGATCCACGTATATCACACCCATACACACGTAGAATATTGGAAATAATTTTACTACCATAGCTCAATGCTCTCAATCTGGCTCTTACTAACAAGTAGCTGTTGAGATTTTTCTGAAACTCAACTTTGGGCGGTTCCTTGAGTCCAGAGCCATAGTTGCCGCAAGAACACTAGGGGTCTTTGCCATGGTTATGGCGGTTTGTAGGCAGTCTCTGACCCCATATAAAGTGGTACGGTCGGTAGAGTCCAGTCGTGCATGAATTACTGCCATCAAATATGGGCTGGTGCTATAAAATACCAACTAATAGCGATGGAATCAGCGAAGAGGTGTCATGATAAGAGGGTTTTTGGATAACCTTGATTTGGTTAAAACCAATCTTGTCGGCACAAGCGCAGAGCGCATTTTAGGAAGGGTGCACAGAAATTAAAAGTTACCTTAATTCATCCCTCCCTTTCTACCATCTGACAACCAGGCGGTCGGCGGGCCTACACCACTTGTCGATATTCCACGCATTCGAACCAGTTTGCTTCGTCTTTCGTAATGCGTGCGGCAAAGGAATGAATCATCTATCTTTCTGCCCAATTTACAATCTTCAAGGCAAAAGTTATTAGGGGTTTATGTTAAGACAGTGCGATTTATCATCTAGACCTTCGGTAACATTTTCGGAGAACGCCTAGAGAATAGATAAATTAGTTGGAAGGACTATGGATAAGTAAGGCTGGTCTAAATTCACATCTTTTTTATCTTGGTACTTGGGCACATAAAATGATTATTTTATCTGTTCATCAATAATAAATACAACACGATGATTACATTATAAATGCAGAAAGCATAATAAAAGGGTATGTAGTGAATATTTTTAACCGCAAAACAGCGAGGAAAATGTGAAATCAAGAATATTAATTTGTGACAATTTTTTCATTTGCACGTTAATTAACCTTCACCGAGATACATAAATAAAAAAACACAACCTTGCAAATAGATTAAGTAATTTGGAAAATTTATTATTATTTTTAGCAAAAATATATTTACATATTAAAATGTAATGTTACCTACATGAAATATAATTTTATGTAATTTATTTTGTCGTAAACTTGACAGATTTTACTAATAAAAATAAAGTGACCGTTGCAGTTGATCTGGAAGCGAGACCTGCAACCAACTTCACGTTTGAGGACTAAGGTGGGGCATTCACAGGCTGTAATTTTACTGGCTCTCTCTACCCTTCAGGCCGGAACACAGCAGTGCAAGCACTGCTATATGGCGGCAGAAATAGGTAAGAGGGTGGTGTACCTATCCGGACGGACTCCTAGGCAGAAAGGGCCTACCATCTAATATGTACGACCACCTAATCTATAGCATGTGCTTTAATAATAATAATAATAATAATAATAATATTCCACAACTATCAAACAACGCCATCTAGTCCCAAGCTAAGCAGAGCTTGTGTT